ATAATGAAGTTACTTTTACGACTACATATATGTATCAATAACACGTGAAATGTATCTAAACCTTTAGGATACATATGTATGACATAAACATAAAATAAATGTTTACTTAAAGTTCTTTACGTTGCTCTTAGACATTTTCTGGAGATATTAGGTCCACCCTCTCCTCTACATACATTATTCAGGATACCCCATTTTAAAGGGTCCAGTCGGATGCTTTAAAAATTCTGAGAGCTATAAAAAGAATAAATATTGATTTTAAGGAGAAACGAGACTGCAGGAAAGTAATGTTTTTTTCAATTAATTCTTTTAAAATCTCAATGTTTTCACCTATTTGCGAACAAGATTTAACTTTTGCATTTTTTTTTACAAATCGTTGAACAAGTAGAAAGGATTTTAAATGACTATTATAACAGTGTATGATCTTCACGAATCATTCGTGAGATAACGTGACATAAGGCATGATTTCATTGGATAATGAATTCCACGTCAGAAAGAGCGGATGATTATTGTACTTCGACATATGTGCCCATAATTATGAAAGTGGTCTAAGTCATATATTTTTTGTTTTGAAATTACATTGAATTAATTTAATTTGAAATAATGTGGCGTGAAATAACTGATAAACTCACTTTTTTTTCAATTTTGACTTAGACCACTTTCATAATTATGGGCACATATAACGAATGTTTCATCAAAATGTGTATGATTATAACAGGATTCGTGAAAAAAGCTAATGTTCAATACAAAAGTCTCGTGTGCCTCAGCTGAGACACATGAGACCTTCACGAATCATTCGTGAGATAACGTGAAACAGGGCATGATTTCATTGGATAATGAATTCCACGTCAGAAAGAGCGGATGATTATTGTACTTCGACATATAACGAATGTTTCATCAAAATTTGTATGATTATAACAGGCTTCGTGAAAAAAAAAACAATGTTCAATATCACGAATCATTCGTGAGATAACGTGACAGGGCATGATTTCATTGGATAATGAATTCTACATCAGAAAGAGCGGATGATTATTGTACATCGACATATAACGAATGTTTCATCAAAATTTGTATGATTATAACAGGATTCGTGAAAAAAGCCAATGTTCAATACAAAAGTCTCGTGTGCCTCAGCTGAGACACATGAGACCTTCACAAAATAATGTCTAGGTATTACGATCGCCTGTCCCTTTAAACGTGACGTAGATCCGAAAGATCTTTTCGTGACTTCCTTAACCCTAGGGAAAATGAACCAGCTCATTCAAAATTGGAACAGTGTACATCCTTCTGCTATATCTACGCCTAATGTCTTGCATTCGTTCACGTTCATAATCAGGGAGGAAAAGCCCATTTCTCGAACTCTAGAAACAGTTTCGCGAAAATCGGTCAGGTCGAGTTTTAACGATCATATATACGTGCTCTTTATTTCACCTCATTTAAGCTTCCACCCACCTATTGGGTTGTTAAAAAAGTTCCACCCTACTTGAACGTAAGCCCACCGCGGACCCACTAATGAATTAAACCGGATGTCGAAATCGTTTAATAAGAACGCGGGCCGATTCTTTAGATGAATTAATTGAAAGGTGGGTCAACCAGTCCTTGGAACCGTTAATACTTCGGACTCGGTCTCCCCTTCTTTCTCACTTTCAAATGGGAAATTTCCTAACAAGAAAATAGTGCACTTCTCGAACGAACGATAAACCACTCGCTATTGAACTATTAAGTAAAAATATAAACTACTAGGACCCGATTCTCGAGATCATATCATCAACTTTTATACGCGAAATCGACAGTTTCGTGTACAACTTTCAAATATGGATACTTTCAAATGGGAAATTTCCTAACAAGAAAATAGTGCACGTTTCGAACGAATGATAAACCACTCGTTATCGAACTATTAAGTAAAATTATAAACTACTGGGACCCGATTCTCGACATCATATCATCAACTTTTATACGCGAAATCGACAGTTTCGTATACAACTTTAAAATATTGACCAATGATTGTCTATCGGTTTAGATCAATAATAAAAATGTGATAAACATATAAGAATGGTAAAAATCTTGGACTGCCAGTAAGCTATATCGAAAATCCTGAATTAATAAATTCCTAACGAGTAAAGTTGACGGAAATATGCAACGAAATAATAATGTTTTCATTCAACCAGATATCCGCTAAAGTATGCAAGAATCTAGATATCGACAGCTTATATACTTAATTATTATCGATAACACCGTATGTGTAAAAATAATTAGGTCACGTTGGGTACATTTTTAACGGATCGATTTTAATCTTCTCCTATCGCATTCATGAACCCATTGTTTTGCCTCATTTTTATACAGTTTAAGCTAGTTGTACGTTGATATATGTAGGTTACATTTCGGGAGCTATTAAGGAATTGCCGAATGACATATGTGCGAAATGCTCGTGTGACAAATGTGAGCCACCTACAGATAATCTCTTGATATACATATATTGTCAGGACGGACGGAGCTATCGCAAGATTAAAAATGAACGATTGTTCTCGCTTTTAGAAACCACTCCTTATAGGATCGAAATATCATAGGAAATGGAAGCCGAAGCCCATTACATTTATACGTATAAAAACAGAAATAAAACTTAAAATCGATCTATAATTATTATTTCATACACTACGTGAAGTTACCACATCGCATGTCCGTAAAGTTCGAATAACTAACAAAGTATGAAAAGTATCCGTACTTTGAACCGTCAATACCAGTACATTATTCGCATTCAACGCTTACTACAATCAATTAATAGCCATACGTAATCAAGTGTACGAAAATCGAAACATATCTATATAAACCGAACATTCGTGCTCCTGAACGCTTCACATATATAAAAGTAACACATGGAAGTATACCAACTTAATTCCAAACTATTACAATCCGCGTGTACTGTTCTACAATTTAGAATTGCTTTTCCTCGATTTCAGCGTTACTTGAGCAATCCGCATTTTCCCATCCTCCGGTACCTCCGCCACACATCGTCTATAAGGTTCAACGGTCACATTCGTGCTCCTGAACGCTTCAGCTTATATAAAAGTAACACATGGAATTATACCAACTTAATTCCAAACTATTACACATCCACGTGTACTGTTCTACCATTTAGAATTACTTTCCCTCGATTTCAGCGTTACTTGAGCAATCCGCATTTTTCCATCCTCCGGTACCTCCGCCACCCATCATCTATAAAGTTCAACGGTGCTAAATCCGTATCGTTACATTCCAACCGTGAACATAAATAATAGATAATTCTATCCCTGTCGCGGTACCGAAACAAATAGTACCTTCCAAAAGATATCAACGTCTAATCTCCTTCGATCGAAGCCGAAATAAGAAGCGTGGAGATTTCAGCGTCCGGCGAAGCCGGCGCGGCGCGGCTTCGGCTTCGCGACCGGTCCGGCAGATGTCGCGCGCGGCGCGTTGGAAATCGATAAGGTCCGTCTTCTTTTCGGCCACAGGGTGGCGGGGTCGGCTGCCGGTTCCTTACCATTTTTCGCTCGCCGTCCGAGGCGAGCTGTAACTCATCGAGACAAAATTCCGCGCGGAGGTAGCGTTAAGGATGCCGCTTTGAAAATCGATAGCGCGCCTCTCGCTATCCTGCGGACAGCCGAGGCAGGCTGGCGTCGGGGCGCCACGGCCAATGCCGGCCTCCGCGCTGCCCGGCGGGATATTATTACGAGAATCGATCGGCCTTATCGGCCGTTCGGTCGCCGTTACGAATTAATTCTAATCGCGATCCCGTGGCCTTTCCTTCTCGCTCGTCCTTCGTCCTGGCGCGGGGCGCGTGCGCCTCGCGGCCGCAAGCGCGAAAGACGTTCCTCCGCGCGGGGCGCGTCGATGCGCACCGCGACAAGGAGAAATAGACGAGGGCGACCGAAGGAGGAGGAGGAGAAGGGAAGACAGGGACTCGCACGCGGTAGGAGCGAGGGAGGAAGAGTGACGGGGGGAGAGGAAGGGTCTAATCCGCGCGGCGGCCGAGCGGCCGGCGAGGGGAGGAAAGAGAGAGAAGGGCCGGCCGAGAGGGTCGAAGAGAGAGCGCGCTCGAGGAAGGAGGATATCCCCGCCGAGGACGAGGGGAGGGGGCGAGCAGCGTGCGCCACCCGCTGGGTGGGGGGAGCGCGGCGCGCGCGGGGAAGCGAGACGGACGACTCACGCAGGGGAGCGCGCGAGCGAGAGGGAGAGTCGGGGGCCGATCGCGCAGGCGCAGGGAGCGCGCCTGCCGTGGTCGTTCGTAGGGCAGTCGTTCCTTCGTCGCTTTAACGAAATTATTCCAACGTCGGGATAACCGGCTCGCGGCTCCGCCGACGTTCCTTCCACTCCACGGGGACGCCGTCTCTCGTCGGCTGCGGTCAGTACTCGAGGTAGCGCGACCAGGCAGCGCCGCCGGACCGAGGCCGGAGGGCGACCCGTCTCCCGACGACCGGAGGACCGAAGGACACGGTTCGATCGGTCCTCGCTCGCCGCTGGTCGCCGCTGGTCGCCGCCGCCGCCGCCGCCGCCACTCGTCGTGGTCTCTCCGCGGTCTCTCCGCGGTGTCTCTCCGGCACGACGGTACCCAGTCTCTATCGCCACTTTTATTGATCCCCGGCCGCATGGGGCCCCCTTGGGCCGAGTCTCGAGCGGGGCCCCGATCTGCCCGAGGGTGCGCGCCTCCGGGTGGGGAAGTGACCGGAGGAGTATCTCGCCGTTCCCTGAGACCGCGCGCTCCTCCACCGGGGCGCTCACTCGGCGGGATCGGTCCTCCGTCCTGGCATGCGTTTACGTTCAGTGCGCGTTTCCGCGGACACGTTCTGCCGACGACTCTCGTTCCGGGGTATCGTATTCCGCGGAAGGGTGGCATAGTTTATACTCTTTCCCTTTTCTCTACGATTTTCCGGCCTTCGTTTCCGCTGAGTGGACCGCCGGAAACGGAACGCGACGCAAGGGAACTCGATAATCGTCCGACTCTGACCATTTTTCAGGTTCTCGGAAAGGTGGAGGAATGGGGAGATACGAGTGGTAAGGGGACGGAGTAAGACGCGACGGCGTCGACGTACCCGGGGGTGGAAACCATCGGCCAGACGGAGCCTAATCCAAGGACAGTTTGCTCTCCCGCTTCGGTAACCCGGGTGAATAACCGCGTCCGCTTCCACCTGTGGGATACAAAAGTACACACTCCAGGACTGCGACTGCGGGTAAGGGGTAAGCGGACACAGGTGTAGCTTTCTCATCCCCCGTGCCCCCTGGAGGCCTTCGAATTAAATCAGCCTCGACCGTCCATTCGATTCCATGGTGCTTTTAACGCGCGATAACCCCGTAGCTCCGTGAAATCCGATTTAACGGAACCACGATATTTTTTAAGACACCCCTTTCCCCTGATTGCTCCCCGCGTTCGAACTCCGATTTATTATTTACATATTTTCCGTTAGTCATTTTTCGCACCTTCTCGTCCCTCGAGGATATGATTCCGAGGGTGACATTCATCCCAAACTCTCGTTATTTATTTTTTTTAATGAATTTTTTTTGTATGAATTTATCGTCGATCTTTACAGCCTCTCTGCAAAATTTCTATTATCTATAAGAGTATCATTTTCTCCCCGACGTACTTTCCGCATTTCTGCCTTCACGGAAGATCCTACTTTCGAAACGAATGTTGAAACGTTCCGTTCGGATAAACTAGCAGAATTTTTTACGTGTAGATTTGAAGAAACCCTTTTGTTGCGAGCTTTCCGTGGCGGACGACTTGCACCGCAAGCGAGGGGATTCGGCCCGGGTCATTTTTCACGTAACATCGGCCGCCGTTAATGGGGTGGGTGGAAACGTGAATTTAACTTGGAAACGTCGTTCTGCCCGAGGAAAGTAGAAATTGCTGTCGAGGCCCAGACTTGGGGATGATCCCGGAAAAGACTAGTCCGTTCGTACTCGTGTCCGAAATCCTCAGTCGGTGGGCAAAAGTCCACAGACGGCAAGAGTTGTCGCAGCCGCCGGGCTGAATAGGTGGCAGGTGTATCTTTCTCATCACTTACGAGGGTAGACTGTACAGAGTGTCGGTACTCGAATCCGTAAAATCCTGAGTACCTTATATCCCTCGGAAGAGGAGGTAATTTTGCAAAACAATGCATCGCGTATATTTAGCGCGCATAACTGTAGCGTATGCGCGCTTACAGATGCAAACACGGATTGGAAACTCGGAGACGACCTTCGTGAAAATTGGACGACGAAGACGAAATACGATTAGAAACGCGCCAGCATAGGCTGTCCTGTTTTTCATTGTCATTCGGGATAACTGAGCACGGTTTAATGTATTAACTGACTCTTTAAGGTGAAGTGAAACACCCTTCAAATCAGTCGATTTGAAGACAACACTTTTTTTTTAAGGGTATTGGACACAACTGTCCGAAACTTTGATACATGACTCATGATCATCTAAGAATTGTCCTGACACATTGAAAATTTTGATTTTTCAAAGAAATTTTTTAACTCAGCCCAGGCCAGAACCAAAATGGCGTCGAGCTCTCATATTTTGATGGATATACTATTATCGAAGGCTCTGATATGAGAATCGAAATGGTCAGGACAATTTTACGACAATTTAGAACACTCTGGTCATCGATAAACTCGCATTTGAACGGGATAAAGGCAAAAAAAGTGTTGTATGCGCTTCTATGCCAAAACGATGGGAATACGAGGTCTCGGAGTGATGATTTAATTAACCTGGAAATCACAAATGGTGCAGGGGGTCCCTCTGCAGTCAATTAGAGCCCCAGAAAGCATAAATCCAGAGGATTTCTGGAGTTTTACTTCGATTTCTTTATAATTACTGTACGAAAACGACAGGTGGAGTATGCCATTTGGTACAATACCCAATATAATTCGACACAGCTGTCGATATAAAAACGAACGACGGCAATGTAGGCATTTAGAAAAATCTTCTTTATCGACGTCGACCAAGTTCCTCGACGTGTTTCACTTAACCTTAAATTGGATTAGTCTGCAGATTCTATATTAAAAAATGATTAAGATTCGTGTTCGATTGGCGAAAATTCCGGGAGTTTTGGATTTTGGAGCACTGTTAGGGATATATTGGGTTGATACGTCATTACGGACACTTTTTGTTGAAACGTGAACATTGAGAGGGGCGGTCGGTTCTCGATACAAAGTTTTAAAAATGTTAAAGTTAAGAGTTAATTAAACCATTAACTGGGGAAAATTATTCAACCTCGAGATATAACAACCAAGTTTGCGGACCGGCACAAAAGCTACCACTTTTGAATTCCCGCCGGTTTTTTCATTCGTTCAGCCCTTTCAGAAACTTTTTTCCTGGGATCTTTTTAACTTAAGTTTAAACTTGAAAAAGCATGCCCCGCGGAAGGAAAACAGAGGCACAACTCCGAAGTTTGATTGTTCGGCTCCGTGACGATGAATCCTGGACTTTTAAACAAATTGCCGACCATTTGAAGAACGACAAAGGCTCGATCCACCGCATTTATGGCCGTGAAAAATACTCCTCCAGATAAGAATAATCGGGCTCAGCCATGGAAAACTAACGAGAGATTGACATTAGACATTTATCACCGCCCTAATGATCAAATTAACAAATGTTCGATAAAGCCAAGAAGTAGTATAAAAAAATGAGAACACTGCGTTGTAACAAAAATCTAATCCATTGCCCATCACGTTGGTTAACTTCTTATTCTTTTTCATTCCTCTTGAACTCTTAAAAAATATATTTATTTACCCCGTTTTTACTCCGTCTTAGCAAATTAAGTTATTATATGTCAAGTTTGCGAATTTAGTTGCTATATCTCGAGTTAGGATTTTTATTACATCTTTCGTTTTTGCTTCGGTCCCAATTGAAGCATCCAATGAATTGTGTAAACCAATTCAGCATTGAAACTGAGGTCATGCCATTGACATAAGAAGTTAGGGTTAGGCCTCAGTCAACTCTTTTCAAACGAAATATGTCTTCTAACTTTCTTATCCCGCGTTGAGAAACAAAAAGTTAGTACAGTTGGTGGGGAAAGCATATTCTTTCCGGAGTAAGTTCGGCGACATCGGCGGCATCGCCATCCCCAAGGGGTCTTCCCAGTGTCTTCTTCCTCTCGGAACACGAAGACGCACCTCGCGCGAGATCCGATCGATCTATCGAATTGAGAAGTGAGAACCCCCACTCGAGTTTTCTTAACCTAAGAATACACCGGCGGAGTAGCCTAAAGTGGCACGGAGTAGAGTGGAGTGGCTAAGACCGGAGTGGAGGAACTCCCAACCCCCAGCGGTGTCCGACGTCGACGACTAACAAGGAATATCGCTGTGTGTGACACCGGGAATCTGGTTGAAGTGTCTTTTTTTACCGTTGCGTGCGAGTGCTCCGCGGCGAAATCCTAAAGCCATTTTCCCCGCATTCGGGGATTCCTGCAACAAAAAAGAAATATAGCTACATTTTTCAAGCTCGGCTTCCGCGTGTCCATTGTTGCCGGAAAACCAAGCTGGACGGATCGAGGCGGGCCTGGATTATATTTCTAGAAAATATTTACGGATTGAATCGTGAATTAAAAGCGTGATCTTTGTATTATGAAATGTAGAGAGAGAAAGTCGCGTTTAAAACCGCGAATCGGCGGATTTTTATATTTTCTGCTCGAAATCGAGCTTGCGTAAAATTCTGACATGGCGGAAATACAACTCCGTTATTGCGGATGTTAAATTGTGGGGGATGTGATATAAAGTATCTGACCCGTAAGAATGGGGGTGATGGTACGAATAACCGTACGACGTATTGAAATCTACTTTGAATAGTTTCCGCTTTCTAAAGTCGTAGTTTGCGGGCAAACGACTACAAGATTTCGTTATTGAGACCTCATGCAACGTCAACAAAGTGTTTCACTAGCGTTTCCCTTGGCAAAGAAGCATCTCACGTGAGATCGAATTCGCATTACACGAGTATACACGGGAAGGAGCGAGGATGTCATACCACGCGAAGAGGCAGTTTCATCCCCTAGAACCATATCCCGTCAAAATGGAAATATTTTTTGTTTTTCATGCCTCAGAATACTGGGAAATAAAACCGGCAAATGGAAGCCTTTCGGCAAAAACGACGCACCTCTAACACGTTATCATTTTATAAACTACCGTGCTGAACGCGGAGCTCAATACATCATATCATATCAAGGGGAAAAAAAAATATGAATAACAGTATCGCCTATAAAATTGCTATGAAATAAATATAACATCTATTTAAATTCAGTTTGAAATTGTTATAAGGTGAATTATCACACTTTATTGTAGTTCTGTTGTCCGTTTATTCGTTTGTTCGATTGTTTTTGCGCAGGTTTCAGAATGTTCGTCAAAGAATTTAAAGTACCTAACGAACGGATATCAGGAAATGGTAAAAAGCGCCCCCCCTAACAAGTGTTCGCCTCCGATCTTATTGAGTTTCATATATGTTGATGAACACAAAAATCTAAGTCTCTTAATGACATTTTGAAGAATTACCACGTTGACACGACTTATACGATGAATTGGTCACGATATAACCCAATAAAGGTAGTCGGGATATACCCTAATACCACCTACATTCATTGTTTACACCGATGTGTAAATGTTTATTGGTAAAAAGCGAAAAAACACGGATTCTTCATTTTTTGTGAGCAATCACATCGCGTAAGTGGAACTTAAGTAGGAGTGCTCGTTTATTAGATATTACAAAAAAATGTCTCCTGAAGGGTAGTTCACCCCCTTGGGGGGGTGTAGCATTGCTGAACAATATTGTGTTGTCACCGTCCTTATACAGAATACGTTTATGCAAAGTTTCGTCGAAATCCCTCCACTGCTCCTACGAAAAATATTTAAAAAACCGATTTTTCGCTAAACTTTGGGGGGTTGTTTCACCCCTTAATTGTGGACCATTGCAGATATAAAAAAACACGTGTCTCTCAGATTTTTATGTTCTTCAACATATATGAAACTCAATAAGATCGGAGGCGGACACTTGGGAATGTTCCCTTGTAAGTCGGATCCGTAGACTTTAGAAATGTCATTCATTTTTTAATCGCGCATCTCTGAGACCCTGTACAGGACCAACAATTTCAACATTTTCACCTAGTAGCGCACAAATTGAACCTCGGAGTTCTTCGGCAGCGTTGGTTTCGAAATTGCCATCAGTTTAATCCGTTTGTTTCACAATCTTGTCTTCGTAAAGTCTGGCCACCCACAAATTCGCCTTCTCCCACACAGTAATCCCCCGAAAGTTACAGGCGCATCGGGGTCTGCACCCTTCTAAGTACATTACTAAACGTCTACAAGCAAAGTTCTTCCCGAAACCTGAGATACCTTAAATATTGGGTTGTTCGGAAAGTAATTTCGTTTTTTTTTTTATGAAAATGAAAGACGATTTTTTTATAGCGAATAAATATTTTATCGAATTACATATTGTCCATTCTGGTCCAATGCCTTTTGCCATCTTTCTGGAAGTAGCAGGATTCCACGCTCATAAAATGTTTGGTTTTGCTGTCAAAAAAATGATCCAGGTGATTTTTGACCTCCTCGTTGGAAGTAAAGGTTTTACCGTCTAAAAAATTTTGTAGAGACCGGAACAAGTAATAATCGGAAGGTGCCAGATCTGGAGAATATGGTGGGTGTGGCAGTATATCCCATCCAAGCTGTAGAAGCTTTTGGCGAGTTAAGAAACTTGTATGAGGTCTCGCATTATCTTGGTGAAACGCTACACCTTTTCTATTGATCAATGCTGGTCTCTTTTGTTTGAGTGAATTATTCAATTTGTCCAGCTGGTGACAGTACACTTCAGAATTGATCGTTGGGTTGTTCGGTAGAATCTCAAAAAAAAAAACGATTCCTATGAAATACCACCAAACAAATACCATCACCAATTTTTGATGAATTTCGGCTTTCGAAGTTCTGTGAGCCGGTTCATCTTTTTTACTCCATGACCTCTTGCGTGTAACATTGTTGTAGACAACCCGTTTCTCGTCCCCAGTGATGATGCGCTTCAAAAATGGATCATTTTCTTGACGTTTGAGAAGCAAATCACAGACGTCAATGCGATGACACAAATTTCTTTCCGTACGAACACGAGGAATCCATATGTCGAGCTTTGAGATTAAACCTAGACGTTTCAAATGATCATGAACGGTCGAATTCGATAAATTTAATCTCTCAGCGATTTCACGAGTTGTTATTCGCCTGTTTGCATCAATTAATGCCTTTATCGTGTTTTCATCAGCTTTAAATGGCCTTCCAGAACGTGGTGCATCTTCAATATCAAAATTGTCGGATTGAAATTTTGCAAACCAGTTTTGACCCTGGCGTTCCGTCAATACATCTTCTCCATACACGTCGGATAATTTTTTTCTTGCTTGAACAGCATTTTTACCTTTTCGATAGTAAAAAATTAAAATATGCCGAAAATGCCGCTTTTCACTTTCCATATTTGAAAGGGTACCAACCAAAAACCACTGCGTAGAATCAATCAAACTTTTTCACAAGCAAGCCTTGCTAGATCAGTTGTCACAACATATAATGATTATGCGGCTTAAGTGTGAAGTTGGCCGTGAAAAAAAAAATTAAGTCCTCTGTTGAGAAACAACGAAATTACTTTCCGAACAACCCAATAGGTTGTGTTTCTACGGTATGTAACGATCATAAAGCTTAATTTTTTAAGTGATACCAACCACGGAGCAGATATGCGTAAATGACCCTTTATCCGCATAAATAGTTCATTATTGCAAGCTGTTACTTTACCTCCGCTGGACGGAAATCCTTTGTTTCAGGAGCCTGGTGAATAATGTTCAATTGACGAAGCGGCTGCTAGGAATGGCCCCATACAGCTCCGTCTTCTTGGGGATCTGGGGAGTCTTCGTTCTTACACTGATTCAAGGTGCTTTAACACTTTGCATAAATTTCCCCCGAAGAAATAATTAGTCGAGCTGTTTTCATCCTGCCTTTGCAAATATTTTAAGAACGCAGAATTTGAATGACTACCCTGGTAACTCGTTATCTATAAACCCAAAGTATAAATTCGAGGTTTTAGAAAATCTTTCGTGGAATAAGAAGTAACTCTTAAGCCGATTAGAAAAACTTCCACCGAATCACGGAAACGGGAACATTCTAAAGATGTGATTTCTCTGTCACCTTTGTAGCGATGTAGAATTAACGATTTTTAGTTTATTAATAGCCTTTAAAAGTCGTGGGTCATTGGACCGAAGTACGTTATATATTCTGTGATAAATACAGCACCGGTCTGATAAATAAGTTAACAAGGGTGCCCGTGAAACGGTATTAAATCCTGATAGAAATCTGGAAATAGATGTTATAATTACTCTAGCTACAATTGTACGACTTCTGGTACCAATCGATCATACTTAGTGATCAATTATTATCCCATTGGCAATTCATTTGACACGTATCCGTTAAACGTTTCCTTATACAATTATACGCAGTTTCAATAAATTCGGACTTGGACTTGAAATTGTTTCAACAATTTTAGCCTATTTTCTGGATTGTCTAATATGTTACGCGCATTTAGCCTCTGCGGATTTAGCAAAGTTCTCCGGATTGTCTCTGCTCGACAATCGGGTTTCGCATTAGAATTTCCAAGGTAATTTAACTTTGAACATCGTAACTTTTCAGAATCCAAGCCCGTCAGCTGGGAGGAATGGTGGACATACGACGGGATTTCTGGTAAGTGCTTGTTAACAACCTTAATTTCAGCCATTACTCGTTTACTTCATCATAATATATTGCATGGAATGAATAATCGCTTCGTCATGACAATTAAGCCATTACCAGAATTGGAGATAAAATAAATTGCTGATTATATTACTTTAAATTATCCGCGATTTAGTATTTATATAGTTAAATAAATGTATACAATTTTCTAAGCCCTAAAAAACATGCTTCGTGTATTCGTGTATCAGTGGCTGATATTATGGTCTTTTACTAACAATATCTTATTAATAAGTAGGATAAAAATAATTAAATAGATTACTAAAGCAAAGTAAAGCAGTATATTAAACAACGCCATTACTCAAAGTAATCCCTACGTTTTTGTTTTCTTCTCAATTTCTTTACAACATTCATCGTTCATGTAAAATCTCAGCTGATAAATGTTTATTATAGATAGCTTATCGGCAAAGTCAGAAAGGCAGGTTTCCGTCAAATCTCAATATTTCGTAGCCTTCCACCGAATTTCACTTTCAAGTTGATTACAAAATATTCATAAAAAATCCTTCATCGCCTAGGCCTATGACCAAAATGATATTATCAAAGAAAACGGTCTTTATTCTTTTCAAGATCTCAGGTATCGGCCATACCTGTTATACCCGTTACCGAAGCACCTTCCCAGGGGGATAATCGGTTTGATAGAGGTGAAACGAGTCGTTGGAAAAAGTCTGAAAAGTCGCAAATTGCCGACCACAGGGTGCACAAGAGTAATCCTAAATGGAACCGGGTTTCAGGTCCCGCGTTCTGGGGTCTCATCAATCCCGAGTGGTCCCTCTGCAACAAAGGTCGCCGACAGTCCCCGGTTAACCTGGAGCCGAAGCACCTCCTCTTCGACCCGAATCTGCAACCTCTGCACCTGGACAAACATCATGTGAGCGGGGTGCTCTCCAACACCGGGCACGGGATCGTCTTCGTCGTCGACAACGACATCCGCCTTCCCGTCAACATCTCCGGAGGCCCTCTCAGCTACCGATACCAGTTCCATGAGATACACCTCCATTACGGGCTCACCGATCACTCCGGAAGCGAGCACACGGTCGACGGATACGCCTTTCCGGCCGAGGTGGGTTCCTCCTCGTACCGCCTGCCGGAACCACTCTAATCCGCACTCATTAAGAGTGCTCCCACACGAGGGATGAGGGTATTAACCAGGATACTTGGGACGTTCTTATTCCCTTTTTGCAACCTTCGCACCCCTGGGAACTGTCACCGGAATCCCTGGAACAGCGCGTTTGCGAATTAGCCCATCAGGGCTGTTTCACTAGTTTCAGAATGGAATTTAAATTACTTTACGGTGCTTGTAATGCAACATGCCGCGATGAAAATTCAACATTTGGAATGGCAGATCTGCACCTTTGATGAGTTGCTTAAAAATCGGTTAAGGTGAAGTGAAACAATCAAATCAGTCGATTCGAATACAACACTTTTTTTTAAGGGTGTTAGACCAAACTGTCCGAAACATTGACACATCAGTCCTGATCATCTAAGAATTGTCCTGGCACATTCAAAATTTGGATTTTTCAAACAAATTTTTTAACTCAGTCCAGACCGGCGTCGAGCTCTCATATTTCGATCGATATATAATTATCGAAGGCTCTGATATGAGAATCGAAAGGGTCAGGACAATTTTACGACAATTTAGAACACTCTGGTAATCGATAAACTCGCATTTGAACGGGATAAAGGCAAAGAAAGTGTTGTATGCGCTTCTTTGCTAAAACGATGGGAATACGAGGTCTCGGAGTGAAAATTTAATTGACCTGGAAATCACAGATGGCACAGGGGGTCCCTCCGCAGTCAATTAGGGCCCTAGAAATCATGAATCCAGAGGATTTCTGGAGTTTTACTTCGATTTCTATATAATTATTGTACGAAAACGACAGGTGGAATATGCCATTTGGTACAATACCCAATATAATTCGACCCAGCTGTCAATATAAAAACAAACGTCGGCAACGTAGGCATTTAGAAAAATCTTCTTTGTCGACGTTGATCAAGTTCCTCGACGTGTTTCACTTCACCTTAAGGGGGTTGGAAGATTGTGGATACCTTATAATATGTGTGTGTTTAAAAGGGAACGAAAAGGTATAGGAAATGTTGACTTACGGGGCTGTTATATTTCATGTTTTACGGGGAATTTAAGATAAAGTGGATTTAAAATGTTTTAAAATGGTGGGCTTGTAAAGGAAAGTCCTGATTTCTCTCTCATGGTGAGCGTGATTCAGGAGAACAATAAGTTTGAAATGGAGTGTCACGGTGGTTGTAGAAACTAGGACAGATTATTTAAGAACCGAAGGCAAGAATTTTTACAAGAATTTTTGTTCCAAAGATGTTACTAATTAAAGTATAAAAATCAGTGATTTTCATTGGCTCTTTTCTTACTGGAATCGGAATTTCTCTTTCATCGAAAATCTGCACCGTCGGTTCATAAATAATTCCTTCTAGTCTCTAAAACCACCTAAAATATTGTTTTTCTGACCTCCAGAATTTTCACGCCTCGATAACTCCGCCATTTTGAAACATTTCAAACCTATTTTACTTTAAATTGTCCTTAGAACATGAAATAAAACAGCCCCGTAAGCAAATATTTCCTATGACTTTTCATTTTTATTTAAACTCATTTTAATCAGAACACATTTCACACAACTATTAACCCCACTAATGGACGTTGATAGAAGTTCATGCATGAAATTGACCGAATATATGAACTGAGGGCATTATTAGTTGTTTGAAAAAGGCATGTATTTTAGTGATTAATGGTAGAAGAAAAATGCTATTAACAGGTTATCACGTTTTCTCGGTTAACAAATGATCCCTCTGGTCCTCGGGAACGACGCGTTAAAGTTTGAAAGAATTTTGTACGCTATCTTTGAAAAATAGTAACCGAAGTTGTTGGTAAACTCGGTAAAATGTCGCCGTGAAACCCCTTAAGGCGATGTCAAGTTTTGGAAAGGGTTTCAGCCCACACATAGCCGCAAGATATCTGGAGGTGAAATGGAAAATACGTATTTGTAGGAAAAATGTCGAAAATGCAGAAGCTTTCAGGTAACATTAAAAAATCGTGTATTTTTGAACAAAAGGTTATCACGTCAAGGTACATCATTTTTCACCATTGCGTATAAAATCAACAAATATTGATTTTGTTTTCTCCATCTGTTACACGTACCATGCAGTACGATATAAAATTTAAAAATACTAGTAATGAACATCCGGTAACAAAAAAAAGATATTTTAAAAGGATAACGTTTAAACGGTAATAGGTTGGCGAAAAGGTATCTTCACCATTCCAGTTGAATCCAATTTTCTGTTTCAGCAGGCAATATCATTGCACGGGTTAGCTTTTTGCTCTTTTCAATGCGAGTATTAATTTAACATCAATTTAACAACGTTAAAATGAGTAATTACTCCACTCGTTGCGAAACGCTTCGCCCAAGGGGAGGCATGGAGTTCTCTTATTTCTGAAATGTTTTTAAAATAATCCGATCTAACATTAATTAAAAACGGATGTCGGAGAACGTTTGATGGAAATTCATGGGAAGGTGATTTTTTACTCCGGAGAATCTCTTGAAAATAAATTATCAACCGATAGCAATTAACGAAACGTATAATTGGGTACAACCGGATCGTTCATACCGTTTTCATTTCAATTGTTTATGTTTGTTTGTCACCGGACATTTGGTCTGGCGTTAAAATTAGAACACGGTGACACATAGTCTCATGCACACATGTCCTCCCCACTCGGCACGTGTTCTGAACATGTTAGGAAATTTCCAGATCCCAGCACTTTCTGCCTACGTGACACCAGGACTTGGTACTTCCCTTATCCTGGGATTTTGGGACGCGTTTCCCAAGGGACGCATCTCCAAGTCGTTCGTCCAGATAAACATATAAACGTTTCACCGTTTCCAGACTCTCTCCAAAATCCGCGAATTCTTTGGAGATCTCTCATCTAAATCGATCATTCGCGATAAGACCACTTTCCTCGAAATACCTTCTTTACCTCTAATTCCTATAGCAATTATCTCCCTTTTTCGTTATACTTACCTCTTCAAAAGCCCTATTTTAAGGTGAACTGAAACATCCTTCAAATCAGTCGATTCGAATACAACACTTTTTTTTAAGGGTATTAGACCCAACTGTCCGAAACTTTGACACATCACTCCTGATCATCTAAGAATTGTCCTGACACATTGAAAATTTGGATTTTTCAAACAAATTTTTTAACTCAGTCCAGACCATAACCAAAATGGCGTCGAGCTCTCATATTTCGATCGATATACAATTACCGAAGGCTCTGATATAAGAATCGAAAAGGTCAGGACAATTTTACGACAATTTAGAACACTCTGGTAATCGATAAACTCGCATTTGAACGGGATAAAGGCAACAAAAGTGTTGTATGCGCTTCTTTGCTAAAACGATGGGAATACGAGGTCTCGGAGTGAAAATTTAATTGACCTGGAAATCACAGATGGCGCAGGGGGTCCCTCCGCAGTCAATTAGGGCCCTAGAAATCATGAATCCAGAGGATTTCTGGAGTTTTATTTCGATTTCTTTATAATTATTGTACGAAAACGACAGGTGGAGTATGCCATTTGGTACAATACCCAATATAATTCGACCCAGTTGTCAATATAAAAACCAACCGCGGCAACGTAGGCATTTATAAAAATCTTCTTTATCGACGTCGATCAAGTTCCTCGACGTGTTTCACTTCACCTTAAGATTACAATCCTTATCTCCCTCTTTCAGATACTACACGATTCCACCCAGTCGGTCTTCCTCTTCTAGCGATCCCATTTTTCAACGTCCGTTATCTCGGTTCACTGAAAACGCGATTTGATTAGCGAGAAGCGAGAATAACGAAATAGTTGCAGGTGCAAGCCTCCAAGTTAAGTGCACAGCTGTTACGGCAATTATTCCGTTCCAGTTTCCACGCCTTATTATTTATTACATAAATGGTCCTTCGCATCTGGGGCATATTATAATCCCACGATAAAGGAGAGAATCCCCCTACGCGTTTCCATTTTTAAAATTCAATTCACCAACCTAAACGACGTCGAATTTCTGAAAAGGACATCTGCACCACATCATTTTATCCTATATATCCGGAGGAATTGTACGTCTCACAAACGAAAGATCTGAAAATGAAGAAAAACCGGAGTCGCGTACCAATTCAACTCAATTAAGATTCCTCGGCGTAGTTAACCAAGTCAGAGGATAATTGCGCGTTTCCCCAAGGAATTGCGCCTTAGGTACCAACACGGTACAATGCATCGGGGACCCGACATTAGGAACTCAATCGGCATTTCTCTTCCTTGCATACCTATGTACGCGTATCTCCAGTCGCTCCATCGAGACGTTCCGAACTCCGAGAACGACACCGACTGACGAGGACAAAATGTCTTTTCAGATCCAGATCTTCGGGTTCAACTCCCATCTGTACAACAATTTCTCGGACGCGTTGCATCGTGCTCAGGGCATCGTGGCGGTGTCCCTCTTGCTGCAAGTACGTGCTCAATCTGGCCGACGTAACAAGTACCCCATCGCGCATTATCGACAGCCGAGATTCGCGACCGCGATACATCATGATCGTACATATCGTGTTATCTGGGATCTCTTTCAGGAGGGCAACCTCTCGAATGCGAGGCTGAGGACGTTCACGGACCAGCTGGAGAAAATCACATTCCACGGTAAGTGGTGTAAGCAAAATTGCACGTAAGGTGCAGTGGTCGGCGAATGCACCCCGTGCATTCTCGAGCAAGATGCGTATCAGCGCGTGCACGCGTGTCGGAGTGACATTATCCGAGGTACGAATTGCGCAGGGGATGCCGTGAAAATTAAACACTTCACCGTGTACGATCTGCTGCCGGACACGAAGCATTACATGACCTACGACGGCTCCACCACGATGCCGGCCTGTCACGAAACCACCACGTGGATCATACTCAATAAGCCCATATACATAACGAAGCAGCAGGTAAGACTCTTACCCTAGTTTGGAGTAAATCATCCCTCGTCGAACACGTACGCCCGAAATACGTTACACCTGTAAATGTGTCACGAGAGGGTGAACCTCCTCGCTCCTGCCATGAGATAGGTAACACGTAAGTCGTCTTGAAAGGTGGGAATTAAGGCGTCACGTAATCCGTATGTTTACCCTTCTGCGTGTACCGGAAGCGTGCAATCATCGGGTATTATGCAGAATGCCCAGATGAGGCGAAGAACAAGGGAAATGGTACTAGAAATGTTTAAGAACTGTTTTATGCCTGGTTTAAAATCGACTTGGAAGGAAAAATTACTTGAGGGTGACAATTGGTACGAAATATACATCGTTTGATAAGTGGATATAGAAATGGTCTAAGAATTGTACACTTTTATTCGAAAGGGTTATTAATGAGGATGACAATACTATGTAGGATCAAATTTCAAGTGTCAGGATTAACATGAACGGTTGATTTAACAAAAAATTAATATAAAAAAATTGAATACATTGAAGAGTACGTCTTAAAGATCTCAGAAAAAGGGAATTGATTTTCCCTCCGACTTCGCTGGAGCTCTCCTCAGTCAGAACTAACTCCCATTTGATCATTCTCATCCAGCCTCACTCTAATTTCTTTCTCCCTCAATTCATATTCCTCACTCTCTCATTCCCACACTCATCAATACATTTCTTTGTGCGTCAAAATTCTCACTCACTGAGTCATACGGCCGCTCGCACTTCACGAACTCTCAACCACGCATAAACGGTGTCACCTATCGAGCTGTCATTTAATCTAAATACTTCTCATTTCACCCCACAATCATAGAAATATTACATTTCACTCTAACTTCTATTTAGTCTTATTCTTAATCTTTATTGCCTTATTGGCGACACAACTATTCGTATATTTAAACGCTTTCATTTTTTTCTTTATTCTATTAACTTTATTGGACCGCACAGGGCACTGACACTACAGTTATATTTTTCTTTAATAATAGCAACAATGCGTGGCTCGCTATATGCACACAATGATAGTATCGATACGAGCTAAGGGGCGTTATATATGTGGTGTATATAACTAGGAATGAAAATATTAAAGGTAACGGGGGTAGATGGTTGAGGCAAGAAATGTATGTCGATGACCAAGAGTTGATGATCTAAACGTGCATATTAATATTTTAGATTCTCGCCCTGCGCCACTTAATGCAGGGAAATAGCGAGAATTCAAAAGGGCCGCTTGGAGATAACTTCAGACCACCGCAACCTCTTCATCATCGTTCGGTTCGAACGAATATTGACTTTAAAGTTCAGGTAAAGTATATCCATCGTCTAATTCTCTTGATGCACGTCTAGGGAACAATGTGAACTAATGCGTAATGTTTGCCTAATTATGCACAGAGAGTTTGGGAATATGCTATAACGTTGTTTTCGGTGAAGATTTCAGCAATTATAAAATCCTCTGCTGAAATTAAAGCAATTAAATGTAATTTTCGATACGTTTGTTAATGAAGGTGATAACTAATGTTTACTACCTTGGAGGACTGGTATCTTAATTCCGTTATCACCTGTTCCATTCAGTGTTATGTCACGTTGTTCTTCTTATACGTACTTGTCGAGCGTAATTATCTTTTCCATTTAGTATGCAATAGTAAACAATGAATTATTTCTTTCAAATACAGCAAGGATCTAAAAACTGCCCAACGATGAACAGGGATATATATTACAAAGGTATATATAATGAAGTATTTCTAAAACGCGTCATGAACTCGCAGAAACAGTAATTTGACCCTTAACTATCGGTGATATCTTCCAATTTCCTATTTTCACGTGACATCGTAAATACTTGGACATATATAATTCTATGAATAATGAATACCGAGGTTTAATATATATTATATAAATTTTCTCAATAAATGCAAATGCAGGCGGAACTAGAATACGAGCGAATAAACATTTTATGAACTTTTATCTTTCTTAATATGACTCGTGCTTATGGTACAATATAACTCTTCAATTCAAAGTGATATCCATTGGAAGTTTCAGAAATATTGTTTTCTATTGATCGAAATGTATTTTATTGGAACATACTCTAAGACGAACCGTAATGCATCAAATCACAGTATTGTCATAACTTTCTCAACAACTTAGGTAATATAAAAATAACATCCGAGGAGTCTCGTTTGTGAAACTTTTCTCCAAACTGGGTATACCAAATCATTTAATGTTTTATCACGTGAATATGAAGGTCCTAAGGAAGGTCCTAACACCTACGAAATTTAAACTCTTTTCAAACATGTTTATAACATATTTTTAATTCGTTACAAAAAACTAAATGTTACGGGTATTAGAGCGTTTTTCGGGGTCTTCTCATTCATCTAACAATATTTCAACTGTTCGGAGAAAAGTTTCATAAACTATTGACCACTCAAGTGTCACTTTTGTATTACTTAAAAAAAAAAGATATTATAAAATTGCAGTCCTTTTAAATTCCATAGGAATCTTATCTTTGTTCTGAATATGTAATTTAAAAATGAGGGTTATCTATTAACCGAAAAGTTAAGGGTCAATCACTGTGATTCGAGTGTTCACCCAAATCGTGATGATCTTTTGTCATTTATTAGCTAACAGCTGGAAATAGCCATGAAGCCTCGAGGAAGCTTCGATCGAACCGCAGTACTACGCTTTCTTTCGAAGGAGTTGGAACTTCGCTGTAAAAAATTGACATATCAACGCGCACACGAGATGCGAATCTTTGGGACGGGTGGATTCGCGTCGACGTGAGGAGAGAATTGCTTCGTTGTAACTTATTAGACGTGAATTGCCAAGTATGTTTCCAGTAACGGATAACCTATAGTTACATAGCGAATTAAAAGTATCGTAAGAGTATATGATATATTATATACATATATCGATTACTATGAAAGCTATTGACTATCGTCGCCTGCGAGGGTGAGATGCGACTATGTATAAAAATGCATACGTGACAAAGCGTATGACCGAGCGCAAAGTTTATACTATATTCTTGTAATAAAAATGGTTAAAAGCCAGACAAAGGGGTATCATCGAGTAGGACCACGACCTTATACGTGAAAAGACCTACGTTTGTTGACAGGGAAAAAAAGTTTGGGAGGACGAATATCTCATGAATGAGACGTTAAATTCGGATACGAGTCTGCCAGAATTAATTTCCCATATTCAACCAATAATATTTATAAAAGATACTTGTTGGTTGTTATACATCTCTATATTTCCTACGTTGACTAACACATGAAACGACGACAGTCCATCCATTTATGCTACTTAATATTGCAAAACCATGAACATAGTTATATTTTGTGAAACACCGGGAACTAAATCAATTTTCGCAATCAAAGAACATGGTTATCTGTACGTTTTAGTACGTTATCGAGTAAAAGGTGTCACCAATACAGGTCTTTATCCCACGCACTATCTCCCGCTTTTTAAACTGTAATTTATTACGTGATTCCATTCCATTGTTCGTTTCCATCCATAGACACCCTTAGTTGTATGGAACTCATAAGCCTTATGAACTTTGTTGAAAGTCGAGAGCCATGTTCAACGATGCTTTTAACGACCGGTAGTACCCGATGATTCCAATAGAAATGTCTTTTCATCGATTTGTACTTGTTACTGTTCCATGTTCAAGCACTCATCCCTGATGGCCCTGTTGCTTCGAGTCAATCCGACAGAATAGCGAATTTCCACGAACAATACCCACTCGGTGTCGATAATGCAGCGGTTTATTTATTTCATATTGATTCGCATTTCTCTTATATCCTTCCGTTATCATACCGACAACGCGGACAATATTGTAGCCTTCCTCTTCCAACCTTTCACAGGCGCTTTAAAATGAACAATTTTACAGTTAAAATAAAAAGCTTGCTTAGATGAATCCCTTTACATGAAATTGTCCAGTTCTTTTATTTCGGTTCATTTTGGAAACGGTCTCATATTTATTCACATCGTCGAATGCAATAGTTACTAGATACAAATTAGTATCCCTGGCATTAATCCAAAGAATAGCAGAAAGATGTAATCATTACATTTTTATCACGCGAGGAATTAAATGACTGACAATGAGAAGCTTTGAAATAAAGAATCGCATTAAAAAAAAAAAGAGTATGTAAGTTGAATAGTTCGAATAAGGCTTGGAGTCATAATATGTGTATTAAAATCGACCGGCTGAAAATTAGAGATTAGATTAACACTCGACATCGTTCTTTTCGAAAATGAACGCAGTTCATGTTTCGTCGTATACCTCGATTACCGTTTTTATACAATTAATAAATATGCCTTTTTACGCCACATTATTTATAAAACATTCCTTTCAGACACAGGAATATAAATGTCTCAAAGTTAACATTACATCTACCTTTCGGTAAATATTATACTGCACAACGAACACGTCGCTATAAATCTTATTTACTTACGATAATGATTTATAGCCCAGGGGGAAAAATTAAATCAGCCTTGAAATAAAACAAACACAGCTGTCAATATTACCCTGTGCACAAATTGGCAATCCATGAAAACATTAGCAGAGATCGCAATTTAACAAAATTTCGAATTTCGCTGAACACCGTAAACAATACAAAAAAAAAGGAAAACGCTGATCCTCGTTATAATATAAATAATATTTATTTGCGTCGCAATTACATCGCCACCAATTGAGTGGCACTTGGCGCGCATTTTTATCCGAAAAACTCTCTATCAACGAGAAACGCAAATTTCCCCTCCTCCTTGAAGCAGACTATCCAAAACTGGAATAAATTACCTCGATCTCTCGACATGTACCAGGATATCGATTAAAGCCGCAGGACAGGTGCCTACCGGAAATAAAGTTTCATCGACCGAAAGTAACGCTAACTCCCCTCAATCCGCCCTCCACTCCCCGAAATAAGGAAGCATATAAAAGTCCCTCATCCCCAGGGGGATCCATTCCGGCAGAAGTCGCCTCCGTGCGCAAGGTGCCTGCCAAGTCACGGTGGACCCTCCTCGCCTCCCCAAAATCCCGAAAAATTGCCGGCAGAAGAAGTAGGTGGCGCCACCTACCCCGTAGTTCTCATCAGTTACCTTGCCCTTACGCGAGCGTCTCCGCGAGAGGGGTAGATGTAAGGGCGTCGAAGGTCCGCCGAAAGGTGCGAGTGGCGAGCGGGAGAAGGACGGCACATGGGAGGGAGGGTGACGGGAACAGGCGGAGTGGGGAGGGGAGGGGGGTAGAATTTCATTGAACGCTCCCAGAATTCGACGGTGCTGCTCCGCCGGCTATGCGGCAAGAGCCTCGGGAAGGGAGAGCAGTGACGGGCGGCAGGTTTACGGAGGCGTCGTAGGGCTGCTACGGATCCGCGAGAGTGTGCCGAGTCGAGACGGGAGCAGGCCCATTCGGCGAGGAGGCCGGGATGGATCGCAGCACCCGGCCTGGATTAGGGTGCCGGGGCAGGAGGAGGAGGTAAAGAGCGCTCGAGAGCGGCGCCAGGCGCCGGAACCTTCGGCCTCGGTCTCGACTCCGGCTTCGGGTTTCTGGTGCCGACCGTAACGGATATCCCCTCGCGATGGCTCGCGACTCCCGACGATGAGATGCCCGCGCAAAGGCTCCTCTGAGGGTCCCCGCGCGCGGCCGCAGAGTGCCACCTGCGGGACGCGCTGCTCCGTCGACGCCTCCTGGACCGCGGCGGTTAGCTCCGACCGACGCCGAGCGCCCGCACTCGCGTCACTTCGGGGACGGGGAAGACCCCAAACGCACAACAAGGAGTGGAAGTAAGGACTAAGGGTTAAGAATTATTTATACCTCTAGTGTACGCTCGAGGATCCGGGACTACGCCTGTTGAGCCTATTTACGTATACGTGCTGTGATTATTCGTACGTGGGGACGTTTTCCTGGCTCTCGCCTATACTCGTCCGGCATGTTCGGACTCTCTTAGGACGAGCAACGAATGATTCGTACATGCGGACTAGTTTTTCCTGGCTCTCGCCTATACTCGTCCGGCATGTTCGGGCTCTCTTAGGACGAGCAACGAATGATTCGTACGTGTGGACTGGTTTTTCCTGGCTCTCGTCTGTCCTCGTCCGGCATGTTTGGGCTCTCTTAGGACGAGCAACGAATGATTCGTACGTGTGAACTAGTTTTTCCTTGCTCTCGCCTATACTCGTCCGGCATGTTCAGGCTCTCTTAGGACGAGCAACGAATGATTCGTACGTGCGGACTGGTTTTTCCTGGCTCTCGCCTATACTCGTCCGGCATGTTCGGGCTCTCTTAGGACAAGCAACGTAAATTAGTGTGCCGAGGAGTGGCGCGAGAAAGTGGTTGGAATCGTTTCGGCCGATCGGGAGCTAAATAGAGTGATCTGTACCTTATCAATACCCGACCCTGTTGGAAGATGTTTTCCTCCGCGAGGTGAGTCGCCGATTTATGAGGAAATTTACTCGGATGTGGAAACTCCTCTCGGCGGATGTTTAAACACTGGAAAATTGAATGTTCGGTCTGTTCAGGGAAGGGCCTCGGATCGAATGACGTCAAACGTATTGATTTTTTAAATCGTTTTTCCGCGTTTTGATGTTTACGTGGGAACCGAACTATATCCGGTAGGGAGAGATGGACGAGAAGTGGAAAATATCGGATCAAAATACGCGTTTCAATGCGTCTGCGTGCGGGAGTGGTTGGTTGAAACATGTATTTTGGCCGGGCACGTCTCCTTTCTCTTTTCGGTTCTCTTTTTATGGGTTATCGAAAATCTATGGTTTGAGTATTAAGAGCCTAAAGGGTTCGGATGTATGGGGCGGATTATGCCGATCGGTGAATATTAGATCAGAGCAATTTGGGGACATGGTTGGGATAGTTCATTGTCAATGCGGAGCACGGACGAGAACTTATTTATATGAGCCTTCTGGTACGCGAGCAACGCGTAAGAATATATATTTAGTACAACGTATTCGCTTGGCAAAAACGTAAATATATGGCTGACCGTTTGGGATGATTTCCCTTGATACGGTGTTGGCAAATGATGTACTATCGAACCGGGAAACGTGCCCTCCAACGTTTTGGGGCGCAAACAGATACGGTGTCCAAGATCTCGTTGAACGCAACTCGTGTAACACAGGACAAACTGTCAAGATAATTAGAAGCAAACATTCTGCAGGATATGAAACACTCGAGTGCTGCCCGTGCAATTTCGTGCCGTTATATCAAACCAAATTAGCAACGGAGAAGTGATCCCGTCGTTCTTCGGAAACGAGTTTAAAAGTTAAAATTGCCTAATATGAATTAATAACTCGCTTATCAAGAACGAACATCAAGATGAACAGTTAGTTGAACGGGGAAGGAAGAATTTGCAGACCCATGATTACGCGATCTTTCTTCGTCGATAAGATAAATCGTCCAATTTAGTCACATAGTGCGTAAACTCCACGCCATTGATAATTTACTTATTCAAATTAAACTTGATAATGATCATCGTAGTATAATATGCCGCAAATGGTGTAACATTTATTCATTCATGTAAATTAACTTACAGCGGCATAAGATCGACACCGGCAGTTACTTACAATGCGGTTGTGCCTCGATCGAAGACCGTTCATCAAACCCTACAGAGGACGGAGTAACAAGATTTATTCCACAGCTCGATGGCAAAGTCCTCTTGACATGTGCGACAAAATAAAAGTAAGAATTCAGACAGGGACGGTAAATAAGCCTGCTCCGAAGTTTTCCAAGCTCTTTAAGGTGAAGTGAAACCCCCTTCAAATCGGTCGATTCGAATACAACACTTTTTTTTAAGGGTATTAGACCAAACTGTCCGAAACATTGACACATCACTCCTGATCATCTAAGAATTGTCCTGACACATTCAAAATTTGGATTTTTCAAACAAATTTTTTAACTCAGACCAGACCGGCGTCGAGCTTTCATATTTCGATCGATATATAATTATCGAAGGCTCTGATATGAGAATCGAAAGGGTCAGGACAATTTTACGACAATTTAGAACACTCTGGTAATCGATAAACTCGCATTTGAACGTGATAAAGGCATAAAAAGTGTTGTATGCGCTTCTATGCTAAAACGATGGGAATACAAGGTCTCGGAGTGAAAATTTAATTGACCTGGAAACCACAGATGGCGCAGGGGGTCCCTCCGCAGTCAATTAGGGCCCTAGAAATCATGAATCCAGAGGATTTCTGGAGTTTTACTTCGATTTCTTTATAATTATTGTACGAAAATGACAGGTGGAATATGCCATTTGGTACAATACCCAATATAATTCGACCCAGCTGTCAATATAAAAACCAACGGCGGCAACGTAGGCATTTAGAAAAATCTTCTTCATCGACGTTGATCAAGTTCCTCGAGATGTTTCACTTCACCTTAAAGTCGTCTCCAATTTATTGGACGACGACTTGTTACGTATTGCTGGACTATTAGCGAGAGGGTATGACCGAGGTATCAGCTAGTCATCGATTTTAGGAAACAGGAATATTGTATTAGGGAACCCATTACGATTCCATATCAGAAGGGCTATTTGAGCTATTGTTCCACTACCAATGTAATCTGTGCTGTTGTAATCCGATTTACAAGAGCGGTACGTCGATCGAGGATTATTGCATTTACATGCTAAACGAGGCTCATCGAAAGGGAATTAACGGCAAGAAATGACACTCGGAGTGGACAGGAAGAGAGCAGTTTTCCATTCCTTTTCCGCACCCGGGAATAGAAGTGTGTACAAAAATCGAACGAAGAGCAAAGTCGAGAAGCGCTTTAAAGGAAACGGCCTGCAATTGGCTAATGGAGCTTTTAAACTCTGCCTTTAATAACGAAGGCCGAACTCCAAAAAGGCAGCCATCCATTTTGGTAGGCCACGTCAATGCGAGACCGCGCGGACGACGAAATTCGTATATTCAAAGCGCAAAAAGCGGGTCAATTGCCACTTGACAGAGAGTGTCCCATACACTCAATTAACATCTATAATAAAACCCAAATTGTGCTCCGAAAAAAGCGCCTCCATTAATTACAAGAGAATGGAATGATTCCGGTTAATGCAACATTTATAGATTAGATGGCTATGATTTCCATTGCGAGCGTAATCGCGGCCGCAATTGAGTTTGGAGGATAGTATCAATTTTATCCTCCTGTGCTTATCAGGAAAATACTCGCGTTTGATGCGATGCGGAGGAACGTTGTTTTATAGCTGAGAGTGTCCCATACACTCAATTGTGCCCATAATTATGAAAGTGGTCTAAGTCATATATTTTTTGTTTCGAAATTACATTGAATTAATTTCGTTCGAAATAATATGGCGTGAAATAATTGATAAACTCATTTTTTTTTTAATTTTGACTTAGACCACTTTCATAATTATGGGCACAATTAACATCTATAATAAAACTCAAATTGTGCTCCGTAAAAAGCGCCTCCATTAATTACAAGCGAATGGAATGATTCCGATTAATGCAACATTTGTAGATTAGATGGCTATAATTTCCATTGCAAGTGTAATCGCGGCTGCAATTGAGTATGGAGGATAGTATCAATTTTATCCTCCTGTGCTTATCAGGAAAATACTCGCGTTTGATGCGATGCGGAGGAACGTTGTTTTATAGCTCATGGCTCATCCACGTTGAAAGAGACGATCGCAATCTACATTTGCAGCAGTATTTGCGAACAACTCGCCGCTAGCATTCGCTCCTAGTTTGCCTAGATTTTCATCCCAACAAATCGCCTCGGTCATAACTCTGCTTGCAAACGACTCGAAACACAACCTTTCCCAGATCCTTCTACACTGACCCGACACTTTTCGTCGACGTTAAACCGTTTTATGTCTGCCCGCAGTAAACCACGCCACTCTAATTGCTTATTGTGTACGGATGTATTCGGAAAATAGCTTTCATTTGTAAGAGCATTCAAACGTTGTTGTACTACATGTCGTTCGTGCAGTCAATTGTCCAGCAGTTCATCGTTTGATGCAAAACCACAATTTACTCTACCAGACCTTATCGACATGTACCTACAACGTACTGGAAATTATAGTTTTCATAAGAGCTCTAACGAGAAATTAAAACCATAGACGGTAATGTAGTAAAGTATAATTCTATTTTAATAGAATGAAATCGTAAGCTACAATAATTGAAATTTAATAATGTATAATTGGAGACTCGCATCTTTGACATCGTCCAAAGGTACTCTTTTCCCGGGAAGTCAATTTCTTTTAATAGTTTTTTATGATTTACCGTTTCCTGAAGGTCTGAATTTAGATTGAGTTTTCTTCAATTTGCCTAATTTACCTAAACCATTCCTGTTAATGATGTTTGGAATTTCAGAAATTGCTCCTTGCAAAATGTTATGTCGTTCCTCCTCTTTTTGTAGGTTAATACCTACTTTTACCCATTTCTCTTGCTTAAATTTAACTAGGTAAACTCCAAGAGTAGTTAATGGAAGAATTAATGTTAATGGAAAATAAACATCGGCCAACGTATCTGAAACACTGTACCGTATTTGAACATTCATTTACATTAATGCCTAGAAGAAAGGTCAACAAATGTTCCTGAGATAAAAAATTGAACGAATACGTCCAAGAATAATGATATGGAACGGAAAGGTTACTTGTAAGTACACCTAGACAAAAAATACTTTGATTTATCGCTGTACAGTAATTTAAAATGGGCTGCTGAAATGTATACATTATTGAAGAATACATTTGTAACTTTCAGTAAAATAGGTACCAAAAATAAAGACTAAATATCTTCCTCAAAGTAAACATTACTAACAAAATACATATTAAATTCACACTCGGACAGATCAATAATCTTAATTTCAGGAGGTGTACTCCTCAATTTCGAAATTGCTAACGTAACGAAGAAAGCACTTCTTGTTAACATCCTCGTGTTCGGTAATCTAAGGAACAGCAATTTATATAAAGCTAAATGCAAATTATAAATCTCGGCGAAGTCTTGGGTCCCTTTGCTGGAACTCTTCCAAAGGGGATTTGCACTTTGAGAAGTTTCAGTAAAGACTTTCTCAAATTCAGTGTGTGAGGTCAAATATAAATAAGCATTAACGGAATACGCTGCAAGGCACATTATTCGGGACACATCCAACATTTGCCTTGAAAAGTCTTTGCGAGTCTTTGTGAGTCTTTTGGAGGCCCTGCTACTGGATTAATCCCAACGAAACTTCATTCAGACTAAATTAAGCCATTCCGGAGATGAACATTTCTGTCGGAGAAAAAATGCTCACTCGACGCGGATACGTCAAAGGTAGATTTAATGACAACGGGAAATAATCTCCAGATAGGATTTTGATCTTCCAACCATCCCCTGTTGCCGGGCTAAATCCTGTAGACTCTTCTTCGTTCAACGAACTTCAGAAATGCCACGCTTGCACAAATGCCTCCGTGATCGATGCGGTTGGACAGGATGGAGTGCTGGGCGAGGTACAGGGGTGCATGCCCTTAAGTGCCTCTTGTAAGGCATAGCATTGCAGGTTTCGTTAACGCTAGCTACATCGCTGGTCGCCACTGTCCTCATAATCCTGCATTAGTGATGCATCTGTCTATGAAAATACACGTACTTAATCCTGCATAAAGTTGGGAGAGGATCCCAAAGTGTAGGTAGACCCGGGAGAGCCCGTAGCGAGCCGCTCCACTTGTACAACGTAATTGGCATTAATAAAATCGTTACCGTTAACAAAATTATTAATACTAACGATGTTGGACTTTAATTTTAAACGGCTAACTATGCTGCTAATTACGAGTTAACGGCCGGTGATCACTGAATTTTTATATGTGTATAGTACTAGCACTTTGTAAGATACTTATATCCTATAGTACGGGAGCGTTACGGATATTTTATTTAAAATATTAGCTTGTTTCAGATGTTAGACTTTAATTTTAAACGGCTAACTGTGCTGCTAATTACGAGTTAACGGCCGGTGATCACTGCGAATTTTTTATATGTGTATAGTACTAACACTTTATAAGATACTTATATCCTATAGGACGGTAGCGTTACGGATATTTTATTTAAAATATTAGCTTGTTTCAGATGTTAGACTTTAATTTTAAACAGCTAACTATGCTGCTAATTACGAGTTAACAGCCGGTGATCACTGCGAATTTTTTATGTGTATAGTACTGGCACTTTGTAAGATACGTCCTTTAGGATACTTGTATCCTAAAGGACGGTAGCGTTACGGATATTTTATTTAAAACATTAGCTTGTTTCAGATGCACAGCCTCAAAGTTTTCGATTGCGCCTATATATATATTTTTTTTTTGGCGCGAAACTCTGCCGAGTTTCTTAATGATAGAACTGTACCGTTGCGCAGTATTTTATTTTAAATATTGACTTGTTTAAGATGCGGAGCCTCAAAGTTTTCGATCGCGCCTCTATATATATATTTAGCGGCAAACTCTATCGAGATTCTTAATGATAGGACTGTAGCGTAGCGGAGTATTTTTATTTTAATATTGGCTTGTTTCAGATGCGGAGCCTCGAAGTTTTCGATGACACGCCAATAGGGAGAATGTAAGCTGTTCGTGGTTGCGTCTAAGACTGCCATTGGTTACCATGAACTATTCAGACTCTCACGGCCTAAGGTCTCGGAAAAAGTCCTGGAGGATCTGGAGGAGAAGATAAAGTCTACCTTGGAGAAATGGAAGGACGTCGTGACGCTGCCCTCGAGGGAATGCTTCTCTTCGCCGAGGACCAATCCAGTAAAATATTTTTCACGACGTTCTCAAAATGTCGAAGGTCCTATAAATATATGCCTAACGTTTACGTGCTCGGTTTGATGTGTCAAGGAAATGAGCTCTTAAAGAAGAACGTAGACCCACGTAATTAGAACACCGAAATCGTCTTATGAAATATACCTAATAGCGTCATTGGACGGTCATAAATATGCAGCCACGTCTTTTATCGCCGGAATCGAGACATCTGTATTACTGCCATTACTATTGACGTTTATATCTTATTAATGTACACGTAAATAAGGTACTGCCTGCCGGTATGAGATCTAGTATTTGATAGAACAAGAGAAAGGAAAAGACAAATATTTAAAGAGGAACTAAGATTGTTTTATCCTCTCTCTTGTTAAAAAAGAATCCGAGAAACAATTCGAATGATTTACACAGCAAGCTTTTCTTCTTACGAGAAAAATGCCGTCTGGCTCTGGTTTTCATTTCAATCGATATTCGAAGTAAATACGTTTCTTGGCCCATCAAATAATATTTGAAAACCTCGGGGCATGCATAGTCCTGCATTACGATTAGGCTGCTCTGTCTGAAATAAATGGAGGCTCGCTCGAGCGAATAACCAAAAGCTGCAATGGAACGTAAGCTGCGTCAAAACACAGATGGCTTAAATTACATACACCGGGTTAAAGTATGGTTGCGACGTGGTCTCGTCGATTTAGTCATATTTCCACAGTGTCCGAGCCGCGGTGGTGTGTCGCTGCATCCTATATTTGGATATTACTTCGCTCGCGAAATTGGACGTGACATAGCCGCGAATCGTGTTATTGCCCAGAGCCCAGTTCAGTTCTTACGCGATTCTAGTCGAATATAAGCCAGAGAAAAATACAGACAGGTAGGAAAATAGAAAATTTCGACCCTGACGTTCCACCTTTTTGCAGGCTGGAGTTCCGAGTCCGAGAATCGAAGGCATAGGGAAGGAACCAGTGACGAGAAAATGAACGTTTGAATATCTAGGTGTGTTCCACGTTGGACTGTCGATAAAACCACGGCTAGGAGGACGGAGACGACAGGGCGGTGTTATGTTAGTAACACGCAGTCACCCTCTTCGAGGGCGCATCCTACTCGCCCTCTTCATCTTAATCGGAAGCTTCGCTTTGCCGTCCCGAGCGGCCGCTTTCCCGGATTGGACGGACTGCCCCGCGGTGTGTCGATGCAAATGGACGTCGGGGAAGAAATCGGCCCTCTGTCCGGATGCCGGGTTGACGTCTCTTCCGGCCTCCCTCGACCCGAACATGCAGATCCTCGACCTGTCAGGTAACAAGATTCCGGCCCTGCAGGCGGAGATCTTCAAACGAGCCGGGCTGCTGAACCTCCAAAGAGTCTTCCTGAGGAACGCCGGGATCCACGAGATCCACGTGGACGCGTTCAAGGAGATGCGCATCTTGGTGGAGGTCGACATGTCGGACAATCACGTAACCAGCCTCAATCCGGAGACGTTCTTCGGCAACGAGAGACTGAGGATACTGATACTGAGCGGCAACCCCCTAGGCGTGGTGCAGCGTCACCAGTTCCCGGTTCTCCAGCACCTGAGGAACCTCGAGCTGCAGCGGTGTTCCCTGACCAGGATACACGCCCAGGCGTTCGCCAGATTGCTGGGCCTGGAGTCGCTCAGGCTGGATGGGAATCAGTTGGAGTATCTGGACGCCGCGGTCATCTCCAGCCTGTCGCACCTGAAGACCCTGACCCTGGACGGGAACCGGTGGAGCTGCGACTGTCGCCTGAGGAGCTTCAGAACGTGGTTGATTCCCAGCGTCCCGAGCAAGCTCTACTCGGTCTCGCAGATGTGCGCGTCGCCGCCACGGCTGGAGGGTCGCCGTTGGGAGGACGTCAAGCCCTCGGAGTTCGCCTGCGAGCCCAAGGTGTCGGTCCTGGCGAGCAGCCTCCAGGAGGAGACCAACGGCGTCTTCGGCCTGGCCTGCATGACCACGGGGGACCCGGAACCGGAGATCTCGTGGCAGCTGAACGGCGGACCGGTTAACCTGACCCGACCGGATCAACCCTACGGAGCCTTCGCCACTTCCGGGGAGGTCTACGGGGATATCTACGGCGTTACCCAGGTGACCGAACGGTGGAACAACCTGACGGTCTACAACGCCAGCGACAACGACGCGGGGGAGTACACCTGCTTCGCCCGGAACGTCGCCGGCCAGGCCGCGGACAGCGTCAACATCGTGATTCCGCGCGTCTTCACCGCGCCGACCCTCTCGCAGGCGGATAACTGGCTGCTCTGGGTGAGCCTGGCTGGCGGCGGCGCCGCGGCGCTTTGCGCCTCCGTCTCCGCGGCCCTCCTGGCCATGTGTCTCTGCGGAGGATCCCGGCGCAAGCGCAGGCGTGAAAAGGTCAAGCTGCAGGGCAGCACCAGCTTTGGCGACCAGGAGAAGAAGCTGCTGGACCTCTCAGTGACCACGACTATGGGTGCCAGCGGGACGACCGGCACCAGCGGCCACGGGAGCCTCGTCGAGGCCTGCAGCCCCGGCGACCTGGAGCTGGCCGAAAGGGGCTCCATCTGCGACCCCATGGCCGCGGCCAACGTCACCGTCGAGAGGCACAGACTGGACGGGGGCATCAACGCCATCCGCGCCCTGCCCTGCACGGTCTTCCCGCCTCCGCCGCCCGAGTTCACCAGCGGCGTCCTGCCCGCCGGTATCTTCGGCAACATCTTCATCTCCGTCTCCATGCCGCAGGACTCCGAGCGCTGCTACCCGGACCTCCTCGACATCCCCGTCCACGCCAACATGGCGGACAAGCCTGCGACCGTGGCCTCGGTCCCGGCGTCCTCGGTCATCTCGGGGTTCGCCACCCTCCCGAGACGCCCGACGCGCCCCGCCGACCTGGGCTCGCTCTACGACAACATGGGCCCCAGGGTCACGGCCACCGGGAGCTCGACCTTCTCCCTGACCGACGCGGAGCTCCGCTTCTCGCCGCCCCCGCCCCCGAGGGTCATCCAGCCGCCCCTGGAGTTCGTCTCCCTCTAATGCCGCTACCCCGTCTGTCCGTCTGTCTGCCGCTTGACTGCCCGGCTGCCTGCTTGCCCGAGAGAGAATGCGAGAGTGCCTGCGTCCGCGGTCCCCCCTTAGACGCTGCGACGAGATGACCCACTCGTAGTTCCGTAGTAACTCGGTACTGGAGCGGAGGACGGCCACTGACTGTGCCAAAACCGCGACGATGGCTGATCGGCACCCGAAATCGCTCCTCGCGGAGCGGAGGAACGACGCATGGACGGAATCTTTAGGGTTTACATAGTGGACCTGTATATACGTGTCGACGTCGTTATCATTTTTAAAAACCTAGAATAATGGTAAGCACTCGACGGCCGGAAAACGGAGTTTGGTCGACTCGGTCAAGTGCAGGACGGAAGCTGGGATCTGATTTCGAGTCGATCTCGGCGGGATACGGAAGAAATGGTTTCAACCTCTTCGGCGAAATCCAATTTACCTGTCTCGGCGGAACCTGGTTGTGTCGGGAAATGTCATTAATTCGAGTACAAATTACTTTCACCTGACCGCATCCTACAGGTAGCGCGGAGCTTTATTTGATATCATGCCGGCACTTGGGTCAAGGAGTAATATCTAAACCTATTTGTTCTACCCTCTGCTAACCGACTCTGACGAAAGTCGGCTCGATTGAGAGAGATGAATCTTATCGAAGGATACGTTCCGCGGATTACTTCGTAAACTTCGTGGATGCCACGGTATGTTCGGTTGAAAACGTTGAAACTCTTTCATTTCGTCCAGCTTGGCGATTCGATTGGTTGTCTTTGTTTTGGATACTAGAACGTCAATGACTGTTTCTGCCTGTAAGACTTGTAAGAACTTCTCAGAGCGCTCCATGCCATCATTTTAGCTAATCCGGTGGCGACCTAAGTAACATCTTATATCTGTCTGTGCGAAACTGACAAAGACTCGACTGGAATATACACGTGCTTGTGATTAGTTCCCTTTTATCGTGCGAGGAATCATCGAGACGCGAGCAAAGTATTACCCTGTTTTAATAAAGAAAAGAAACAAGTGAGAAATGGCGCCAATGATACTTTGTAGCTCACGCGAATAAGGAATTGGACCATTGCAATGAGAGGACCGTACTCGGATACGTTCACGATCGGATAAAATTTTGCTCAAATTCGTGAACTTCTGACATCCTTGCTCTTGAGTGACTCTCGTATTAGCTTAGATCCGTAATCAATGATCGATGCGGTCAGCAAGCTGCGATCAGCTGGGCCCGTTTTGTCGTCGACGAATCCGTCGGAACTTTTGGGGAAATACTTTGTCCATGTGTATTCGCGTTCGAGGAGCTGTGCCAAATCGGAGTACGTGATGGCTTTACCTGACTAGCAGAGAAGGCACTCGATCGAGACTCGAGAGACGAGGAAAAACTAATTGTCTACCTTTGTACCGCAATTATTTCAGATTCGAACGTCCACCAGCGACGAATTCCCCTTATTTTCTAATAAATTACACGTATCGATTTTGACAACGACAGCAGCCGCGATCAAGACGGCAAATCGTTCAAGTCGACGGTCTTAGAGCCAACAAGTCGCTAATCGTCGTCTCCTGTCAAATCGAATTGACAAACTGACCTAAATGTTACAATAATCATCCCGCATCCAGTTATTACAGAGACCGGTGGAAGGAGCCCTCTGTACATAACTCTCGTGATTTCTTCGACTATCGTACTAACTCGGATAAGGGACAGTAGACACTAAGACACGATCTTTCATTCGTTCCACCTGTATCTCTAGTTTGTTAAATCTACGAGTGTACATATTTGTTATTGTACGTACGCGCCGTGTAAGGACGGCGCACCTTACGTGAGAGGGATGTCATACATACATCAGTATTTATTATGAACGCTTTGTCAATTAATAAAACGATTGAATTTTACGGTGTTCTCTCGGGAGCAGGGGTAGGCGGGGAAAGTACACTGCACGTAGACTTTAATCACGTGTATTGCGAGCATCGAGTAGTTACAAAGTATAGGAACAAGGTAGGTACAGGTGGCCCGGTAAAAGTTCGACGCGCGACTGCTGATCGTGACTCTTCGGTAACCGCTACAGAGAATATCCCCTCGAAGTAGGATTGCTAATCTATGACACAGATGTCCAAGTAAACGCTCTTCGTCGTAAACTTCGTTACGGCTTCTCTACGTGAGACTCGTTTTATCCTCCTTGTTTTCTCGGCCCAGCCGGGACGGGATCCACTTCCAATTGGCTAACGCGGTTGCTCGAACTCTGATCGACAAAAAGAACATACTGTCCTGTAATGCTTTATCATTTAGAAATTACGTATTCACTGAAAAAATCATAGATTTTAACCCTCGAAATCAGGTGGAAATCGGCTAGAAATCACCGAAACACTGTCACGATATTAAGGCCGAACGTTACTATTGGGTTGTTCGGAAAGTAATTTCGTTGTTTCCCAACAGAGGACTTACTTTTTTTTTTTTCGGCCAAATTCATACTTAAGCCGCATAAACATTATATATTTTGACAGCTGATCTAACAAGGCTTGCTTGTGAAAAAGTTTGATTGATTCTACGCAGTAGTTTTTGGGTGGTACCCTTTCAAATATGGAAAGTGAAAAGCGGCATTTTCGGCATATTTTACTTTTTTATTATCGAAAAGGTAAAACTGCTGTTCTAGCAAGAAAAAAATTATTCGATGTGTATGGAGAAGATATATTGACGGAACGCCAGGGTTAAAACTGGTTTGCAAAATTTCGATCCGGCAATTTTGATATTGAAGATGCCCCACGTTCTGGAAGGCCACTTAAAGCTGATGAAAACACGATAAAGGCATTAATTGATGCAAACCGGCGAATAACAACTCGTGAAATCGCTGAGAGATTAAATTTATCGAATTCGATCGTTCGTGATCATTTGAAACGCCTAGGTTTAATCTCAAAGCTCGACATATGGATTTCTCGTGTTCTTACGGAAAGAAATTTGTGTCATCGCATTGACGTCTGTGATTTGCTTCTCAAACGTCAAGAATATGATCCATTTTTGAAGCGCATCATCCCTGGGGACGAGAAACGGGTTGTCTACAACAATGTTACACGCAAGAGGTCATGGAGTAAAAAAGATGAACCGGCTCAAAGAACTTCGAAAGCCGAAATTCATCAAAAAAAGGTGATGGTATCTGTTTGGTGGGATTTCAAAGGAATCGTTTTTTTTTTTGAGATTCTACCGAACAACACAACGATCAATTCCGAAGTGTACTGTCACCAGCTGGACAAATTGAATGATTCACTTAAACAGAAGAGACCAGCATTAATCAATTGAAAAGGTGTAGCGTTTCACCAAGATAATACGAGACCTCACACAAGTTTCTTAACTCGCCAAAAGCTTCTACAGCTTGGATGGGATATACTGTCACCCCCACCATATTCTCCAGATCTGGCACCTTCTGATTATTACTTGTTCCGGTCTCTACACAATTTTTTAGACGGTAAAACCTTTACTTCAAATGAGGAGGTCAAAAATCACCTGGATCAGTATTTTGACAGCAAAAACCAAACATTTTATGAGCGTGGAATCATGCTACTGCCACAAAGATGGCAAAAGGTATTGGACCGGAATGGACAATATATCATTCGATAAAATATTTATTCGCTATAAAAAAATCGTCTTTCATTTTCATAAAAAAAAAAAACGAAATTACTTACCGAACAACCCAATAGTTACCGAATTGCATTGTCTATCATATGAAATCAAAGGGAATAGTTCCTCGAGAAATGATTGACATTTTTAAGTAAATATACCTCGCTCCGAAACGAACGCTACCCAGGGCACCCCAAGGGGATGTTCTTCGGTGTCTCTTCGGTGACGTTGGCCGGGCCAAAACTTTCCACGAGACTGACCGTCGATGACTGTTGATGAAATGCCGTTTCTTGATCTTCCTACACGAGGTATAGGTATCAGACCTTGCCGTCGTGACTCGTCCCATGCTTCGAACAAAGTTTCGGCATTTTGCAGCCGCCGTTTCCCTGGCTCACCGCCACCTCTTATTGCGATTGGCCCTGCAATCGCGACACGATTATAAATCAAATTGTATACATCCAATTTCTATTGGCACCAAATCAAATCGAATACATCTTGATGTTTTAATTATATTAAGCCAAATCATATACATCTAAATCCGCGATGAATAAATTTCATAAGTAATGCGCTTATTCACATAATTATACGCTGGTCGCCAAAATAATCGCATCACCTAAGAATAAAAACCATGTAAATCGAAGACGGATATTTATCGTTTACGATAATATAAAAAGATAGTGATTCAATGTCGATTTAAAACATACTTGTAATTACAGAGATGTGGTCATAGTCCCTTTCGTTATGTTAAAAAACATATACGATTATCCGGTATACACAACTTTGATTTTTAGGTGTTGCAATTCTTTTGGTGAACATTAGCACGAGGACACTGAATTTGAAAATACGTATGAACGTATGTTTGCATCATGGAAAGCTTGTTCTACAGTTCTTTCGTGTGCGTGTCTATGCAGCAATTATGTTATGTCGGTGGAGAGAAATATAAATTTACCTGGATAGTCCAAATTTAAAATGACGTCAGGATCGAAGTCACGGTCGATGTCGAAGTTCGCGTCAATATCGGAATCGGAATCGTGATTATTAGTTATCTCGGCATTTGCAGGACCAGATCCGGAGCGACCTACACGTGGATTACCCAAGGCTGCAATACGATCCATTCTTGTGTAACTTGACATCTTTGGTGCCCGTCCTGTCCTAGGATACGCCACCAATCCTGCTCTTCGTATTTCCGCAAGTTTAATTGTCCCGCCACCTGAAAAAAAATTATTATATTTTTGATGTCGCAAAAATGCCGCATTAATTTCGGTGATGTAAATGCCTGAACATCCCCGTGGCGTTATTGATACCGACTTGACACTTCCCGAATTAAATATTATTTTATCACTTTTATTATCCTGATTTTATTTCACCCTGAATTTCTGAGAAACAAAATTTCAGAATGGGAAATTGATTTAAATGCGACGAAAGATGTCCTAAACTGAAGCGTTTTTGTAAAAATGATAAACAGCGTTCGGGATGATCCCTAGTAGCATAGAATGATTTCTGAATATTTCTTTATAATCTTTGATAAATATCTCAAGCAACAGATTTTTTCAAATTTCTTGTAGATTTCATTCGAAGATATTTGAAATATTTCTTGAAAATCTCAATGACATATTTAGTTTCAATAATTTATAAACATATAAAGAAATATTCTTTAAGTTATTAACATAATAAAAATACATTTTTTACTTCAAGACTATTATCGGGCACTTGATTTAGTATCAAAAAACACGAGAAATTTTTGTAATATTTTCGTTCCGCTATTTCATTATGGGAGCAAAACGTGTAATTTTGATTTTAAATATTTTTAATACGTTTATGATGTATTCGGCAGATAATAATTAAAAATACTTGTATTCAAATGAAACGAAATGTTTTGCATAACTGGTAGGAAAATATTATGAAAACCTACGGGGCTAATATTATATAAATATTATAGAGATAATATTCTAAAGTAAACGTTTTGCAAATATTTCAAATGTCTGCTAAATATTTACAAAATGTACGATATTCGTTAAATATATAGAAAATATAGGACAAATATTTTGTGCTACTAGGGATTTAACAACGCAACGTGAAACTTATTGAAATTCACGTTATTCTACAGGCTTTTACGATTACCTAAATGATCATCTTACTTAAAGTGCCGATGAAAAGTTTAAATTAAATTCGCATCTTCCTATTTATGCGTATCTTATTCCCCTCTATTCTTAAGGGCCGGTTACATTAATATTCCTGCTAAAATCCTTAACCAAGGATTACTTAACGCGTGATTGCCCAGGGTCGGTAGTTACCTAACAACGAATTTTAATCTTCGGTTAGCCTAATTTTTGCGTGCAACACGATTTTCACTAATGCGAGATTGCCATCGTGAGAGATAGTAATCATAGTTTGAATAGTAGCTTAAAGATCAACTAATCATAATTAATCTCGAATTAGTGAAAAATCGTATTGCACCGAAAAAGTTTGATACTAATCACGGCTGGTGCAATCGGCCCTAACTTATCAGAAACGTGTATTATAAAAAACGTAATCCAAAACCGGTGTCCACTACGTCTTTAAGATTTGCAAATGTTACGCGAACTTTGAGAAAGAAACGGGTATCTGATTTTAAGTAAATGTTCCTGAGGTTAAATGAAATTAATAAAATTAGTGAAAAATCGTGTTACACCGACAAAGTTTGATACTAATCACGGCTTGTGCAATCGGCCCTAACTTATCAGAAACGTGTATTATAAAAAACGTAATCCAAAACCGGTGTCCACTACGTCTTTAAGATTTGTTTTGCAAATGTTACGCGAACTTTGAAAAGAAAACGGGTATCTGATTTTGAGTAAATGTTCCTGAGGTTAAATTAAATTAATCGAATTAGTGAAAAATCGTGTTACACCGACAAAGTTTGATACTAATCTCGGCTTGTGCAATCGGCCAAACTTATCAGAAACATGTATTATAAAAAACGTAATCCAAAACCGGTGTCCACTACGTCTTTAAGATTTGCAAATGTTACGCGAACTTCGAGAAAGAAACGGGTATCTGATTTTGAGTAAATGTTCCTGAGGTTAAATTAATTCCTGGACTCCAGAGAAATTGGCCAGTCGAGAGGTTACTTACTGTTGAGCGAAGTCGCGAGGATGAAAAATGCCGCCAAAACGAACAACGGGTCCGTCATTTCCGAGACGCGAGCGACAAGAGGACGAAGAGGGCGACTCTCGGAGGGTGACTTCCGGTCCAGGAAGAGGAGAGCCTTCGCAGATCGGTGGACCGGAGGCGCACTGGATGGAAACCCGTACCCGAGGCACAGTTTTATACCTCCCGCCGATGGGCGTGTTGTTCAACCCCTAATCAGAGGGTGGCATTCCGCCCACTCTCCCTCCGGCAGTTGCCATTCATCGGCCAGTTAATGGCCGGCGTCTTGGCGTCGGGTTTGACGACTAATTAAAAAATTCTATCGATAAAATCCGGAATCCTTCCCGCTTACGCGCGGAGATTACATTTTTCGCCGAGATGCTGTCAAGACATCCCGTCTTTCCGGAGATTTCTTTTCATTTCGCGAGGACACTCTTCCCTCCTCCTGGTGCATCTCGCACAGTGGGTTGAGAAGACCATAGTGAAACAAGAAAAGTTTCAATCCATAATATGTTTCAAAGCATAACCTTTAGGAAAGAAATGCATACTATTAAACCGACTATGTAGTTAAATACTATTTATTTTTGTCACGATCGTCGAATCTTTTTATACAAGCGGAGAAGTTTCACTTTTGATATTATCTAACGAGTGGTTTCATACACATTTGTCTGTAAATTTATTAACGTAAGGTGTGTTATAAATGTAGTAGATAAACTGATAACATATGTTATAAATATATATGCTATTGAGTTGAACAGTACATGATTTTAAATGTTTGAATTTCACGATTTTTTTTTTAACTACGTGACTATCTAGGGCGTTCTAATAAAAATAGTAGGCATTTTTAAATATTTATTAAGGTGATGTGAAACACGTCGAGGAACTTGATCGACGTCGATAAAGAAAATTTTTCTAAATGCCTACGTTGCCGACGTTCGTTTTTATATTGACAGCTGTGTTGAATTATATTGGGTATTGTACCAAATGGCATACTCCACCTGTCGTTTTCGTACAATAATTATAAAGAAATCGAAGTAAAACTCCAAAAATCCTCTGGATTCATGCTTCCCTAATTGACTGCAGAGGGACTCCCTGCGCTCTCTGTGATTTCCAGGTCAATTAAATTTTCCCTCCGAGACCTCGTATTACCATCGTTTTAGCATAGAAGCGCATACAACACTTTTTTTTGCCTTTATCCCGTTAAAATGCGAGTTTATCGATTACCAGAGTGTTCTAAATTGTCGTAAAATTGTCCTGACCACGATTCTCATATCAGAAAATTGTCCTGACCACGATTCTCATATCAGAGCTATCGATAATTGTATACCGATCGAAATATGAGAGCTCGACGCCATTTTGGTTCTGGTCTGGACTGAGTTAAAAAATTTGTTTGAAAAATCCAAATTTTCAATGTGTCAGGACAATTCTTAGATGATCATGAGTCACGTATCAAAGTTTCGGATAGTTTGGTCTAATACCCTTAAAAAAAAGTGTTGTATTCGAATCGACTGATTTGAAGGGGATTTCACTTCACCTTAAATCCGCAAAAATCCGAATCTTTTCCGGCGCCTCATGCTTCACCGTCCTCCACTCTCTTCTCCAGAGTCGCCCCTCAATTTCTTCGGGTTTTATCATGTCGAGGTGAACTGAGACGTTTGCGATATATCAGTTTCAATTTCCGTTTCAGGAGATTTCTGGAGAACCTAGTATGACCTGCCGATAGACCGGATATTCCTCCCGATGATGCGCATCAACACTTCTCGGGTACATTATTTATGGACCAATGATGATGCGTGATGCGACCGGTATGTAACAGATTATTCCGATTATCGGTGCTCGTGACATATCCCGTGCGAACGCGCCTTTCGCGTGCTAATCCTGTCGATACACTTGGCGATTCCGATCAGCGAATCTTCGGTATCGATCGGGTGCAGGGAAATCACCCACCTCAGGTTTCAGAAAGGAAAATTGACACTTCATGTGACATTTTGGCGGTTCACCGCGTCGTAGATAACATACATTTTCGTTCATGTAACTTTAAATACGGAATTGATCCTTTTGCCTAATAAGGACAATTTATTGGTGACACCCTGTAGGCATATATCATCTTAGATTATTTAATCTCATATCTTATACATCATCTTATATAAAGCAGGAAAAATAAATGTAGAACTAAGTAGTACTACTTAAAAGTGAACTAACAAGGAATAATTCCCAAGTGTCCGCCCCCGATCTTATTGATTTTCATATATGTTGAAGAACATACAAATCTAATTGATACGTGTTTTTTTATATCTGCAATGATCCACATTTAAGGGGAGAAACAACCCCCCAAAGTTTGGCGAAAATTCGATTTTTATAACAATTTTCGTAGAAGCAATGGAGGGATTTCGACGAAACTTGGTATAAACGTATTCTGTATAAGGATGGTGAAAACACAATATTGTTCAGCAATGTTACACCCCCCCAAGGAGGTGAACTACTCTTCAGGCGACATTTTTTTCTAATATCTATTAAACAAGCACTGCTACTTAAGTTCTACTTACGCCATATGATTGCTCACAAAAAATGAAGAAATACGTGTTTTTTGCTTTTTGTCAATAAACATTTATACATCGGTTGTAAACAATGAATGTAGGTGGTATACGGGTATATTTCGACTAGCTATATTGCATTATATCGTGACCAATTCATTGTACATAAATCTTGTGAACGTGCTTATTCCTCAAAATATCGTTGGTTTTCGTAGTAATACATAATTATTGTAAATTTTTTCAAACACTATGTACAAAACTAAAACGCTAAATCGTTCTATACATGAAGAAGATGCATTAATAATTACTACTGTTTATATTACGTTGAGACGTTAACATAAATTTTGTATTTTCCTGTTTGTTGGTCTTTTCAATTTTGAAATTTGCCGCCAAATTCGCGGGCTACCCTTCTTGCCTTCGCTTGGGATCGAGGGTAGAAAGGGTAGAGAAAGTGTACACTCGGGGTAGATGCCCTCGCAAACCGAACAGCGGCACTGCATCACTTCCGTTAAAACGAACGCCAAAGTGTACACTTTTCGTAAAAGTGTAGAAAGTGTAGGTAAAACGAACAAACCTATTGAGTCAGCGTTCGGCCACACAGCAGGAAGGATGGAGCTCTTGCTCAGGTAGTCACTCATTAACTTACCTAGCCCAGTACCCTTGTATAACAAAAAAAGAAGGATTATTATATGGTGCTGGAATCGCTGATTGATCCGTAAGCACGCCAAATTATTGATAATTTTCTCGAATTTCTAGTTTTCGGACATTTTTTTTTCAAACGCGTTTTTCTCGAATCGACACATTTTTTTTTGCGGGAATTCTAGCTCAAAAAGTTATGAACCGATCGTTATGAAAATTGAAAATGTGTTTCTGCATGAAATTACGAAGAACGTGAACCGACATTTGGGATGATATCATAATTTCAAAGGTGTCTTTTTATTGCAAAATAAAAGAAAAAAATTGTGAAAATCGAGACATTTCTTTCAAACACCTGTCAACACTTCAATTTTTACCATTTTTACTCGCAATGAGGTTCATATTCTTAGAAAACATGTTAATAATGTAAAAAAACAATCATTTTGCTTTGAGATAACAATTGCGAACCCTACATTTCCCGCGAACAACAAACTCGAATGACGACCTTCGGTGGACAACAGCCCATAATTTCGACATTTTCATCAAAACTAACTTGAAAAAATTTGTAAATGTATTTCAAAATGTCAGTAATGTAAAAAAACAACCATTTTGCTTTGAGATAACAATTGCGAACCCCACATTTCCCGCGAACCACAAACTCGAATGACGACCTTCGGTGGACAACAGCCCATAATTTCGATATTTTCATCAAAACTGACTTGAATAAATTTGTAAATGTAATTCAAAATATCAGTAAAATAATGTCAAAGTTAGATCAAATTTCAATTAATTTTTCACCCTCTAAAAAATTTATAAAAAACGGCTGAAAAATTGCCTCCTAATGTGGTTTCCCCCCTTAAATAACTACAAAATCAAGACTATAAAATGTAAATTTGTTGGATATGATTCAATCTTTCGGTCAGAGTTTTTAATTCATATTTAACAGAAAACATGAAGTTAATAATAAGAAAGCTACAGAGAAGTCACAATTGCACCTATTCTCTCTGTCAGGATAGATTTCTCAAGGAAGAAGACATTCCAATAATAAAACTCGTTGATTAGTTAAACATTATATTGGAACCTGTAGAGTTATAAGTGCAATAATACGTCGATATTGCAAATCCAAATTAAACTGAGATTAAATACATTTAGTAAATACGTTTCTACGCGAAGCAGTCGAATGCAAACTAAATGTATAGCTTCAGCATCTGCACATTGCTGGGCTGAGCAATATTTGCTTGGACTAATTACGTCACTATGTGACACGATTTACGATTAATCTTTATCGACGTGAACCACCGTGAGATGATCCCTCTCATTCAATATCTTAGCCTGTCAAATGGAATCCGAAACGATAACGTAATCGGCTAGATACGTCACTTGATCGTTTCTCGTTAACGCATTTACATACAAACGTGAACTCTTTCGTTCTTGCAAATTGTTAACAATGATTAGATTGACCGTTACGTGAATTGGCTCATCCAGAAGAGTTTCATTTAGGTGCGAACACGAGCTACGAACCGTTCATTTAAATAGAAAAGACGTAAACGCGCCGTCGATAGGGCTATATCTAACGTTTAGGGCAATCTTTGCTCCGTATTCCGCTTAATTAATCACGTGGCCGTGAAATTTCATAGGGTAAACTACGAATCAACTGGTAGAACAGCTGGAAGATCTACAATGATTCCTCCGCGTACTCAGCTACGTCCAGTTGAGAAAACAAAGATTCCAACTAGTTCACCTGGATTATATTGTTAAACATGCCCTTACTATTTTTTTGAAAGAAGAAGATCTGGTTGAAAGTATTAGATATTTCTAGTAAAATATTATTTAGTTACGTTGATACTTCTCCTTGTAACTCCAAAGAAAGATATTAAATTGAAGAATAAAAATTTCCTTTTAGAAATTCATCTAGTGATTTGGGAATCTGATTAAGTTAATTATGTATGCAACCAGACTAGTAATCAGAATTTTATAGTCATGTTAATCAGAGTTTCTCATTGATGATAACTAGAAATCATGTAATCAGACGCATCTAGTAACATTAATGGAAACTTTTTTGAGGGAAGGGTTTTCAAAAATATCTACAAAGTCTAAGACTCACTAGACTAACTCCCTGAAAAGCTAAATAACTTCGACGAGTATTTTATGCTATTTACAATAATAGCCCAGTGAACACTGTCATATAACTGTTGGGTAAATGTTACGTTTTCGAAACTAGCATGTTATGTAGAATAAAAGTAACATGGACGTTAGATGTTAGTTATTATTTCCCACTCAGTAAGGTAACATGTTATGTAACATGTTATATTAATGTTATAACTTCAGTTACCTTAAAATAATGTTAATTTTTCATACATTTAATAAAAAAAATCACGCAATTTTATCCAAAATTATATAATTTTTTCATTTTTAATTATTTTTTGGTACTTGACAATAGATATTAAATGACAGATCAGACTTCAATGAAATTATGTAATGATGAACTGTCTGATTTTACTTAAAGACAATTAGGATTTCATTCGACTAGCAAACAATGATAATGTATATGCGCGTATGAATTAAAGTCACATTTTTTCATACGAGTAGTAAACAAAATACGACATATATTAATCTTATGACATTTGACGATGAATTATGACAATGACGATGACGATGATGTAATAAAATAAATGACAGTTAGCACCCATGTAGTTCCGTTTTGTTACAAATATGTGCTGCATATACACAGTAATATCAGGACAGTAACATAATGTAAGATGAGAGTAACAAAGTTATGCTACATTTATATAGATATGATAGTAACAAATGTTATGTAACCTGTTAGCTCCATGTTACATAACTGTTAAGTTACTGCATTGTAACAAATGTCATGTAACTAGTTAGCTCTATATTACGTAATTGTTAGGTTATTACATTGTAACAAACGTTATGTTATTTGTTAGTTTTAAGTTAAGTAACTGTTAGGTTTGGTGTTCAGTGGGAGGCGAAGAAAGCTTTATTCTATGAATAGGGAGACAGAATCCGCGAACAGACCAACGATAATGAAGAGGAGCTCATTAAATTTGAAACGGCAAAAGGACTAGTGATCAAAAGCACTATATTCCGCACAAGCAGATTCACAAAGGAATATGAATCTCGCCGGGATAGATGCACTCTCAATGAGATCGATTACATGTTAGTAAAACCAAGCATTGCCCTAGCATAATAGGCATCAGAACAATGAGGATAACAATATGAATCTAACCATATGCTAATTAGGGCAATATCGAGGGTGAACGGCCAGACTAAAAGTGATTTATGCTTGAAAAAGAAAATATAAAGTAAAGGACGGAAAAAACGGAAAAGACAGCAAAAGTCGACAAGCAGTTAAAGAAAGTGAGAAGCATAAAAGGGGCATAACAATTAAAACGATAAAGCCGAATTAGGAAAGCATCAGAAACAGAAACTAGATTTTCAGAAAAAGAAGCACGACTACAATGATATCAGCCGCAGATTAAAAAAAATCAATATATAAAAGTGAACATATCTTAACGTGTTACATGAAAACACCCCGTTTAAAATCAATACTAATGTTGCCACAAGAATCTACCGGATGTCCTAGTTTGAATAGATTAGAATATATTGTCGAATTATTACAAACAATAATCAGAATTACAATTTATTGACAGTATGCGTATAAAAAACGGCTACGCGCAGATTATAATTTAAAAAATGTTAACAAATTATAGCCAGTTTACCATGAGGATATTTACAGCTTGTAAAAAGTAATCAACATTAAAGCTTATATTTTATACTTCCTACACCCTAGTATAAAATAAAACACAATACTACTAACAAATACTTTATTCTTCTTCATTATTATACGTTGAATACTTAGCATTCAAAATGTAACATATTGATAGTCGCATTACAAAAATGTTAAATACAAATTCCCTTGCAGCATTTCTGATAAATGCTAAATAGTAGAATAAAAACAGGGATAGAAATTGATTCTAAGGCGGATCGGTTAATTTATTTAAAAGACATTTTGCAGCATATTGGTACATGGCAGTGTTAATACTCTTTAATTTTTCCACTTCAGCTCGAGCTTCTTCCAATTTTTGCGTGTCACTGTCTTTTGATCGATCTAATCCTGAATTGCTTTCAACATAACTCTGGATGTTCAGTAACCTCTCAGAAGCATCATGGCTAGTAATTATTTCAACGAAATTATATCCACCAATTTCATCGGAAATTCGCTGTAACCCGCGCATTTGCAACTTTGGTTTAAGGTCATTTTCTTGAAAATTGTTCGTAGCCCGTGTGAAAAAAGCTGAAGTAACGGCGCCCTTTAGATTAATCGAACGTGTCACCTGACGACTCCTTATATCCCAAATATTCACAACTCCATCGGTAGCACCCGAAAGCAGAGTGCTGCGATCAGCTGATAGAGACAGAGTAACGACGCTTGCTTCATGACCCCGAAAAATGCTATTGGAGTTCTTTTCTGTGGCCGTAAGTTGCACATGGTATTCTGTACCTCTAGGTGGTGATCGCAGATCAATATGTTGAATATTTCCATTCGAACAACCAATAAAAAGGTCATTCTCTAAAGGATCGATGACAACTGAACTGAGCGGTACATCAAAAATAAGATTAAGCAACAAACTGCCACTGTTTGAATCATAAATTCTTGCAGTACGATCCAACGATATCGTCACCAGCCTTGCCTTAGGTCCAAAATGGCTAAAACATAGATCTTTAATGGGTAAGATATGATCCGAGAAGCTGTGGATGGGTTCGCAATCTCGACGGCTTATGGTACGTGCTAGAGACCAAACAAACACTAAACCATCCTCCGCACCACTTGCAAACATCGAACCATCGCTAGTGAACGATGTACAAGTTATTGTCTGGTAATGACGTGCCAAAGTGCACAGTAGACGGCCGCTGGTGAATTGCCATACAAACAATTTTTCCGAGACCGCAGCAACGATGTACGAACCAATCGGTGAACAGGAAAGGCTCGTTACTCTACCCGGCGTTGTCAAACGTAGGTTAGGTACCGGATTTTGACTGTTCAATGGCCATACGTGGAATCGAGGCTTTGTGGCATCCGCGGCAATCACGTAGCTGTCGTGTAAAATCTGTAGCGTATGGTATCCAAGCGAGCCCCCGTTTCTGTAAGTCAGTAAAGTAGAACCTGTACAAGGATCCCACACTGTTGCATTGCTCGCATCCCCCGAATTGTCACTCGTTATGACCACTTCTTTCGCTCCTTTCATTGTCTCGTATTTTATACTAGACAATTTTTTTATACTAGATTTACTGGAATTTTTAATCGCATATTTGAATCAGGCTCCTCAAATTGGATTATAACGCTTAACTTGTGCTTAACCACCAACGTGATCGTGATTCAAAACTGTTAAACCGGAACACGAGGTGCGGGTTAGGGATGTTCGATTCCTATTCGATTCTTTTGCTGAAAGAATCGATTTTTAGAATCGATTCTTTACTATTCGATTTTCTTGAGAATCGATTCATTACCCTCAGAATCGAGAAACTGATTCTTTTTGACTGAAACGGTAGAGGGGAGACGCTTCGCTTATTGGTTGCTCTTTGTCGCCACGACAAGTTTGGCTACTGAAACTCAACGTCGTGATGCACTTCCGTTGTAACTGACTACCTGACTTTCAACAGTCAATCAGAACCTCTCATTTACTCCGTCGACCATCTCGGTCGGAAATATCGGCCAAAGGGAAAACTAGAGAAGACGTATAATTCCTATATAAACGGCTAATAATTGTTTAGTTTTTTTATACAACATTCATTTCATTTTCATGGATGGCTTTCGACACGTAAAAATGTATTAATTACATTTATGTTCATTATATATAACAAGTTTCCGATTTTTTGAATCGATTCTCATGATCCGATTTAGAATCGATTCAAGAATCGATTCTTCGAAGAGAATCGAACATCCCTAGTGCGGATCATGAAATGTATACCACTACAGATAGGTTTCAGCAGAGCAGAAGTTGAAGCAAATTTAACCAGGGTCCATTGAGCGCATCGGATGTCACAGTGCGCGACGTGTCGACGCGTCAAAGATGAAAAGCCAATCAGAACTGCGCTTAACACCATACGCCACTTAATCGCAGTTCTGATTGGTTTTCATTATCGACGCGTTGATGCACCGCGCTCTGTATGACACCCGACACATTAAATAAGGCTCAGTGCTGTTTAGTAAAAATGGATGAGTACTTATTTTTTCTAATACTTTGCTAGAAATTAACCAAAAGAATTTGTTGAAACCACTTTGGTGCACTTTCAGCGTATATTAGAAGTGAACGCATCATCTAGCGGAACTTTGCAGTACTTTCTGATATACCGGCATTTCCAAATCGAAGTACGTGTTAGAAATCACTCTATATTTTAGTTTGGGGACGAGTGGGGACGAGGGATTAGCCGAATCGGAGCAGGCTTTCCGAAGACGCCCCGAGTATTATATTTCGATTAATTCAAATAAGTATATTCTGCGCCAAGGTAATAATAATTCCCACCTATTAATCTTACGTTCACAAATAATCTGAACCCGGGACACGCCTTTTGTCTCGTACTTTCTGCTTTTTTCTGTTAAGTTAAATGTGCGGCAGCCGTCTTGTTACACGGAGGCGTCGTCTATAAAAGCATCGAATATAAATGCAGCTAGTTTTTCATTAAATAGTAATACTGTTTCACGTGTTTTGTATTTAGTTTTGAAAATGATTACATGTATAATATTGCAGTACTCAATAGCGTGTATATTTTAGTTTCATCATGGCCTTACCACAGAATTACAAGCAAGTAGCAATGGCTTCCACCAACATCGTAGCCACTAATCGTATGTATAATATTTCAATTGTTGTTTCAATGGTTTAAAACATTTCTTTTATATTTTTGTATCCTAAGATGAGATTTATATTTTGTAATAAATACTTATGATTCTTTAAATGGGTAACAAGTGTCATTTGTATTTTACAGAACGTTTGCGAGCCTCTGGTGGAAGTAGTAGTAGCTCAAGTACAAATGTAAGTGGCTCAAGTTTTCACATTAAGTGTTAGTTATATTATATATGATATAAAATATGTAATAAGAGTATATTTCCTTTCAGAAAGATACACAGAGCCCATTTATTCAAACTCCCCATGGACATCCTGGGTTTACGCCACAAAAAGTTGGTAAAAACACAACTGTAAGTATACCTTTAAAATATCTTTCGTGGTATAGCAATTGAAGAAATATATCTAATAAAATAAATGTTTCAATAGGCTGATTCTCGCATGCCTAAGCCACCAAAGCCACCAGAGAAGCCCTTAATGCCGTATATGAGATATAGCAGGAAAGTATGGGATCAAGTAAAAGCTCAGAACCCAGAATTAAAATTATGGGAAATTGGAAAGATTATTGGTCAAATGTGGAGAGATCTACCAGAAGAAGAGAAAACTGATTTCATAGAAGAATATGAAGCAGAAAAGGTATGATCGTTGTGTACTGTATTGACATTTTCAATATTTTCTTATAGAATTATGACTTCATAAATTTCTTAATATATTTTTCAGATTGAATATGAAAAAAGTTTAAAAACTTACCATAATTCTCCAGCATATTTAGCATATATTGCAGCAAAGAATCGCGGAAAATCTGGTACGTCAATAACATTTTGGTATGCGGTACTAGCAAAAAAATCTTGAGAATTTAAGTCTCTGATTTTTGTGAAATTGTTTTTTTAAAAGATTCAAAACGTAAAAAACCTTAATTTTACATTTTTTCATATTGTACAATGCGCAAGAAAATCCAAATTTGTTGGTTAGTCATCTGATTATTCACAAGTTGAATTTAGTAGTAGAAACTAAAATTTCACTGTTGATCCAAAACAAATGTTACGGAAAAGAACAATGAATTTTTTGCTTAACCCTTTGAACTTAATGATTTTGCCATTTGAGTTGCCTGTGGTAACTAAGAATCATCTCTTGAATACAAAGAGTTAAAGTCACAGGAAAAGACTTTGATTACTCCCTTTTATCATATATTTCATTTTCCTAAATAAAAAATGTATGTATTGCTCTATTGTGTGAACAAAATTTGACTATAGTGAAGAAATTTTTATTTACAAGATTTCTTTGCTAGATAGTTTGTGTTGACGTAGAACGCTGCAAACTCGCATATCATTGTTACAAATTATTTATTATATCTAATGCAGCGTTGTGTGCAGCGCAACAAAATACTGATGATCGCGAGAGTCATGAAAGATCTTCAGGTAGCAGTAAAAGTCAAGCAGCTCAAGACAGACGTATTGATATTTTGCCTGCAGAGGATGAAGATGGTAAATGTCATTCATTAGATCGATGCGGTGAAAAGGACAAACATATTAATATAATTTCTTGCAGATCAAGATGATGGATATTCTGTAAAGCATGTAGCATATTCTCGTTATACACGAAATCATCGTCTTATCAATGAGATCTTCAGTGATACAGTAGTGCCAGATGTTCGATCTGTTGTCACAGCTCATAGATTGCTAGTTTTACGTCGACAAGTACAATCTCTCACAATGCATCAAGTAAGGATTTCATAATGGATTTTAAATAGCAATGACAGTAAGTAATTTTTATTTAATACCATGTTTATTTTAGAAAAAATTGGAGGCAGAACTACAGCAAATAGACGAAAAATTTGAGGCAAAAAAACGAAAGTTTATCGAAACAAGTGAAAAATTTCAAGATGAACTAAAGAAAGTAAGTGAAAATAGTTATTGAATTTCACCACAAATTATTAACAAAAATGATTAACCGTGTATATATTAAGAAAATAACACAATCCTTTATGTAAACATTGTTATTTTCTTAGCACTGTAAGCCAGCTGTAGATGAAGAAACATTTAATAAAATGGTTGAGCGCCAATATGAACTACTGCGACGTGATAGACTTAAGGGGTCTGAGGAAAATCGATCAGAAGGACCAGCATCTAGTGAGTCTACACCGAATTCGACACCAACTCCAACTCCAGCTCCAGTTAACGATGATGCACCGTCTGATGTAAGTATCAACATGCCGTTTGACTCGTACACTTCAAAAATCAACTGCTAAGGACGAAAGTTGGATACTAGTATTATCACTAATCCCAGGATGACCAATCATGATGAACCACAAACTTACGTAAATAACTGCTTCCTCACAATAGACAGCATATTATTAATATGGCCATATAAATATGTCGCAGTTAAATTTATAATAAATGCGTAGACAATTTTACTTGTGTCCACTAAATTGTTTATTTTTATCATCTTTTCAGATAGCTGACAATGAATCATCTGACAAAAAATCTAACGATTCGGAAAAGAGCGCTGATTTGAAAAAAGAAACACCATCACCTCCATATGTGGAGGCAAAACCTGAAACACCGGTGCAAGGAAATGCTAATCAGCATTCCAATAATTCTACAGTATACTCTGGAGCAGTTAGTCCAATCCAACACCAACAGCAGCAGCAGCAGCAGCAGCAGCAGCAGCAGCAGCAGCAGCAGCAGCAGCAGCAGCAGCAGCAGCAACAGAAGCAGCAGCAACAACAGCCACCCCCACATCAACATCAACAGCCACCACCACCACAACATCACCTCCACCATCAGCCGCAACAGCCTCAACAGCCGCAGCAACAACCGCAACAACATTCCTCACTCCAACAACAAGCACAACATTCTCCTCATCAGCAGCCACAACAACAGCCATTACAGCATCAGCAACCGCAGCAGCCTCTGCAACATCAGCAGCAACAGCAACATCCTCAACCGCCACAACCGCAATCCCAACAGCCAGCTCCCACCCCTGGTGCAGCCGCAGCTGCCGCCGCTGCAGCAGCAGCTGCTGCTGCAAGTGCAAATACTCCTCCACCGCCAACAGCATCTTCGCCAGCTCCACCGATACAACATAATCCTCATCAGCAACAGGGAATGCACCCTAATCATTCTATGCCTCCTCATCAAGGCTCTCAGGGAACACAAGTGATGCCGTCTCAGGGTACACCAGGAAATCCTCATGCTCCTCCAATGATACCACCTGGGCAAGGCTATGCCCAACAATATCAACCCCCAGGTGCGCCTCAAGCACAAAATGTGCCGCTTGCTCCAAGGCCTCCACATCCATCTTATGGCTACTCCCAACAACAACCGTATCATCAACCTTACCCTCAATATCCTCATCCCTACTACCATCAATCGTATTCTCAGTATCCGCCGCACATGGGCCGACCTCATGCTCACGGCCCTCACAGTCCACACAGCCCTCATAGTCCGCATTACCATCCACAATCTCCACATGCAGTAGGTGATAGTGGTGCGGCCTCTAATACAGCTTCGGGCGGAGGCAATGCTTCAGGATCTTCTTCCGATGCTGGTAACTCGTACTCACCCGCTCCGGCACATAATGACAATGAACGTTCAGTTCCTTCGGAGAGCTCGGGAGATGGACAAGCTGACCCTAAATCTGGATCTTGTTAAGCTAATGTAACTACTATCGCTTTATTGTACTTCAGTATGATTGTCAAAAGCCAATTAGAACGTACTTTTTCATAATTCTAATAACATTGGAATCCAGTTTTAGTTTTATGGTGACGGTACCATACATTTCATACAAAACAGTAAATTGTATTTTGATTCGATGCATCAAGTGATGTAACGCTATTGATGAACGAATTATATTGAACTAGTACCGTACATTGTTTCACGTTTCTTTAATATTTTCCATGTATCACCTTCCCACTTTAATATCTGTAAATAGATGTAAGATGACAAACCAATGCATTGCAATTCTTAGGCTTCATTTATAATCTCAATGTCGGGCCCTCAAAAAAATAAATAGAGAATTGTAAATCACATATTTTAATTATCATAAGAGTATATCGAACAATTGAAATAATACATCTAGTACATTTATTTTAAATTGTATATCTTTATTACGAAATGGTTGATTTATTTCACAGCCTTCATTTGCCAGAGTCCATCATTGAGGTAATGACAATTTTCCACACCAACGCCTTTATTTACTTTAGCTCTGCAATTTTTCAAAGAATGAATTTATATCTATATTTAAAACAAAAACCCATTGTTAACTCATCGATCATAAATTGAATAACTTACATATCATCTGTCGACAAGGAGGTTACTCCAACTGCTAATGCGTGTTGTTTTCCTTCTGCCATAACCGCCTAATTTTAAATGTTAAGGGTTCAGAAACATTTGGAAAAAATCTACCTATTGACTGCTTTACCACTATATACATATAAAATATGATAATCCTACATAATCAATAATTATAAGGAATGTTACAATGTCAACACGTTTTTACCAACTGATTGTATTTGCTTTGAAAAATGACCCAGTAGCCCCATGTAATACGATTCAAAAAGTGTAATGTAATGGAATGTAAAAATATATATCAGAGATAAGAAATTAAATTCCCTGAAATCTATATTTCGAACTTCAATATATCATGACTTAACAACTTATAGTTGTTATTATTGTCGTTATTATTATACTAGAAATAGAACTAATTTATTTAAGGATACTACAACCGTTCCCTTTGGTACCGGTGTCATTTTGGCACCTTTTGACGTTAATCCAGGGCACATAATGTTTGCTCCACTTAATACAAAACGAATTGCTCCCTTGTCAACTTGTTGCATAGGTAAAAAAAATGGATCTGTGAACATAACCAATTATTGGTAAATTAGTGCAGAGTATAACACCAATGAAGGATACTTTTCTACATCCTTAAATTTGTCTTGCAGAGAAAGATAATTTAGCAGTAGAAGAAATTAAAATATACTATGGTTCTCACATTTATGTAATAATCTTAACGTCGGCATCCAAGGACCTTCTCGATGTCGGAAGAATAAGAGTTCCCCAGCAGCATTCACCATGATCTCTATATGATCGTGACTAAAAAGAATTAGAATTTAGAAAATAATTCAGTATCTTATTTTGCTACTAAATCAGCGCAACAAAATGTTTTCAATCTAAGTGCAGAAGACAAATTGGAATGAAATTTACATACAAGCATATTTAACTAGTTATATACTAATAACATTTTCAATAAATCGTGCAAGGAAATTATAATTCAGATTCTATAATACACTATTTGTTTTAAATTTATTTCACTGTAACATATACTGGATATAACAGAATTCTGCTATTTTAATAATCAATTCAAATTTAACATACCACTTAACAATACGAAATGAATCCTTTTTGGGCATGATAAGATCCACATGACTTTCTAAGTGTGGATACAGTTCTAAAAGTTTGGAACGTATTCCTTTTTGAACGGAAGACTTTAGCTGTTGGACACCAGAAACACTGTCTTTCTCGTCAAATCTGAAATGTAAATGCTTAAATTGTGTGCCTAACCTAACGAATAACGATAACATTATTGAAATAATTAAAAGTACTTTTTGAACATTTTCGATCGGCTAGCCGGTTGATAAATGAAATAGATATGATAAAATACACGTTAAATTCGCATTAAAAGTGATGTGATCATCAAATTACTAATTTATTTTTAACTAATTATTAGTAATATATCCGTTTCTTAGAAAGCGGAATTATGTTAACTACATGCGGTTATGTATGTACTTCCTTGAAACGTGACAGTAAATAATAGTCAAATACTATATCTCCACCGTTAGTATTTATTCAATATCGGATTGAATAAATCCAACTTTGGGTGCGTCTCTACCACGTAGTTAGTTCGATATTAAATAAAACCGGATGGTGGAAACGTACTCAATGTTGGAATGATCTAATTCGATATTGAATAAATAGCAACGGTGGAGACTTAGCAACTGAGCACATTTACCAGAGATGAGCTCTCTGCATTTACACAACCACTTTATACCGGTTTTATAACTATTGTTGTTAAATGTTGTTAAACAGCGTTTTACTCCAGTTTCACCGGTAAAACGGCGTTTCCACATTATTTAAAACCAGCAGTTGTAACAATCAAAAGCGAGCAATGTTGGTAAGCGTAGGTAAGCCACCACCGTTAACTGCCGCATGGTATTACCATCACGAGTACGTGAGCCGCCAACGGCGACTGGTAGATGGTACCGCCATCGCGAGTGCGCGAGCTCCTATCAGAAATTCGTTGCGCCGCCCTTGGGGGCAAAAAACGGTGAAAGCTAACGTACGAAACCAGAGGGCAGCACAGGATGCGATCACACGACCTGCCCGTGAGCAATCTCCCAACTCATTTCTGGTCGAGACCATGGTTAGTAATTTTACGATTTTCGAGGTTTTTGATGTATATTACGAGAATCGTGATGTTTTTTTGGGCCCGAGTTCCACAGAGGGCGTCGTTTCAGCGCACAAGGACGAAAAGCCAATCGAAACTGCGACGGAAGTGACGCAGAGGTTAAGCACGACTCTGATTGGTTTTAATCCTCGACGTGTTGACGCACTGCACTCTGTATTGCACCCGATGCGTTTAATGAAACTCAGGCCTTATATTTTTTATACCATACCCTACGAAGAAAGTTTGACCAATCGGATGACTGGGAGTCCATCACCGGCGCTCCTCGTGGACCAATCAGCGTCCGTCAATGGTCAGCAGCCAATACGAGCGCGCGAAATCGAAGCAACGACTAGCACCGACCGACCGATGAGCCAACGCAGGGGGCACGCAGGGCAGGGCACGTTCGCGAACAGCGGCCGGCGGCGGCGCGGTGCTCGGAATTGACTCGGAGACCGGTTATCTCTCGATTGTACAAGGTCACTCGACGTCTTCGGTCCTAAGGGTGGGTCTGGCCTCTTGTAGGGAGGGGTCGTTCACGAATGATCGCGAGTGGAATAAATAGAAAGTGCGGAGCGACCGATCGAAGGGGCGGCCGTGGTCGGCGGTTATCTCGGGAGAGGCTGGCCCGTGCTCGCTAGCGGGAGTTCGCGGCTCACGAGTCGGCTGCTCGGTGGCGATCCGATCTACCGGGAGGACAACAAACCGCTCCCCGGTGGATGCCGCTCTGCCCGATCCGTGGGGTTCTTCCCTGATCCCCTCCCGATCCCCGGCCCCCGACCCTTGCCCCTGCCCGATTCCCCGTAGCGAGTCAAGCCCTCGTCGTCCGTGGCTCCGCGCTCCGACTTCGCCGCCGCTCTAGCCGCGGGGTGGGGGAATACAAGCCGTCTCCGCTCCAGCTCGCGAACCTTTATGCAGGGAATATGTCAACTTTCAAATTCGGTAAGAGACCCAAGGATCGCGCTCGGATTATCGTATCCGCCCTCCTTACGAATCTCGATCTCCGCTCGGCGCGAATCGCTCTCGCCGACGTCCGGCGACGTCGCGGGACGGGAGACGCGGGTCTGATGTCGCGGCTCGTCGCGGCCCGTCGTTGACGGCGCACCGGGACGGCGAAAGCGTCGCACCGATCTCGACGCGTCCGAGACGTCACCAGGCTCGCTTACTCATCCTCGTTCGCGCGATCGAATTTCCTCGCTCCTTGCTTTGCGTCGAACCACGGCAGACCGCTTCGTAACCTCGCACTCGCGCCGAGCGGTGCCGATTTCCCGCTGACACGGTACTCGGCGCTGAGGTTTCGCGCGAAATTATGTGAGAAATTCCCGTCGTGATCACGCCAGGTAATTAACCACGCAGAGGCGGCCGTGTTGGGCTCGTTCGAGAGGATTTATGTTCAGCTTGTGAACGGAAATCTCAGTTCCCAGTTTGTCGAAGTATCTCTGTTACCAGAGTCTCGCTGGAATTATCTATTTGTGGCTGACCATATCTTTTCCATAAGGAGTGGAATCAGGCATTTGGGGATGGAGAGTACCGATGCATTTGGAAACTCTTCGTATCGGATCTCACTAGGTTCGCTTGCTGGTTCGACTTTGTGCAGTAGGCTTTTCTGGGTTTAGCCTTCGTTTCTTCTTTGGGTTCGTTTGATCGTGAACCGATGTTCTTTTTCATTTGTACTTTTTTATGTCTTTGTTACCTAAACATTAATTTTATGAGTTACTTAACAGTGGTACCGTTATATTCACATTTTGTTATCTCAAATCCAATGGCAGCAAACGATGTACAAATTGAAGAAGGTGTGAAGGTTACCGTTTGTCTGTTGGATATCTTGGGAGGTTTCGATCGAGGGTGTGCTTACTCAGAATGTAGCGTTTCTAACTTCTCTGTTAGGAATCATCTTTGTAAAGTAATAGTTACTTGGTTTGATAATATTTTCAGGATCGATAGAGTATTCACTGTTTATCGTGACAGAAGTTTTAGTTACCGCTCTGTCAAGGTTTCTTCGCCGTTTAGCTTCTTCGTAATTGTTTACCAACATTGATCCCACTACTCGCACGTCATGCAATGGCATGCGCGAATGCCCACACAGGGAACTGCAGGTGATAATCAGTTAGAGATCGAAAGGAATAATTAATATCTACTCCTAAGTAAGAACCGGATGGAATTTTTCTATGTTACTTCTTTTCTGATGGAAGCTCGTATTAAGTTAATAAGCTGAAAGGGATAAGCCCTGGTGCTGTGTCTTTAAAAAGTACTTTTTATATCGATATAGTAGTGTGCACGTGTACTAAGATAGTTTTCTATACGCTTATTTTCAAAAATTAATTAGTACGATTACATATGCCTTACGATAATTATTTTAAATTATTTTATTTCCAGTTATGACTACCACAAGTTAGATATTTATACATCGAGAGATTATACGTCTTTGAAAAATGCTATAAATAAGACAATCTTAACATCTGTCTAATCGTTCATTTAGCTTTATTCTCAAATTTAATTAAGAGAAAAAATTTAGAATTCGGAAAGAACTGGTGGTAATACCGGTTTACATCTCGGTTTGCTATTCAACGTTCCATTGTAACATTTCATTTTTCTTTCAGATGTTTAGTACATTAAGTCATTAGTTTTAGATCCTAGATATGTTTTAAGTTACTGCTTGGTAGTAAGTGAAAATTTACAAATGATAATTTTGTTTTCTTCAAAGTGTCGGTAATGCACTTGCTTGCCCTACCCTTGCGAACGATGGATCCTGAGCCAAGAAATCAGAAGGTGCGCCGACAATAAAAAGCTCCTAAAAGCTAAATAATGAATGCCTGCTGCACTAACACCGCCGATACGACACAAGCAGCCTTACGATTCGTTGAAGTAGTACGTGAGTAACGGACGCTCGTGCCACTTGCAGACGTACATATCTCTCCGTTTTCGCACATGGCAGCCATGAAGCATGGTATGTTTCATCATTATATGCTTTGCTTTGAATGTAACGACACCAGCTTAACCGTTGCATCGGTGAAGGATTGTTAAGGCTCCACGTAAGGGTACATCTCTAAGGCACGATATCTTTTAAGATGCCACTCTCATGGTCACCGCATCTCCATTCTTCATTCGAATAAAAGAAAGTAGCGAGTATTTGAATTTGAAAATGTTCACGTATAAAATTCATATTTTTAGAGAAAAATTCCACTAGTCTATGCTCAACATTCGGTGACATCTTTTTTTTTTTCAAAAGTGTACATTTATCCTGTATCGAGTGCTCCGGTCTGTTCGTTCGAGTCTCAAAAATACTTGATAACCGAGCCTGGCAATGCTGCGTCGATGTGGGATTTATTTCCAAAGAGTCGATTCGTTAACCTCCAGCTGTAATTTCAGGCAAGGCAAATCAAGACGACGTGTGTTACGTTGTCGCCAAGTACGATTACGGGGCACAAGGTGCTCAGGAATTGGATTTGCGGAAAAACGAGCGTTACCTGCTGCTCGACGACTCGAAGCACTGGTGGAGAGTTCAGAGCGCGAGGGGTCAAGCCGGCTACGTTCCTAGCAACTATGTCAAGAAGGAGAAGCCATCTCTGTTCGATAGCATCAAGAAGAAAGTTAAAAAGGGATCCGGTTCGAAGACACTGCCGTCGTCGAACTCTCCCTCAAGAGCAGTGGAGTCACCCACCATGGCCAGGCGACTGCCGGCCGACCCTAGCGAAGCGATAGGAACTGCAGTGGTTAAGTATAATTATCAGGCCCAGCAGGCGGACGAGCTGTCCCTAGTTAAGGGGACCAGGATCCTGATCCTGGAGAAGAGCAACGATGGCTGGTGGAGAGGCCAGAGCGGCACACAGGCCGGATGGTTCCCGTCTAACTACACGCAGGAGGAAGGGGACGCCGACGATACCCTCCATACCTACGCCATGGCGGAGAACGTCCTCGACATCGTTGTCGCCCTTTACTCCTTCTCCTCGAACAACGATCAAGAGCTCTCCTTCGAGAAGGGCGATCGGCTGGAAATCCTGGACCGTCCACCGGCCGACCCGGAATGGTACAAGGCTAGGAACGGACAAGGCCAAGTCGGACTGGTACCCCGGAACTACCTGCAGGAACTCAGCGAGTACCTTACGCAGCCCTATCGCGAACGAGGCATGGCAAGCAGCGAGATCAGCACCGGCGACTCCCTCGAGAGAAGGCCGGATCCTGGTGACAGACCTCACCTAGTCGGCAAGCCCTGGTACTACGGAAGTATTACGCGTTCGCAGTGCGACACGTTGCTCAACCAGCACGGCCACGACGGCGACTTCTTGATCAGGGATAGCGAAACCAACGTAAGTTTCACCTTCTGCGTATAACGTCTACCCGCATGCCTCCCGAGGCACGCAGTCTCGGGATCGAATTTCTCCATTGGCCTCGAATAAAACTAGGACTGAAAAAAGATCCACGTCTCGGAAGAAGTACGGTTTACCTTGTATTACCGGGTTCACGGGTTACCTCGGTTTATTATTTTCTTTTGTTTTTTTTTTATTAGTCGTTAACGCGCATTTATAATCGCACGTCGTTGTAATTAGACTTTGGGAGATTATTCTCATCTAATGACGAAGGCAGCTAAGTAGAGTACTTGTTCCGTTATTCGAAGTCCGAGTCACCGTTGGTCGACATGAAAGGGTGCTTGGAAAAGGAGTGACTTTTCACGGGCTGCGGATAATGGAAATGCGACTATTATTGTGTAAAGCACAGGGGGAGGGATGATCGGTAAAAGTTGTGGAATTCGTTCTGTCCAGATGGGAGATTACTCTGTATCCCTGAAGGCGCCAGGGCGCAACAAGCACTTCAGGGTACACGTGGAGGGCGCCTTGTACTGCATCGGCCAGAGAAAGTTCCACACGCTCGATCAACTCGTGGACCACTACCAACGGGCCCCGATTTACACCAACAAGCAGGGAGAGAAGCTGTACTTGGTGCGTCCATTGCCGAAAGGTAATCCTAACAGCAACGGCTGTTAAAAACGCGAATTTTCTAACCGAACCGAGCGCTTAGGAATATCGTTTAATAACGCGACGCCTGCCTAGTAATATCGATATCATCTCTCGTACATTTATACATAATAATTAACATAATTGGTGAGCCTCGTATATTAATGTTTCGATTAATTTGTCCATTTACTAAATAATTTATTATCTGTAAGTAATATTACGATGACTCTTGTTGGAGCTTCCAACCACTTAGTAAAGATAAAACGGCAGCTACGTGAGACATCCATCTAGTTGACACAAGGCTTCTCTTTATATCTATGTAATTGTACTACAGTGACGCGATCGCGATCGCGTTATCTACAATTATAATATATAAACTACGTATACTTTAGCCCGCATAATGATCAAATAATGATAATTATTACGCAATTACGAGCGATTATTCGGAACAACACGAACTATCGGTTATAAGTTAAAACAAAGACTAAGTGTTCATTTGTGATTTTGTATTTATTAGAACATTTTTAAGTAAATAAACTGTATTTAAGTGTGTATCTATATACACGTCAAATTATTTCCCTTCGAAATCCTTTTCTCGTTCTCTTCTGTTTTACAATTCTGGATTTTTTGATTCGAGGTTCCCTGATTTGAGCAAAAGCTTTCAACGGTTTAAGGATGCACTCAACAATATGTAGTAATCGATCCAGTCTCTAATCTGAGTATCGAGCACTCGTAGGTTCAACATAAAACGTTTTAAAACATTTAGGGATGCTTGGTATGGACGTATTAGTATGATTAGTAACAAACATTAATCTTTATTCAACGTGTATATTATATTCATAAATAAAGTATTACTTTCGTTATATGAATAAGAGTGCTCTTAAGAATAAAGTTAATGGCACTACCTGCCAATAAGGTCATGTATATAAACAATTCTGCTAAGCTATACGTATTTTAGGGCTGAATTATTTGTTCGTAAGTCGATTAGGAATTTATGTGTACTTAATCATAAGAAAGGATTGTTCGTGTTTCTCACCATGTTGCTTACTCCCGAACCCACCTGTAAAAGCAAAGTTACGGTTTTCTTGCTAATGGAATGCATGCAAAAATCTAATTGTACTGCGAAATACGTACCATAAATGGATTTGCTTGGTATGCCGTGACAGAGGGTTGCCATACTTTATTAGAAAGTGTCGGCATAAGCTGACTAGATGGAATAATATCTCCATTGCTGGGTGAGCTCGTCCATTGTGAATGATCTACAATTTCAGAAAATGGATGCTCTTTTACTGCGATTTAAATTACGTCGTTTATGTCGTTTTACGAAAAACGACGATAGGCAGTGTCACTTGCAAATAGACAATTTAATAGAATTTCTTAAGTGTTTAGTAACTTTTATTTGCCGCTTCAAGCAACTGTACTCACCATTGTTCACTGGAAATTGCATTGGCCTGAACGGATTAGCAGAATTGCACAAAGAACTGTCCATGGATTGCATATTGTTGTTGACAAAATTGACCGATGGTCGCCATAGATCTTCTCCAGTAAACGGATTTGAGATTACGTGATTGGACGGATTGTTCCCACTCCAAATAGTGTTGGATGCTGTGAATCAAATATTTTTAATTATCTACATGCTAATAAAAATTAGAAACATTACATCAACTTAAGAAACTCACCATTTGAATTATTCAGATCCCATGCAGATGTCGATAGAGTCTTCGGGGTATCCTCCTTTAAGTGTGCTTGTTTCATTAAGGAATCTAAGTCTTTCAAAGCCGCATAACGATCTTCTGATGGTGGTAGCGTAGTACCGTTGAAGGTTGCTGTAAATGTCCCAGCTGTCTGGTTCGTTAACATTGTCGTCTCTGTACCTAAAAAGTTATTGCAACATTTGTACTACAAATAAAATGATGTACTTGGACAGTTACAATATTGGCATTGTTATTTTAGTGTTAATTATTTATTCAGAATTCTACCTTTCACAGAATTGAAGACAGGATTATTGTCGAAATTTGCAAAGGATGGCTGAGGTATGAATGGCTGTCCAAAATTTGACGTCGGAGTAGCAGCAAGGAATGGATCAGGAACCTTACTGAAATCGGCTACAAAATCTGGAGTGAAAGCATTCGCGTCAATTGGTTCCGGATTCTTAGCTTTTTGAATTGGCATCGATAATGTTGTTGATGTTCCAGAAAGTGGAACCCTAGGAATGCTTGTTTGATTTGTTCGAGTGTTCGACGACGGCGTTGATTTTTGGCTCGTTGTCTGACTTGGTGGTGACAAGGACGGATCTAGATAAAATCTCTTAAGCTCATATTTTGCAGTCATTAGATCTTTCATTTTTTGTTCATCCTTAAGATCTACGTTGTGTGGAGAATTTGGATCCATTAAACCCAACCATATTCTCCTACAGTATTCATTTCCTCTCTCCTTTATCAGATCTATCTCTTCCTGAGTAAATGTTGCCATAGAAATAGATTTCACTCTATGCGGGGGAGTCAGCCCTCTCCTGGAATACAATGAATGCAAATCATGTATATAAAAAACTATAAAACGAACTTCTAACATACTTAGAAAATGTGTAACAATAAATTGAATATGTAAATATCTTAATGAGCGGTAATTTTTGCGAAAGGAATGTAAACGTTTACGTTATACAAATGGTTTATTGACTTTGAAATAGTATTAACATAATTTAAAATGAATCGTAGCACTTTTATGTCTATGTATAAAATGCCTTACAAGTATTAATTTGGAACCATTGATTTTATATCAAGGTATATACGTGGTTAACTGTCCAACAATAAGTAACGTTTAAGAGGTCAGTAGAGTACTTATCATAGGACTGTTAATAAACCTTGCCGTTACGGATCTTTAAATCAGTATTAAAGATTGACCATAGACATAGTAAAATAACACACATTTAGTCAAAAGTGCATTCCATTTTAAAATAACTTAACTTACCTATAATTTAATAAATTATCATGCTATTGTTATGTAATTATATATTGCTATTAGCAATTAGATTTGTTTCACACGATCTCTTTAATACAAACATCTATATAACAGTAGTTAAACAATATACAAATAATACGTAATAATTTTAATATGAATACACTTGACTTTATTTCTTCACAAGTACTCTTGTAAGTCAGATAACTTGTATTTACTCATCCGAAACATATGCCACGCAAGTTCCATATGCAAAATGTAATCGCATTAAAGGATTTGCATCCTAGACAATATATCCCAGTTTGATGACCTCCAAAGTGTTTTTCATACTTCCACTTCTTAAGACAGGTCATTTGTTCTCATCAGCCATGTTGGAGGAAGTTGAGAACCGAGTATGTCAGAGTAAAGGAAACGAACAAAGGAATCTATTGCCTTATCGACGTAGATCATCATATAAGGTTACGATCGCACGACTTTAGCTCATGCAGCACCTGTATATTCCGTCATTATTTATAAGCATTTTAATTTACATTTTTTCCTTTTAGAAAGATCTACCTATTATTACAAACTTCTTTGTGATCGCAGCCAAGTGCTTGCCATGTAAATCTATTCATAGCGAACACATATACGAATCACGACACTATTAGGCACTATATGTTAATGCTTATATGCATCCGACTTTACTTCTCTGACAGTAAGAGTATCATGTGCCCTGGCATCCTAATTTAATGACTACATCTTTTGCAGCGTATCCACAGTGTTTGTAGGTCTAGAAATTAGACGTGGCCTAGAAACTTAAGAGCACCCGAATAAAAGTACCTTCGTCGAGACACCTTATCCTTAAATAAGCCGAAATTTTTCTATAGACAACGGATTCGTCCGCATCGTCCGGGCTTAAGGAAGTTTAAGTACTTACAGCATACCAGAGCAAGAGGTACAGACGAAGGAACCTATTGTCATGTTGACGTAGGTCGGTCCACGTTGGCCGCAGTCAAAACATTCCTTGTTTCCCGGCTGCGAGACCAGCTCGCGTAATATCTTCAGGTTCTTTTCATCTTGCTTTCTCTTCGCGGACGCCATGATTTGCGGTTTCAGTGAATGGAATCACCACTCCTCTGTGGTGCACTTACGGAACTGACTCAACCCTTGTCATAGATAAATACGTACGTTCGACAACACATTCGACGGTCCCCGCCAGAGGAACAGAGAGAGTAAAACAATATGGCCGCTCATCGGGAAGTTTGAATTCGCCGAAATCAAATTGAAATAATCAGTAGTTGCGTCCAAATAATATTCGCGACCGAGTTGTTGTTTCGAGGATAACTGTGAATAATTTAGTGACTCAACCGAGGGCTGTAGAGGTTTCCTTTTTGCGACGTTATCACGATGTTACGTTTGTTTTTTTATACTGCGTACCACGTGACGGAATGAGAGCCAATCAACGTTCTGGATTCGGAGTTTCCCAACGCGGGCCAATCAGATAGTGGTAGAGTTCTCTTACACCAATGAAATGCCACTGTGTGTATCGCGTACGTATACACAACGTCTTGCGGTGCGGGCTCGCGATGTCACTCCGGTCATTTGGATAGAAAAATATTGAGGTTAGATAAAAATTGCAGAATGGCTATTTACAAATTGAGGCGATTTCTTGGAACCTCAGCAATTTTCGCTTAGTACGCCGATGCGGAGAAGATTGTGAAACTTTCGCGGATTGACTTACGAAATAGCGCAACTACTTGGAAATGTTGAATTCACAAATACATTTGAATATTTTCTTATTTATTGTATTGTTTACAGTGATGTGTTAATTGACTGTTGGTCACAGAATAATAGATTTTAGATGACTGTGTCAGTTACGATAGCAGCTTTCTGTTACTGATTTTTATCAAATGATTTGCTGATCAGCAGATTAGATACTAAAAATAACCATGGCCACTGTTGTGGGTACAGATCCAGCCTTCAAAAGGTTCGTATATCGTTATCGAGTTTAGTTTCAGCGTTCTTATTGTTACAATAAGTGTCTTTGGTAATATGCATTTTATTATTTTTGCAGACCTATGAGAAGGGACATGAGACAGCCAAGTGTCGTTGACTTAGACATAGATATGTTTTTGAAAATTTCAAACTATGAAGATACTGTAAGGCAACTTGATATTTATTATGGGATTGGTAAGTAATATTTTAGTTAAACTTATCACTAATATTACGTAGACAAAGTTCTATTTCAAAATAATTAATCATATTGATTATTTTTAGTTAAAAGACAGATTTTACATTATCAAAGTTGTATAACTGGATTATTTCCTCAAGTTTCTACTGATAAAACAGTTGGTAGTGTGCGAGATAGTATTTATTGTGCTGCAGCTATATGGAGCTTATATCAAGCTTACAGGTAATTTTAATTTTATGTACAATTTATATGGTTTCTAAATTTTATCTCTATTAATTTTTTATTGTGTATCTAGACGAATTGATGATGACCGTGGAAAATCATATGAGCTTGGCCAGTCTGCCATCAAATGCATGCGTGGTATTTTAGAATGCTGGGTAAAACAATCCTCTAGAATTGAGTTATTCAAACGTAATCAATGCGATCGTTTTGCATTACATTGTAAGTTTCACCTTGCCACTGGAGAAGAGATTTTTAAAGATGCTGACTACTACCATCTACAGGTAATTCATTTTTTAATTGTGGAATTTTCATACAAGGAAAAACTGATGGACTGACAACAGATTATATTTTAGATCGATATAGTATCTCTTTACCTAATATTTTTAGTACAAATGATTTCTTCTGGGCTTCAAATAATTTATACCCAAGATGAAGTAGCATTTGTACAGAATCTCGTCTATTATGTAGAACGTGCTTATCGCACACCAGATTATGGAGTGTGGGAACGTGGTAGTCGTTACAATGACGGTACACCTGAAATACACGCAAGTTCCATTGGCATGGCCAAGAGTGCTCTTGAAGCTATTAATGGATGTAATCTTTTTGGAGAGACCGGAGCCTCTTGGTCTGTAATATATGTTGATATCGATGCTCATAACCGTAATCGTAGTATTTTTGAGACAATGTTACCTCGAGAGTCGAGTTCCAAGGTATGATTGTAAAGTAGTCTAAAAACTATAGATAAAGGCAACTGCAAAAAATATTTCTATTATATCAAATGAACTTCTCTTTGATTTAAATTTTCAGAGTGTAGATGTAGCCTTGTTACCAACAATTTCTTTCCCAGCATTTGCTACTCATGAAGAGTTCCTTTATAATGAAACAAAGTCAAACATAATTCGCCGTCTTCGTGGAAATTATGGATTTAAAAGATTTGGAAGAGATGGTTACAAAACAGTTCTCGAAGAAACTCATCGTCGTTATTACAAATCTGGAGAAATAAAGGTTTGTAAGATAAAAACTTCAGATACAATTCTATTTACATATTTGTAAATAATTTAAATAATCTAAAAAATTTCTAAATAAATCGCGTTTCACTTGTGATATGATTTTTTCAGGAATTCGATAATATTGAATGTGAATGGCCTTTGTTCTACATCTTCATGATAATTGATGGAGTTTTCAAAACACTTCCGGAACAAGTAGAAGAATATCAAAACTTATTGAAAGTTAGACTGCATAAAGACCACAATGGTGGTATGTTGTTATAAAATTGGTCATACATTCAATGAATTCAGCGACATAAAAATACATTTTTACTCTAATATTTTTAGACCCAACAGTGCCAATGTATTATTATGTACCAGAAGAAAATATTGAAGCTGAGAGAAATGAGCCTGGCAGTACGTTCCATGTACCCAGTGAAGAAGGATCTGGCCAGAAAGGAAGCAGCGATAGTGAACCTTCTGCTTTATACTTATGGAATCAATCAATGTTTGTAATCGCTCAGTTGCTTACTGCTGGTTTGCTACACATTAATGAACTCGATCCAATTCGTCGTTACCTTCCATCGTACAACAGACCTCGAAGGGCTGGAAGATACTCTGCTTTTCAGGTACTCTAGATAATAATCACTAATTGTCAAGTTGAATATTGTCACTAATTATATAATTTTAAGCACATATTGCACATTAGAATTATATAGACTGCTTCTAATTTTTCTTACATTTTGTGCAGGCAAAACCCAGCATCGTAAGTAAATTATTGTTTATGCCTGCTATAGTTTCAGTTTTGCACCCCCCTAGCATTTCACTGCAAGGCTTATTCGTTGCTGTAGGAGTTATGATTAATTAACATTAATTTAAAAACATTAACATTAATTTTAAAACGTATTATCATGACATAGGTGAATGCCTGTAATTGCATTACTATTTTTTGTTGCCATATCAATGATTATGAAAATATTTGTGCTTCTTATTAAGAAACTGTTGTCAATATAGGGAACACATACCGATCTTGTGGTACAAATTGTCCTGATAGCCGAGTCCATGAGGTTGCAAGCAATGATGGCTACATACGGAATTCAAACACAGACACCTCATGAAGTAGAACCAGTTCAGATTTTATCTTCAACTCAATTGGTTAAAGTTTACCAGAGACTAGGTGTTAACAAGAAATTAAAGCTGGAAGGACGACCTGCAAGACCAATTGGCTCCCTGGGTACCAGTAAGGTATGCTGTAATTGTGTTCCAATAAATATTCGGTTTTTCAAAGTATAACATTCCAGTCATTTTGTAGATGTACAGGGTTTGTGGAATGACAGTTCTGTGTTACCCATTAATATTTGAGGTGTCAGACTTCTATTTATATCGAGACATGGCTCTTCTAATTGACGATATTAAGACGGAGCTTCAATTCGTCGGTAAATATTGGAGACTTTCAGGACGTCCGACAGTTTGTCTTTTGATACGAGAAGAACACATGAGGTATTACTGCTGGTTATTAATTCATGTTATTTTAGACGTTAGATTGTAGTATTTTAATTTTACTCGTTTTTGTTTTGTATTAATTTTACTCGGTTTTGTTTTGTATAGGGATCCGCAATTTAAAGAAATGTTAGATCTCTTTGCTATGCTGAAGAAAGGCTACTGTGATAGCACGAAAGTGCGAATTGGTCGATTGCAAAATCTCATTTCTTCATCTTGTATCGGTAAGCATCCCATAAAAACTAAAAAGGAATCTAGGAAAGAAATTATCATTTTTACGTGTGGCGTTCAAAGAGAGGAAATGTAATTAAGTATTGTAAATTCGTTTATTTAGAACATTTAGACTTCATAAGTACAACAGAGACAGATCTTGCTCTTACTCCATTCAAGCAGTTGGAACATGATTACATTGGTTATCAGAGTTTGACTGATGTCCCTCGGGCGCTATCTTATGTCGAGGACGTACGAGATTATTCTGTAAGTATCAATTAATTTTTACATTTATTTTCTGCGTAGTTGCAATCGATAATAATTTCAGACATTTGTAAACGAACCATTATACAACATATTGAACGAAATTCGGAACACTGACAGTCTCTATGCAAAGTGTCAGCTTTATGGTATTCTGTTAAAACGTGAAGGTATCAATTATGAAATTAATGGAATGACAGGTATTACTCCGATTTTATTGCTTGATACTTTTTAGTGTCTCTTCTCGACAAGAATTACTGTAGGATAAGCTTGCTATGAATTGTTTGATATGCATCCAAATAATTGACAAAGAATCTAATGTTTCAATGTAGTTTGAACTAACATAATCATACCGTTATTTTCTAACTATTATTTAATTAACATTTACTAAGTGATATTAATATTTTAGTTGGTGACTTGTTGAGAAGTGTGTATCAGCAGGCAGGTAGCTTGCGATATTGGATGGTAGTACGATATTGCAGCAGTTTACTGCATCATACTGTGGACAGTATTAGTCCTTTCATCACGGGTGTTTTAGTTAAAGGAAAACAGGTATGTGCCTCTTTCCTATTTATCTTTTTGCACTAATAAATATGTCATTCTTAAAAACAAGTAAAATTTAGGGAATAAATAAAACTTATACTACTTAAGTATAAAGTTTAAAACCTTAAAACAATTATATGTATGAACTAGTATTAATCAATTTCTCTTTCTATAAAAACTCAAGAGAATTATATTTGTAACTAATGCTAATTCTTTAGATTACAGTGGGTGTGATTGGACATGAGGAAACTGTATTCGACAAACCTATGACACCTGCTGAAATTCAATCGGTCATGTACTCAACGATTCAACCGCACAATGTGGTACAAGCTGTACTTCAGCAAGAAGTTTTGCTCTATTGCGGTAGACTAATTGGAACTAATCCGGAGATGTTTAAAGGCATACTGAAAATTCGCATCGGGTACGAATTTCATAATTAATTTGTTACGTTTTCTATATCTATAATAAAAAAATTCCTGTTCTTTTTTTTTCCTTAAATTTCATAGATGGGTCTTGGAAGCAATGAATCTATATTTAGAAATGTTTAAAAAGGATTCTAAACCAATAGAGAACTACAGTCCTTACGAAATCAGGAGGATTTTAATAAAGGTGTTGACAATAAAAGACTGGGCTTCTAAAGAGAAGTATGTATTATATCAAAATTTGTTACACGTGTGACGATACATTTACTTATATAACTTGAAACATGTCTTATGTCTAAACAGTTTAACGGTGCTTGGTAGAAGAAAAATTGAAGGAAGCTTGTGTCGAGTGCCTGCACATTTTTATAATCAGGTGTGGGAAGTATTAGTGCGTTGTCCAGGTGGTATTTGTGTTAATGGTCGAGAATTGCCGCAACAACCAACATTGTCTAGTATGACTCGATCAGAGCTGACTTTTGCTTTGCTTGTTGAGTCTATTCTCCATCACATTCAATTACCAGAATTTCGACAGATTATTGTTGAGGTATGATTAACTATGCTTAATTTTTTAATTTATATAGTACAAAATTTGAATGTGTCGTTCGTTAACATTTATTGTTTTTACAGCTCTTGAATATAGTTTCAATAATTCTCTTACGAAACCCAGAATTGAGTTTCAAAAGGCAATTGGATTTAAACAAGTTGGTTGAAGATGCTTTTGTAATATATTGCAAAGTAGGTTTCTGTGGTAGTACACTATTTTTACGTACTCTGAGCGCAATGCAATATTTTCATTACTTTTGTACTTTTGTTTCCTTTCAGGATCAAGATATCGAAAAGACTAATGATATGGCACTCTTTTTTTCTGCTCATTATTCGCTGACAACAGGATGTCTTGCCAGGGCTGTTGTGAACAATGTTTTAACAGGTGGCTGTGTTACAGCAATTGTTGACATTAATGATACAATCGAATCCCATGACATGTGCAAAATTGCTTAGCAAAATGTGTTTTATGTTCAAAATTGTCTTTTGATAGTCTCTGTATATATGGGAATTTTTTTGATGAAGTGAATAGACATTAATTGTACGTATTATATTAATTTAGGAAAGACTTTAGAAGATTGTTGAAGTGTTGAAGAATGTTATAGGTTACTGATTAATGCATAGATAAATGATGTATAAAGATGAAAATGTTTTTTTGTTTCTTTGTCAAATGTGGAAATGAATAAAATTTATGCAGAATATAAGTTCCGTTTGTTTATAAAAATTGTCTCAAATATTTAATGACGCCATTGTGTATAGTTCATATTTACATACCTCTTTTGGGTAAATGTATATAAAATTGATTCTAATCATTAGCAATATTTACAACAAATTAGCATTTACATACGGTAATAAGTAAACTTATCGCCGTGCAAAATTTGTGTCCATTGCTCGACGGGAACGTTGAATATTATTTATATTTGCTTTAATTCTTGATTCAACTGTACCTACTTCTGCAGCAACAGCCAATTGCTTCCTGCAATGTAAAACGTATAGGATTAGAACGCTGTAATTTACACAATTTCTGTAAAAAAGAACGGTAAAACAGTACCTGATAAAGTCCTTATTGTAGGTACTATCAGCTGCCTCTTTATCCTCTTCCTGGCGATATCGTTTGACGTTTCTCTCCCTATCTTTCTCCCGCCATGTAGCATTCGCCATCATCTCCTGCCTCCTCCTTTCCTTTTCTTCCTCGGTGAGTGTTTTCCGCTTCTGTTGATGTTTCCCATAATCATCTCTCTCGTTCTTTTGATGATGTGTATTTACAGATTCTATGGGTTTGTGTTTTGAGGTTTGTAATGGAATCTTCGTTCCATCGGGTCTCTGGAAAGAATATTGAAACAACTTAATACATTTATTATACTTTTTCTTATAAATAAATTTGCATAATTTCTTAGGTGTTAAATATTTTGCTTCAAATCTTAAATTTATATACGTACAACTAATCCAAAATTCTTTTTCGATGAGCTTTTTTTTCGATTATCTTCATCACTACTGTCACTAGGTGAATGTTTCTTGGATAATTTATGAATAGATGTATTTCTTTGTTTCTTTTCATGGGAATGGCTTGGTTTATGTTTTGAATCCTCTTGTCGTTTACTTTCAGAAGAATACTGTTTATCATCAAAGTGCCTACTTATTTTCTTAAACTTCTGCTTTGATTTGGGAGCTACATCTTCATCACTGCTATCACTGCTGTCACTGCTGCTACTGCTAGTACTATTCCTTTGCTTGTGCTTTTTGCGTTTAGATACTTTTGTACTTTCAATGTTTCGATGATCATTTTTAACCTTATTTATTTTTCTTTCTTTACTTTTATTTTCATCATTACAACTCCTATTCCGTCTCCTCTTTAGTTTATGCTTCAATACTGACTCCTCGTCATCTTCACTGTCGCTATCACTACTGCTGCTGCTGTCATTGTTGCTACTGCTACTACTAACAGATTTTCTTTTACTTTTGGATTTCTTATCCTTCTGGGTTTTCTTCACAGACTTTAATAAATCTTTTTTATTAATCTGATCCTTAAGCTTTTTATATTTTGCAGCTAACAAGCTATCTAAGTCATTACTATCACTTTCTTCACTGTCGGACTTATGCTTTTTCTTCTTCTTGCCTTTCTTTAATTTCTTTTCAGTCTTGCTTTTCTTGGTCTGTTGCTCTAACTAAAAGTGTATAATTATGAATAAGTTAGACGAAATTTCGATAAAACCATAATTCTTATATTTACAATAAATTAAAGTTCAAAATGTTTACTTACTAATTCTTTCAATTGCTTCAATTTGACAGGATTCTTCAAAAGTTGAGTTCGAGTTTCCATTTCCTTTTTCTTAATAGCATATAATGGGTCTTCTTGTAACTTCCTTGCTAAATCAACTTGTTCGTCTCCAGAGAAAAATCTCAGTGATGGTGGTATACATTCTGAAAATAATATAAGCTTAATGATTTCAATATAAGAGTTATAATAATAGCAAAAAATGCGAAAATAAGAAAAATACCATATTCTACATGATTCTTAGGCATTCTATTTTGTTCTGCATCCTTTTCTGTTTGAGCCATTTGTTCAAAAGGTTTGTCTATTGGTCGGCCAAGTAGATAATCTTCTCTATTAACCATTTGATTTGGGCCTTTATACATCCAATCCAGCTTTTTTTCATCCTTTTTTTCAATGACACCCTGCTCCATTGCATATTTTGTCATATCTTCTCGATCCTTTTCCATTTCAATTTCTTTCTTTAACTCAGCTATTCGTTTCTTTTCTTGGTGGTCTTGCTGCTCCGCTTTCCATACTTTTTCCATGTTTTTCATTGTGGATGGATGCCATGATTTCTTTAAATTCTAGATATACAAAGTTTGAAACTCTTGTTAGCATTTCCTTTAATACATTTACGAAAAGACACCATAAAATTATAAAATTTACCAAGCCAAGACAAGGTGAATTTTACTTTAAAAATATACGTGTAAAATTCATTTAAAATTCTAGTTAAAACGATACAAGAAATAATGTGATTTTATAGTAGAAGATGTGCCAAATTATATGATTTTTATTAACTTCATAAATACGAAGATCGTTATATATCAAGACTAAAATTTAAATATAAAACCATGACTCTATAGGCTAGAATAGATCAACGCTTACCAAATCTCCTCCGCCCATTCTGATTTTTACTTTTGATACTACGCCGTTGAAATATTTTTCAGCGAAAACAAACCTTTTACAAGGTTATTTTCCAGAGTAGACGTGGGTGAATGCATACGATATACCAGCAGTGTTGCCACTGGTTGCCACCGTCGTGATTCAGATGGTAGTAGTGTTACGAACTACTCGCTCTCGGCAGATATGATCTCTGCTCTCGGGAACATACTGCCATCTATAGCGCATTAGTTGGGCCGATGCGCAGCAGGTGTAGAAACACAAAGTCCTGTTTCCATGTAATTTACATCATATGTAAAACTCGTGATGTAAAATATTTAGTAATTTACTACAAGAAACTACATAAATTACTTACGGTATTTACAGAGATGAGTTCGGAGATTGCTCACGGGCAGGATCGTCTGATCGCATCCTGTGCTTCACTCTGGTTTCGTACGTTAGCTTTCACCGTTTTTTGCCCCCAAGGGCGGCGCAACGATCATTTATCTGGGTACCTGTAAATGCTCCAACATGGTAAAGAAACAGAAAGGTAGAGTATAACCTCAAAATATTATGCAGAATTAAATTCTGCACGAAAATATTTTTCATTTTATAATGTTATATATTTAAGATATTGTACATTCTGTGGGATTAAAATGAAGACAATCACATTCTCTAATTTATAATTGTACTTTTTAGAATTTCTGTCTACAAAAGAGGAGCGTACAGTGTTGGCCATTGGAGAAATAATACAAGCATTGCTAGCAGCCCATCATGAAAACAGGGATATTGATTTAAACAAATTAAAAACTAGAATTTCATCTAAATATGCTCTTCAGACATCACCGCGACTTGTTGATATTATTGCAGCTGTACCTGTTGATGCTAGAAAGACACTTTTGCCAAAATTAAAAGCAAAACCGATTAGAACCGCAAGTGGAGTTAGTACAAATTTAAACTTATAATTAAAATTCTGCAACCAATATTGGTTTCATAAATTATTATGGAAATCTTATTCACAGATCGCTGTCGTAGCTGTAATGTGTAAACCACATAGATGCCCTCATATAAACATGACTGGGAACATATGTGTCTATTGTCCTGGAGGTCCAGATTCAGACTTCGAGTATTCTACTCAATCTTATACTGGATATGAGCCAACATCTATGAGAGCAATTCGTGCTCGTTACAATCCATTTTTGCAAACAAGACATCGTGTTGAACAGGTGAGTAAACACGATTTTTAATGTACTTTAAATATTTTCAGTATTTAAAATCAATATACTTTTATTTATTACAGCTAAAGCAATTAGGACACAGTGTGGATAAAGTTGAATTTATTGTAATGGGTGGAACCTTTATGTCTCTCCCTGAAGATTATAGGGATTATTTTATTCGAAATTTACATGATGCACTTTCTGGTCATGTAAGTAATAATGTAGACGAGGCAGTGATATATTCAGAGCGCAGTCGAACTAAATGCATTGGTATTACAATTGAAACACGACCTGATTATTGTCTCAAACGACATCTTTCTGATATGTTACGCTATGGGTATGACCAAATATAATCTATTTAAATCTATTTTAAATTTGTATTATAGTTCTAATGAGCTCTAGAGTGAAATACAATATTTAAAATGTTCAAAATATAGGTGCACGCGTCTTGAAATAGGAGTACAATCGGTATTTGAGGATGTTGCACGGGACACAAATAGAGGACACACTGTAAAAGCAGTATGTGAAACTTTTTGCCTATCGAAAGATGCTGGGTTTAAAGTAATTGCCCATATGATGCCAGACTTACCAAACGTTGACATAGAGCGTGACATTGAACAGTTTGTGGTATGTATTCATTTAAGAAAGTCGTTAAATTCTGACATGTAAAAAAATATTAAGGGTAAATTGATTGTCTAGGAATTCTTTGAGAATCCTGCATTTAGAGCCGATGGTTTAAAAATCTATCCCACCTTGGTAATTCGTGGTACAGGATTATACGAACTATGGAAGACAGGAAGGTATAAAAGCTATCCACCAAGCACTCTTGTGGATCTCATTGCCCACATTCTTGCTTTGATACCTCCTTGGACTCGAGTATACAGAGTGCAACGTGACATACCTATGCCTCTAGTCAGGTAATATTTTTTAACCTCCCTCGCGTTAATAACTACGTAAATACTTCTTTGTTGACATTGAATAATTATGCTTCTTTTTCATGTATTGATCTGAAAGTACAGTTCAGGAGTTGAACATGGAAATTTGCGTGAATTGGCATTGGCCAGAATGAAAGAGCTAGGTACAGAATGTCGTGATGTAAGAACTCGAGAAGTCGGTATACAAGAAATCCATCAGAAGATTCGCCCTTACGAAATTGAACTCATACGTCGAGACTATGTTGCAAATAATGGCTGGGAAACCTTCCTATCCTATGAAGATCCAACCCAGGATATTTTAGTTGGTTTACTACGACTTAGGAAATGTTCTACCGACACATTCAGGTAAGCCTTCTTAACTCTTGATCAGGTAAACCTGCTCTTAGATCCCGATAGAATATAATTCAGTATTACTTCTTGCTTTATCAGAGAGGAGTTGCAAGGAAAATGTTCAATGGTAAGGGAACTGCATGTTTATGGAAGTGTGGTGCCGGTGAATGCCCGTGACCCAACAAAATTTCAACATCAAGGTTTTGGAATATTACTAATGGAAGAAGCAGAACGTATTGCCAGAGTAGAACATAGCTCTCATAAAATCGCAGTTATTTCTGGTTTGTATTTGATTTTTTTGTAGAATACATTTCCCCGTTTTGGACAATCTAATTAATTATTTTATTTATAGGTGTTGGAACTCGAAATTATTATAGAAAACTGGGATATGAATTAGATGGTCCGTATATGTCTAAAATGCTAGTTGAATCAGAAAGTATACAACATATGTAATGTAAGTTCAATAAAACCTTTTTTTATTGACATTCTTTTAATTAATCAGTTCACATAAAAAATAATACTCATGTAACCATTAAGTGTATTAGGCGCGTATTTCTTTTCTAATCTTTCTTTGTTATTAACATCTAGAAAAAGTGCTCTTATCCCATGACTAAAAAGTCTTCCTATTCATAATTTTTTTAAATAATTCAAGCGATATGTATTGATATATTGTCTATGCTTGGTATAATTATGTCATATTTAATCATTTGTTGCGTCAGATTGTTGGATCTATGAACAGTCAGTTTTGATGTACATTTAAATTATTGAATTGCCAGATCCAAACCATAAATAAATGATACATCCTAGAGTCTCGATCATAGAAGTGACGATAAAGACGATAGGCCAGCTATGCGTCGTGTGTAAAATATAACCAGCAAAGTATACTCCTAAGGAACCTAAAAAAAATGTTATCTTGATAAAGTCTAAAGGTTTAATATAGAGCAAAAAATTTATATAGAACAACACTGTAATATTTATGTAAATTTCATAGTCTCTGGGATATTAGATCATATGCAATTGCAATTACTTACCAGGAATTGCACCAACCGTATTCATTAAACCAAACACACTGCCAGCATATTTTGGTGCCAGATCTGCAGGATTTACGACTATAGCAGTATTGTGAAATCCTGAACCACCGATTATAAGTGTGAAACATAATAATGCACCTTGAAAGGTTTCTGCTCTTGCTGTAACAAAACAGAATGTATCATATATACACAATCTGCAATAATACGTTATTCGAAATAAGTTTAAAACGCCCACCGAGAAATAATAAATTGATGGACTGTGTCATGAAACAAATAGTTTGGACAATTTTCCTCGTTACAGTAATTGTGTAACCTGCCTTAATCAATTTCTCTGATAGAATTTTTCCTAAATATGTGCAAGGTAATGAAGGAATCCATGGTAGCATGTTTACAATCCAACCCTGAAATAAAATAAAATATTTGATCACAATAGCATGAATGCAAAAGAATGGTATTACACTTCCTATGAAATGTATATTACCTTCGCTTCTGGGTAAGTTTCATGAAAGTACATTGGCATCCACGAAAGTATAACGAAAAAACAATTGTTTTGACAGGCATGACCAATTACGCAAGACCTACAATTTAATTTTATGGTGAACTTTCATGACTAACACTGAATTATTTTCTTAGAATTACTGTAAAAAGTCTTGTAATTTTAAATTATCATAATTTACCACAACAATATATATGTACCATAATTACCAAAATGGAGGTTTTGAAAGTAATTCCGACCATGGTAGGCTGTGGTTGTTGGAAGATTTGTTAGTGGAAATGGTCGTCCCCTTTAGAGACGTACAGTAGTAGCTTAAGCAGCCTGTCCACAGCAAACTTAAACCTCCTGCATTTGTTATTGTGTCAAATTAAATTCTTTTAATGTTATAAGTGAAGACAAGGGTTAAATTTTTACTAACGTTGCTATTAATGACTAGTTTTGCAGAGTTAAAATTTTACTTGTTAATGCTTCTTATAAACAGCGATGGTGCGTACTAAAATATTTTCAAAATGCATAGTGAGTTATCTTTCAGAAGTGTTTTTTACTAGAAGTCATGCAAGAGAATGGTGGTATGAAATATTACCTAAAACTTTAAAAACTACAGTCCAGTCATAGTTTTCCAAAATGTACGATCCTAATGAACCAGTTAAAAGAATGCCTAAAGCAGATCCTGCAGTCAGTAAACTGAAGAATGAAGCTCTTTCAGATTCATGTAAGCGTTGACTCGTCAAACTGATCATACTAGGAAAGTGCATCCCTGCAACATTAAAATGATAGTGAAACAGCCAGTTAATTGTAATGTTCTTTTTGCACATAGGAAATATCTTAAATACCCTGAAAAGCTCCATTGATAGTTCGTACTAGTGCTAGCAGTTGTATGACAAAATCACTATCTGACAATAATTTCATGATTATTGGCATGAGGCATGTAATGAATGACCATCCAAGAGCGGATATCCACATTACTTTCTGACCTCCAATTCGGTCACTAATATATCCACCAGCAACTTGAGTCAGGGTGTAGCCCCAAAAGAAACTGGATAGAAATATTCCAGAATCAGTTTTGCTCCAATGATTTTCTTCTATGATAGTGGGCATGAGCAATGGGACCGAAGTCCTTGTAGCATATACCAAACATGTTCCGCACAATAACAAGATGAACCATCGTCTTCTCTCTTTTCTAAAAAAAAATTTTTCCTCTTATTCCTTATAGTTGAATAACACGGTAAAATATTTTTAGGTTTACAAGTATAATCGAAATTACTGAAAAAGATGGGATATTTTTTACTAATCTAATAATTATGAAGCGATGCTTAAAAACTATAAAGACATTACGATTTAAGTTAATATCTATGAACTCGCGATTAAAGTACATAGTTATGACACCGATCTTCCTCCGCCTATGGAGATTAAAATTATTTAATAGAGAGAACCAACAACATGTAATGAAATTATGCAATGAGTGTAACCTACGAACATGAAATCTCTATTTACCTCGACCAAAATAGACACGTCATGTCATCTGCCGATAAAGCCATGAAGAGCTGTTGTACTTGGTCTCGTTTACTTTAAAATAAAAGGTTCCGCCGCTGCACATTCATTATTCACGTGACGTCTGTTTTCTCCTGCGTGTCTAATCTCTCTTCACGGACATTTTACATATGCCGCGGCATTCTTGTCAAATCTTTCAGGAACCATTCTTTCTATCCATTCATACTCTTCGCATTAACGGCACTACAGTGCACTTGGTGTATGGTATAGCACAGTACAGTAGTTGCATTCTTGTAAATGCATAAGATAAGCGTCTAGAGTTGCACACCGGCAACTAGTATATAAAACGTCACGTATCATGTACTTATGTGTGTACGACATACACAATTACGTTTACCATGCTACCTTTTCCGACACATAATAGCAAAGAATCGATTTTCCACCTTTCACAGGGAACCGGGCTGAACCGGGCAGAACCGGGAGATCAAAAGTACCAGTTTCCCTCCCTGCTTATCCCGAGGTGCGTACTTAAGGAAAATCAGTTTCGAAAAAACAGCGCGTGTCGGACCAATCAAAAATCACGTCCTCCATGTTGATAATCCAGCATCGACCTCTTCGAGGACCACGATGAGACGCAGCATCTAATGGTCCGCGACTCGGAGCTTCTAGCCAATGAGACGACATACCCTCTCGCTCGCCGAATTTCTCAACCAATGGCGGGCGTCGACCCCAGCTCGTCGACCAATCAGCGCTCGCGACGGCGAGCCGGCTCTCGGTGCAATTAGGAACGCACCCGTTACCGCCCGCTAGGAGGCACTCGATGGGTTTTTTAACGCGAGCATGTGAACTGACCCCTCGAGGGAACTTGGTTTCTCGACTCGGTGCCGAAGTTTGGAAAAGTTCTTCCCGTAAGAAGGAAGGATCACGACGCCGCGATACGAGCCGATTGCGTTCCGTTTCCGGGTCGAAGGAGCGCCTGGGCCGGTCGTCCGCGTTCTCGTCCATCCTGGATTGCGCCGGATCGGTTCGGTTGAGACTCTACCTGGCTGCGCCCGTTGGCTCCCGCGAACGCGGATGCTCCGCAGTGTGCCGTTCCGTGCATCTTATGTGCTGCCCACGGATGTCCCTGGTCTCTAGTGGATTCTGATTCCGGTTGTCTCTCCCCGCGGGTGCGAACGCTTCTCGATCGATCGGACCATTCCCCGCGGCGATTGTCAGACCGAACGGCCGATCTCGAGCCGCCAGAGCTGTCCTCGTCGGCGCTTTTTTCACCTCAAGTGGTATCAATGTTGTCTGGCAATGGTGTGTAGTAAGGAGAACGTGGTATCATGGTTTGGGAATCTGTCCAGGTAATTGCACACCCCGCGACGATTTGTCCCCCCTCAGCGAACGCTCCACCTGTCACTGGCACCTTCCCTCTTGCTCAATTTTATTTTAAACGATCTGCGATGTTCTTAACGTTAGCAGCCTCCATATTATTTTCATTTTTTAACCGCTGCTCGAAAAGGCTGCCTTGACTTCTGCTCCGTTGACTTCTCGCAAGCTTGCCCCATCGACGAAACTTTGAAGAGCCGGAGAGAATTCCGAGTCCTCATTGGTTGGGTTATTGCTGAATTTCTCCTTCAGCAGCAGTTTTTAAAGTTTTGAGTTACTTCTCTTCCATCGTCGAGTTGACTAATGTTTGTCTCAACGTTCTGTCTTACCCATTTTAGAACATTATTAACATCTCGGATTTTCTTCCTTTGGATGTAACAGAGCGTTATCGTTTGTGGACATAAAGGCTTTTAAAACCTCGATGTGTGTGATTTTTATGAGTTTTATAATATGAATTCTATGGTCAACTTTATATTCTTGATAACAAAGAAACGGTCTAAAAGAAAATAGGAAATGCCTATGTAATTTCATTGTGCCTTTGTGACAACTAGGGTATAGCGTTAAGGTAGCTAAGATTCATTGATTTTGTTTATTTTTGCTTATAGTTTACGCTTCGTTCGTTTGTACGAAAAGATAAGTTCGATAATTGGAGATATTTTTCTTTATTTTCTGTAATTGTACCAATTTTTATATGTTCTTGCTTATTTAAGGTTTTAGCAAAGTCTTTTTGAGATGTTAAATAATTTATGGGTATGAAAATGTTTGCGAACGGAGACACGAATGTAGTGAGATATTTAAAGTAACATTTTGTTTTGCTTTCAAAAGAATTGGTGCAAAAGTGACACAAAAACATTTATCTAAAATTTATCCATGCTATTATATAAATGTGTCTCGTTGGATAATTAACATGATTGTCTTTGTGCAGTTATAAACGTATCGATGTGATGTGCACGCTGCTAAACATGTGCTTGCCGTTTGAAGTACGGTACCTCGGCACTTGTGTCGAGGACCTTGGGAAGCGCGAGTACAATGATTTGCGCGACACGGAGCACCGAGCAAACAGTGCTACGGATCTTACGGAACTGACAACCCTTGGCGTGACCGACAAACGTACCAGAAGGAAACTTGCCCTGTACATGGCTCTACTTCACTCGTGCAACTATTCGTGCGCAGTGATTTTATATAAAAACCTCTCGAACGTCGACTTCCAAGAGATCGTCAACCTGCTAAATGGGACCACTTTCACGCAAGATGATCAGCCATTGGAGGAGTTGCTTCTCCTGTACACGATGGCGCTCAATCATCCGGCTTTCACTTACGAGCAGAAAAGCGTATTCGGTAACATTTACGTCAAGCTGCAAGACGAAGAGGCAAGGCTAACCCTTCAGAAGCCTGCTGTAAATTCGACGTTTAAATCAGCACAAGTAATACCCATTTCTGAGTACTACAAAAGATAAATTAACGACAATTAAAGTCACTTTAAGCATATGGACATAATTCAATCGATAACATACATAAACATGAACTGTAGTAATATAATTTATGCATTTTAGATGCCAGGCTGCCCACCGTGTGTCACCCCAACCGATCGAGGTCTCGACGCAGAGGTTCCAGTGAACTGTATGATGCCACCGCCACCGATGCAGACGTTCCATGGTAAAGACATCTTGTTCTTTGTGAGCCATATACACCGAACAATCTTTCAGTGTACATTATTTGACTCCGGGGTGATCATTCCCAGGCGACATGCAAATGCGAGGCACCGCTATGATTCCTGGTGTCCCTCCAGGTCTGACGATGCCACCACATGGTTTGTGTCTACCGTCTCCTGAGCAAATGTCAATGGGGACCGGGGCGACGGCGCAGTACCTCCACCTTGGGTTCCCCTCGATGAATCATATGCCACCGTGGACAGGTCAGATTATGATGGGCAACCAGCTGATGTACCACACCGGCGACATGCTGGCTTATCCACCTTCCCCCTTAGTCAGCCGCCAGTCCTCGCCCTCCCAGTCGCGTTCCCCGAGTCGAAGCAACTCTCCGATGGGTCGCAGAACCAATCCGATGCCTCGGACTTCCTCGCAAGCGACCCAGCCCACTTCGAACTCTCTGACGACGTCGGCCAGCACCTCCGGCAGTCAGACGAGCATCTCCAGCTCGAACACCACCTCCTTGCCTCCCCTTCCGTCAATGGGCGCGAACAGAAGTCTTCCTAACCAACCGCCTCTTCTCTCGACAAGATCCGTGCCCCTGTCAGTCACCACTTCCGGATCCCTATCTCGCCACAACAGCACCGACAACGCTTCCATAGCGTCGATTCCCCCTGTCTCCTCGAAACAACCGCCGCCACCTCCACGGTTACGACCTTCCACCTCGGGCGACTCGCTCAGGGAGACGCTCGGCAAGGAGATGCCGAATTTCAAGGGGAACTTGCAGAACTATTCCCTCGACGAGGTAAGCTCGAGGGGAACCTTAAGTTTCCTTATATTTCTGGATCTATTTAAACGTCGATTACAAAGATAGAGGGTACGGCTTTTCGTAGTAGGGCATTGAAAGAAAATAATTTTTTTATGTATATAAGTATATGTAGAGATATGTGATTGTCATTCGAAAAATATATACAGTTTTAGGTCAGGATTGGTTTATCGCACGTGAATGCAGATATTTAGGAAATACCGGTGAACGGTTTCTTTTAAGTATTTTCTTATGACATTTCCAGTTAAGTAGTCGAGAAGTTAGCTGGAATTTAGAGATCCGAAGGTGCGGACATTTTTATCGGAGCGATTAGTTGCACTTAGTTTTACTTTCACTTTTTCTTTTTGATGCAAGGTAACTATGAGTGCTAACGAACTGTTTGAATGTCCTTCGCAATGCCACGGGTACAGATTAGAAGAATGAGCGACGAGGAACTGAGGGACTTGGGCCTGACGCCTAACGCAGTTGGACAACTCCGAAGCATAGTGAAGGGTCAGACGAGCAACGGTCTGAACCAGATTTCATCTGAGAAAAAGCCGGAAAATACCAACAACGTCATGCATTCGATCGCCGATCAGACCGAGAACGAGGTAGGCCATGTCCTTACGTAAATTGCTAAGTGCAACCAAAGTTGAGGGGAACACAAATCCATGGTCTTTGACTTTAACGGTTGTTGCATGTTTTCCGGAATACTTTGCCTCGTGCCCATCGTTCGGTGCTGGTCATCGATATCGTACATTTCCACCGTATCGTGCGTGATTTTTAGACGATTACGAGTTTCCTGCGATTCCGAATAACGACGGCGTTTCAAGATCCGGTGAATCCGAGGTTATTCGAGCATCGGGTTCCTTGTTGTTTCAGGAACACCTGCCAGCGCACCACCATCATAACCACGCGAACAACGCGAACATTCGACGCTATCCGACGATCCCGCCGTTGGAACACGCACAGATGCAGATGTATCCTGCTCCGCAGCCGGTGTACGCCGCGCAAAATCCACCTTGCTACGCGTGCCTCACGGTACCGGTGGCCGGGATGCAAAATCGTTACCCAAGGTCAGTGAACGCGGTTACGCGACTTCCGTTAGCGACGAATTGCGCAAAAGCCCGCACGACTCGTGCCCGCCTAGCCGAAAATATATAAATGCGAGGAACGCTGAAGGTCGCTCGACGTTACGAAAGAGTTCGGACGATGTACGGATGAGATCCTGCGAGAACAATGTGAAAGATTAAATACGAATATTCGAGCATCGATCCGCATTTAATCGGCGGGCAAAGCTGTGCAGGTAGAGTCCAGGTCGCTTTTCGAGTTATCTCGTCAGGTAGCGTAACCGAATTTATGAGCAAACATTAAGGAGGGAGGTGTATAGTATTAATATAACCAGTCGGGAGATCAGGAGTCAGGTACCGGAACGCGTCCGGCCGCTCTATCGATATGTAGGAGTCAATCGCGAGGAACGGCTCGAAGTGACGCACGTTGGTTTGGAGCGGACATATTAACCGTGGTCGAATTGCTAACGGGTACGTCAAAGCATCTGTCGGTTCGCAGATGCAACGCACAGCACGTCTACTGCCTGACGCAACTGCAGGCCCTGAGATTGGACCCGGAGAGCAGCCGGCACTGTTCGCAGAGCAGCAGCTCCGAGAGTACTGGCAGTCGGTCGCCGCCGGAGACACCCCCGGCGGCCCCGTGGGCTGGGGGCGGGAACGGCGGCAACGCCGGGAACGGTGGCAACACGGGAAACGGCGGCGGCGGCAACGGCGCCGAGGGCAACCCTGCTCCGCCGAGCGTCAGTGAACACGTGGCCGCGGGTGGGGTCGGCCACGGGGCGGCGCAGCCGACCGCTCAGCAGGCCGCCCCGGCCGAGAGGCCACGCGCTAGCCGGAAGGCCCAGCAGCACATGGTGCGCCACAAGAACAATCAGATGGTCAACGGCGGCGGCAACGCCGCCGGAGGGGGACCACCCCCGAGCCTGCCGCACTGCGTCTCCTTCCCGGTCCCGCCGACGCACTCACCGGTGGCCTATCTGCCCCATGGCCACTTTCCCGCCCTGAGACCGAGCACCGGGATCTACTCCAACTTCTCCCACGCGGCCTACGCGAGGCCCGCCTACCCGGGCACCGCGTACCAGCCGAACGGCGAGTCGATCTACCAGTACCCCGGCCACCCGGGACCCGGCGGGACACCCCCGCCCCCGCCGACGGCCGCGGCCGTCCCGACGCAGGCTTATCTGCCCCCTAACCCGGTCGTCACCTACTCCCCGGCCGCTCCGGCCGTCCCTACCGGCAAGGTCTCGTGCTACAACTGCGGCAGCGGCATCCACCACGCCGCTGAGTGCAAGGACCAGACCATGGAAGACCTCACTAAGAGAGGTACGGCGTCCCTGGCGGTGATACGCACTTTAGTCTTCCGCGGGGAGAGGGGCACGCGGTCTATTTTGAGGCGCTCAAGGCTGGTTTCGATACGCGGGACTTGGATAGAACACCGGGAATGGCTCTTCAGCGATTAGGGATCGGGTCGGCCTTGTATCCAGGGTAAGGCCAGGGTCACACCATGCGTTTTTACAGGATCGACCTAGTTGTTTCAATTGACTGGAATGGTGACAACTGGATTCGAGCGGAACGTGGCACGCTATGCGTTTTCGCAGCATATACCGCGTCCTACCATGAGGAACCGGATGTTTGGATGACGACTCGAGGACAACTAGGTTTCGGCGATTCAGAAAATATGCATGGTGTGATGCTGGTTTAACGCGGTGGAGTTTGGGGCCTTTTAATGTTGCGCATTAGTTCGCACAATCGCATAGATATTTTGCATTCATAAATACGTTTGATAATGCTACGTGGATGGGTCCTTAAAATTGGCTGAACGTGTTCTTGGTTAACCGGGGGACAACCCGGTTATTTCGGACATTTTTATCTGAAACGTTTTTTAAACGGTACAGGGCATCGAAAGTTAAAACTGCTCGGGAGATGCTGCTTTAATAAGATAACTAGAGATACGATATATTGGATGTTTAATAAGAACGTAATTGGTTAATATTGTGGGTGTGCTTGAGGAAACTTCGAAATGTAATCAGTAGCGGGATATCGTTAGCCCATTGGAGCAACACGGTTAACGATATCGGTAGCTATCAAATATGGGGTATAAAATTCTAGTATATCAGTGTGTTTTATCTGGCATCTGTCGCTTTGCGAACTCGGTTTTGAGGTCCACTAGATCAAGTGCACGTACAGTTATCTCAAATGATATGAAAATTGTCCATGTAAAGGTTTTGTACAAGATATCTCATCCTGAAACAATTTTTAAACGCTTTTCGAGGCTCGTATAGGAAGTTTCACGAGAACGAAATTTGACAGAAATATCCGGATCTTTTGTTTGTCTCTCGATTAGTTATCACGAGATCTGAGTATTCGAAGCTTGGTCCGGTTTTGTAATGCAAGTTCAGCATCTTCTAAGATGTTTTTGGAGTTATGGGAGTAATTGATGGAACCCTGTGAATTGCTTTTAATTCCAGCCCAGTACCGACTGGATTACACGATAATGAAGCAGCCTGGGGATTGCCCAAGTTCAGACAAGTGATCCCCTGCCATGGACTACCCTACCATCCACCATCATCGACAAAACTACCACCGTAACTACTACTACTACTACTACCACCACTACTACCACCACTACTACCGTTGCTACAATCGTTACCGTCATTATCACTACCACCGTCGTAACCAATACTACTACAGTCCCAACATCAACACCACTGTCCAGCTTAAGAACCAATCAAAAGACGACTACCGTTCCTTGTGTAAGTTTTCGGTGATTTTTGTAGACATCCCCTATATTCAGGACGGCGATGATTTTTTTAAGGAAGACGTTTCCCGGCTCGCGGTACCAGGTATACTTTTTACAAGTTCTTATTTATGATAGCGATTATTCTTATGATTAATATAATTATAAAAGGATAAAATATAGCGTCGTGTACAAAGCATTACGGAATACGAATAATTCTTATCTATGTTTTAGGGTACGTTGTAAGATGTTTTTTGTTCTTTTTTTTGTTTTTGAAAGTGAGATAGTAAGCGAGAATGAGAGCGAAAGGAAGAGAGAAAATCACGTTAGGTATCAGCTGCGCGTCTCTTCCAGACGGTACCTATCTGCTACTTACCCTTCTTTCTTACCGTCTAGCATTAACGAATATCGAAACGGTTGAGAGGAGAAAGTGAGAGGGGGAGCGAGAGAGAAAGAGAGAAAAAAGCATTGCGCTTCTATTAGGAAACACAAAAAAATACCACGTTTGACTACACTTACTACGGAACTTCTACTTCTACCACTGTTTACTGTCTACTACCACTACTGTTACTACTATCGCTACTGCGCCGCGGTTACCATGTTTTTATGTGTATATGTACATATACATATATATATTATATATTTTTCAATTTTTGCGTGTGCGAAAACCATAAGTGTTCGATCGTTAGCTGCCGTTGCGCTCCTACGTGTAAGTGTGCGCGCGTGTCCGAGACGAGTGCGTGGGTGCGTCTGCGAGTGCGTGTCAGAGGACTAAAAAAAAAACCCGTTCACCGTTCGTTTAACATCTCGTCGATAATTAAAATCAAGGTATACCGACGATCCTCATCCTATTTATGATTAGCCAGGCGATCACACGTGCAAACTTAAGCGATTTTATACAACTTTTATTGAACGTCCAGCCTACGTTGTCGTTTCCCTCTGTTTTTTTTTTTATTATTATTTCTCAGAGTGGCTTCACGAGCATTAGACGGCTCTTGGGCAATGACAGGACACTCGCGTGGACGAGCGGTGACGTTTGTAGGTGCGAGCCGAGTGGCGCGTTGCGGTGTCGAGAGCTGCCAACATTTAAATGCTGTATTTGCATTTAAATCGAACACTTCGATTCGGGGCTCACTCTGCTCGAGGTCCGACCACGTGTTCCGATCGGACTTAGCCGTCCGCGATAAGGCTGTAATCGATCGCTCAAACGGCTCTTTGTATGCGATCAGGGATCCGAAGAGACACCTGATTTCTGCGTGCGTTAGGAAGGATCTTAAGTTTCGCTCGGTGGTGATACGTTGACACGCCACGAATATGCGATCTGTCGACTCTAGGCCTGATCTTTGTACGTTCAACGAGGCCGAGATTGGTTCCGAACCTGAGGAGATACTCGTAGAATTACCCCTTGAAATTTTCCATTGACATTGAAGGCGTGCGGGAATTAATGTTAATCATAGCTACGAGTCTGCTTTAGAAGTAGATTACGTTATCATTACAGTAAGCGCGATCCGACGCAATGGAGACGGTGGTCGGATACAATGTCCACTAGATGATACCAGGTTTTACTTCGGAGGTTGTGATCCTCGCTTCCTTGGTCGAGACCTTTTGTTCCTCCGGTTGATGAAGACCAAGCTGGGAGATCGATTTTCGTGTAGTTTCTCGCGATTGCCAGAGGTTTCGGAGCCAAATTTAGACCTCGGATAATACCTAGCCGGTATTACTCTATGATATAATTTTATGAACTCGCGTATGTCCTAATTTCGTCCTATGTCCATTTAGTATCTAAGATAAGGCAGCTGCCTACTGCGGAGGAATTCGGTTTCCCTCGGAGATGTTACCCCCCTTTGCGTAATTTGTAACTCGGTACTAAATCAACTTAACATCGGTTGCTTAAACTCGTGGTTAGAATTGCTTGCGATCTCACATCTTTGTACCGAGACGTATGTGTAGCCGGGTCACCGGGTAAGGTACCATACGACGAAGCATTAACCGATCGACTGACGATGGCCAAGATTCGGAGAGTACACTCGGTGAATTGTCAATGTCACGTGCATTTGCAACGAAACTCTCGCGTCTAGGGACGAATACGCGTTGCATCCTCGCATCGGCACGATCCACCCTTGAGAGCTAGTCAGAGCCCATGGGCTCAATGAAGGTTCCGAAAAAATCGTGCTTTTCCAGAAGGCACGACTGCCATTCTTTGAAAGAAACTAGGAAGTCGCATTTTGGATCGGTGGATACGAAGGAGGCCGATTTACTGATTTTTCACGTCGGACAGCTAACCTTGTCGCACGCCTGCGATTTGACTGCTGGTAATCTCGTGGAGAACCAATTGCCGAGCCTCCTTTCCTTGGTTAGAAGCAAAGTGAGGGCAAGAGGAGGAAATTTGGAAACGCAGAAAATGCGGGAAAAGCGGAGCCGATGACTTGTCATTGATTCGGCCATTTTCTTGCTATTTTGCGGGGCAAGTCGGAAGGGAGTCGGGTCGCAGGTGGGCTTTCGACGTCGCTACCGGGTATTCTCGTTTGTACGTACTCAAAGTGTATATTTTTCAACAACGACCGACCATGGGAAGGTGACACTTCCGCAAACTAAACGCGTGGACCTCACGTAGCCAGTCATCGCCGTCGTAGATTAAAGATTAATACCGTACCGTTCTCTATGATTTACTTAAACTTAAGCCTCTACCTTAAGCTCCGCTCTTGGACGAAGTATCTTTTGGACGAATCAGTGATGGAATTGTCAATAACTTAGACTTTTAAACGGGATGGCGATATCGAGCCCCTCTCGATTCGACCCAGGATGTTATATTACGGATATAGTCTTACTGCGATAAGTCGAGCGGGAAATGCTTCTCGAAATGAAATCTCGCGCATTTCCTCCGAAGCCGATCGTCCCTCCGCGCGAGCTTCCGAAGTTACCCTGAAATTATTTAATAATATCTCTCCCTCGTCGAAGAGGGTCCCCGGTTGGGTGGAAAAATCACCTTGGATGTCGGAAACTTCGAAATCTCAGGCATGGGGAATAGATACTATATCGTCCCTTCCGAAAGTCCAATTTAATCGAATCGACTGAACGTGGTTGCCAAGGCTCCTTGGGTCTCCTGCCGAGCAGCGAACAATTTGTGAAGAAAATTCAGACAGATAGATGCGACTCGATCGGAGGAAGCCGAATCTTGTCCGGATTGAGTAGGATTAATCGAGTCAACCACACGTCGGGAGTTTGCTTAAATTGGAAGACGGAAACGGTGAAACGTGGTTTTCGTATACAGACTGCTCGGTGACCCAGGTGGAATTCCCAATTTCCTGACGGGTTGGTACTCTTAGACTCGTCTCTTCGAGTACGAATCTCAAGGTTGGGGATTCCGTCAATGGGTTGTAGGGTGATTTAACAGCTGGCAGCGCGTAATGTGTACACGTAATGCAGTTCCCATGGGACTGAAATATTTCTTCGGAGCGGCGACAGCTGTCAAACGCCGCAGTATGTACAAGCTACAAATGCGCGCGACGCACATTCGAGCCTCGTGGAGAAAAGACTCGGAATCTAAGGACGACCCGTACGATAACCAGGGCAAAGGGACGAGACGATTTGCTAGAATCTCATTTCACGGTTTCTGTACTCCTTTTCCGATAGACGACTCGATTCTCTAATCGAGTTCAGAGCAATAATGTAACCGATCCACGTTATCGTACGCCTCGTACGAGGAGACGAAAGCAGCAGGCATTACTAGGAGATACCACCGAGTATTGGTCATTATCATTCTCATTAAGCGGTTAATTGAGTCTCATGATTTTTCATTTATAGTCTTCAATGTGGGAACTTAAATCACGTACTCGTTCCTACAATTTAGTTAGAAAAATTCGATCCTAAGTTAAGATCAGTTAAGATTCCTCGGGTGTCAATCAGCTGTTGTAAGGCTGAATGATCAGGTTTGATCACTCGTTAACTCGAGCCTCGCTTAAAAAGATCATGTATTGCGTTTAAAACGAGATAACCGTACTTGATGATGCACCAATCCGCGACATTTCAGGGATGCGTACCTTCTGGCAATGCCTGTCATTTAATCTCAGCGAGTGTCGCGCTGATTCATATGCAAAACCTTGCGAATCGAGACTCCTTACTCTAAGGTTAGCTCTAAGCGTTAAGCGTCCTCTTGTCCCGGTTACGTGTAACTCCTCGGAGACGGCTTATGATCTCGCCTAGATGTGGTGAAAGAAGGTCCGGGACTCGTTTTCGAGGGCTGTGCTGAAAACGGACGAGCACTTTCCTCGTCGAGGCACTTCCTCGTCGGCGCAACGCGAATAGAACGTAGGACAAGGCGCGCAATCGTAAGCTTAAGGCTCCTACACCCTATGTGTGGTTTGTGATTCGCAATTAGTGGTGCACCTTACACACAGATAGTGTGCATGGAACGATGCGTATGAATTTTGTGCGTCCACGTCGGTGCACAATCGGTGTGGTGGTTCGCCATCGTGAGGTACCTTTTCATTAGCGTCAACTTGACACTGAAACCCGGTGTTACGTAGTCATATGATCTCGTTGGCGCTCATGCGTCAGAAGCTCCGTGAAAAGAGGTTGCAGTGCCTATACCGACCTGACTCTTGACGTTGAAACGAAATTCTAAATTTCGGGCGGTGAAAACAGGGGCTGTAAAGTCTGACCAAAAATAGTACTAGAAGTTACTACGTTCTGGCGTTCGGTTGTTACTAATAAATTGGCACCTTTGGCGGAAAACTTGATGCACTCAATCGGATCTTTGTTGCCCCTAAGCAGCGCGTTAATGCTAGTTCATCGCATCGAATCGTGACTCCAGAACCACTCATATAGTAACGTCAGGTCATGACGACGAATTTATACGAATTGGCGCACCACGAATCGCGTACCATGAAAGAATAAATCGTGAGTCAAGAACACCACGCGTAAGGTGTAACGTCAATTCGACGAATTTTTATGAATTGGCGCACTGCGAATCGCGAATCACGAACCACGTGGACCGCGAGCGCGTCCTGATTAGGACGAGAGAACATTCTTCCTCGAGGTGTTAAGAAGTACAGACATACACAGAGACACACACACACATACACATAGATGTATCTCTCACTGTCGAACGTAGATAGCCGATACGAAGTAATTTTAATCGCGACGCGGCTCCATCGCATCTCTAATTAATCCTTGTCGAAAGGCCGTCGTGCAGTTAGCCGTTTTCGCCGGCGTTAAGAGTAACGAGGAGTGGAGTACGAGTGTTACGAGTAGATGAGTGATAGAGAGAAAGAGAGATATTCCGCAGGGGGGAAAAGAGGGAGGAGACGCATTCGTCGCAATCGAGAGACTTCGCACAACGCGGCGGCCCGTCCGATGAAAAAAAAGAAAAGAAAAAAAAAAACAGAAAATGATAACGAAGGTTTCGCTGTAGAGTCCTCTTAATCAAAACAGTATTACGCCCAAGAGGAAATCAAAAGTCTATTATACCATATCACTCGTTAAGAAGGGCTCCGGTTTCGATTATAACGGAGAGGAGGAAACAGGGAAATCGCGGCGCGGAGTCCGTCGACGAGGCGACGTCGCATGGAGAATTGTCCGATTTTGACGTCGTTTTTTTCGACCTTGGGGATAAATGGCACGACGTAAAAATTATGCCGAATTCGGAGGTCAATGGAGAACGCCTTTGTAAGGACGCGATCGAACTATGGACTCGATTAATCACCCGTGGAAAATATTGCGACATCCCTGTCGCGGTCTGACCGCGCCTTAGAGACTCTTGTACCGTTCGGAGTAATTGCGAATTTCCGCTGTAAAAACACCGCTTACGGGAAAAATTGTTCCGACCGAAATTGTTCCCCACGTTGCGCGGGAGAGTTTTTGTCCGAGACTGTTTTCTCCATCGTGCGCCGCTCAGGAGATAATCCGGGATCGCAGCTTCGACATTTTCACTTATCAAGGCGGTACGCCTCGTCGACGGACCTTGAGCGTAATGTACGCTGTAATGTTAATCACGCTCTAATGCAGGAACAACGACGCAAGGGTACGGGCAAATGAGGGAGGAAAGACAGGAATAATAGGAGATAAGCGAGCAAATTTAGGGAGAAAAAAAAAACGAAAATAAAAAGCCGGGCTTTCAACGCGTTTCTCGATATATATATATGTATATGCATATGTACGGGGGTGTGTGGTTAGGCAGCGATTTGCGGTGGGTTTTGGGGATGAAATGGGATTAATGTGCCGCAAAGCGGGAAGGGGGTGATCAAATCAATTTTGCGTCGGCATAGCGACTTACGTGCGTAATACATTCTTCTTTCCTTCTTTTTTTTTCTGATTTTATTTTTCCTTCCTGAAAGTGTGTAGTATGCGTATGGCGTCTCGCAGGGCCGGCTGCGCTGATTCCCGTAGAAATTGTAATCGTCGACGCATTCGTGCTGCCGATTTGCCGAAATTTGCCGCTGGTACTTACGGGCGTACAGTCGTCGGGACGATTTCGAAGCTTCGAGTTGGGTCGAGCTCGAAATTCTTTTTCGAAACGGCGCAACCGGTCGTTATGGCCGCTCGTTCCCCGGGGGTGCGAGGCGCAGACTTACTTTTTAAGGATTCAAACCCGAAGACACGAGTCCGTTAACGATAGCTGCGAGTTACGATTTCGAAGCCTCGCGTGAAACGAACGAAGGAACTGAAGGAATTCCGTGCGGGGAATTCGAGGGAAAATTTAAAAGTTAGAGGATGTCCACTGTTGTAAGTGCGAGGACCGAGACTTTGTCTGTTCGCGTTCGAGATAAACGCAATTATCTGCTCGACTGTGCTCAATAGCGAAAAATACTTGGGATGAAAGTTGCTTCTGATGTTGATACACGTAACTTTTGTAGGAGTCGAATTTTCGTATCGGGCACCGTCGAGGCGGAAAGTTGACGTTTTGTCGGGTAACGCGGTTCCGGTGTTTTTTAAGTATAATTTCTGTGAGACGGGCGCAAAATCCGAGCGCGGAATATGTTTCTCGGATTTCCGCGTACCGCACGTACGAACATGTATGTCGTTTTTTCTACATGTGATGTTCATTATTTTCCGTACCATCTGAGAGAGTCGTGGTCGGTTCGATGCGGTATATCTCAGTGACGCGCATTTTTGCGTTCAATGAATACGAATCCGTGGCGAGCGGAAATCGCCGCGAGGGAGATTAACTCTTGGGAATGTAGATTGCAACTAAGTTGTCGATAAATTCCTAGTCAGTCTACTCGATTTTCAGAATTTTTATACGTAGCGAGGATATTTCGAGACAAATCAATTGGTCGCCCGCCGAAGAGACGTGGCCGTCCGTCGCGCGTACGAGTTTCTATTTGCATATATACACATCACTGTTTTGTCACGCGTTTTCACGACTTGTTTTACAGTTGGTAACTTATTTTACTGCTGAACACCGAGTATTCATTGAATAAGGATGCGCTCGTGTCCTGATGTTTCCGCGGAGTGGAATTGCGTCCCTTGACTTTGTCTCGGGATTTAGTTCTCCGTTAACAAACGTTGTCATAAGGAGCGTAAGGCCTGATCAACGATCTTGACAATCGCCGCCGCAAATTTAGAAGAAAAAAAAAGATACGGGAACGTTACGATATCCGGCGAATCGAGCCGTTAATAGAGCTTCCTGCTCGGATTGTTTGATGCGCTTTTTTGTCATCAACGAAGTTTCGTCAATTTGGAGGGCCTATCTTAATCGGCCCGGATTAAATTTGATAACTGCGGTCGCAATAAAACGTTCCGTCGGGGAACCGTCGACACGCGATACTGCCAAAGTGCCGGTTATATATTAATTATCGAGCGACACATTTTTTTAAGACAAGCAATGAAAAAGACAAATGGCGCGTCCGCTCTGTAAGGAGGCATCGTAGGGACAAATTGAATCGATCCTTTCTCAGGCGTCGTAATCGTTTGTATGCGTATTTGACGGAACTGCTTTCGACGTGGCACTCCGGAAAGCTTGTAAGAGATATTTCGACAAAGACCGTCATGACGAAAGCTCCTTTAAAGCTCCGTGTCCATTGACAAATGAAATTTGCTAAAGTTGCTGTCAGACATTCATTGCCGATAGTGTACCCGTTTTGTGGTCCAGATTTGCGTAATTCGTGGGATAGGGGAAAGAAGAAAAAAAGAAAAATCGTTGGGGGCAGAAGAAATGTTCATCTTCGTGATTTTTATGACACATTTTCTAATCGTTCTGGATTTTCCACTCTTAATTTCCCTGACAGCGTTTTGTGAGCGCCTAAATTACTTCTGTCAAACCATTTTGTAGTCCATATTTGTCTCGTTTTATTACGACTCGTTTGTCTTATTTTTCCTCACATGGTTGCAAATTGCGCCAGCAAGTCGTGTTGCAAGTACTTGGTGGAGAGACTTGCTGCGATAAATTTTCGAAAGATTTATTGTTAACGCAATGTCAAGTTGCTCTAGCAAGAAGGGTCGCAAGGTACTTGCTAATGGACATATGTCACAAAGCGGTAGACAATAATGCATACTTTTCTAGCGAGTCGACTTACAAGTACTTGCTGGAGAGTACTCCCTGGAAATTTGTTGGTCATGTAAATGGAGTGGCTAACTGCTCCGGCAAGAAATGTCGCAAGTTATTTGCCAATGGACACGAACGTTCGATAATCGTCGTTCGAATTAATTTCTTATGGTAGGTATTTAAAAACGCTTCGTTGAATGACGTCCTGTACTGCCACGGAGTGATACGCGGCTGACAGTAATCGTAATTATAATCAATCTAGGAGAGATGAGGCGCGTTCAGCACGTTTCACGGGGCGCTCCGAAAATTGGTCTCCGATCGCTCTGTGATCGCTAGTAATGAGGGCGATGCCATCGACGATCGATTTTGTTGACGAGACATCCGATCGGCAGGACTTTGACGCCGATCGATCGAACAGAAATCGCTCATCGATTTCGGGAAACACCCTAAAGGTGGCCAGAGACGTAACCACGAATCGCAGCGATTTCTAATCCGTGCATCGAAGTCTCTGTAGCGCGTCCACTTATCAATTAAATCCACATGGATCGGATTGCACGGATTTATCGCCAGGATTTATCGCTACGATTTATCGCTACGTGTGTGGCCGCCTTGACGACTGGAAAATGTGTGCGTGTTACGTGAGCGCGTGCGTTTTCGTTCTTCTTTTTCTGTCCATGGACTGCGAGAGTGCGAGAGAAATATTTAAGCCATTTAATAATGAAAAATTACAAAAAAAAAAATGAGAGAAAGAGAGTGTGTGCGAAGAGAGAATGAGGAATGAATCGTCAGAAACGCTGTCCAGGATTTGCTTATAACGAGTCTGAAGAGGCGAGAAATGAATATTTACGTAATATTTCCAGCGACCTCATAGAGTGAGAGAGAAGAGGGATAAAGAATAAAGGGAGTGCGGGCGTGCGTGGGGGTGTGGGTTGTGTGTGAGAAGGGGAGAGAGGAAGGAAGAGAAAATGGAAATGCACGGAATCTAAAAGGGGAAGATCCGCGTGCACGTGAATGGATGTAAATGTCGAGCGAAAGAGAGAAAGAGCGAATGGGGGCGAATGAGAGCGATTGAGAGGGGGAAGAAGTGGCGGGGAAAGGGCACTTCTAGGGGGTTAGCTGATGGACGGGGTAAAATCGTGTATAGATCTGTCACTCTCGGTCGTGTACATATGAAATTCTAAGAAGAGTTTACATACAAACATGTGATGTGTATATACACACTATATATAAATATATNATGAAAATATTGAGATATATTTGTAAATTCTGTTATCTGAATGCATTATAAATATTTTAACCTCCTGTAATAAGATATTTAATAAAAAACGTTACCAACCAGCCAGACTTTGGCGAGACCTTTGATTTTACACGCCCGTTTTTATCTTACTTTTCTTGTTTAATTTCGACTTTCGGGACTTAGGGAAGTAACGCAGGAATGGCGTCTACGAGCGACTTAATCTTATCTTCGGAGTCGCTCATTTGTACAGTTTGTCAAAACTGAGAATTGTTTTTGTTGGATGCAAACATGGGTCGAAAGGCTTCTTTTATTGTATACTGAAATCGACAGTTTGGTGGCATTTTGGAAGAACATAAACCGATCGCTCCGGTCTTTGTTATCAATTTCATTTAATTCGTTACAAAACATCCGCCATGTATAATAATATTGGATCGTTCCTAAAATTCACGGGCTGCATTTTTTTCGTAGGGAATTTTCTTTGTAGATTTTTGTGTGTTTAAATAAAATTTTCGAGAGGGTGGCAAAATTTGATTGACTTTACAGGGAAATATGTTGATAACGATACGTGGTTTGCCTCATTGCAAAAGGATACATTTTTTAACTTTTACAAATCTGTTCGCGATCTTATGAAATAACCCAATGCATATTAAATAGTTGGCTTTCCAGAATGTGTTTGATAATACACGACTTCCGTCCTCTTAATCTGGAATGACCACATTTTGCCGTATCCGGTCAAACGCGTATCGTAACGCGTGCTGCTTCTTTCACGCGAATTCCCCTCGATTTTCCACAAAAGTGTGAAAGAAGTGTCTCCGTCAAAGTCATCCTCGAATACGTTATAATTACGTCGGAAGATACATACGTCGATGAAGATAACCACCACCGTCGAGAGTTGATTACCTACATCGTGACAAAAAGCATCGGACGTGAAAAAGTCGTCAACGTTTCGACGGGCCACACGCTCTCCATCCTAAACGTAGAAATATCCTATCGAGCCTTGGTGAATTTCTTTGTTTATCGATGGACATTTTTTCCCGGGTAAATTACAGCAGAGATTAATACAAAAAAGGAAGTGAATTTGCGCAGTGTTCGTCCAGTGTTCGGTAATTTGGAAAGTGGAACCGCGATTTCAAGGGTCATTTTCTGGGGGCTCGTTAGCCCTAGCCCAAGTTTTTTTCATCTCCAAGGTTTCAACAATACTTCGGAGAAAGAGACACTTTCATCCCTTAGCAAAGGACAGCCCAGCAGATAAAGCTTTGCCCTTCCCGCGGTAATAATTGCGATAACAGCAGAAATGTTTGCGAAAGTAGTAAATGAATTACCAGCGACGGCCAAATAATATTGCTCTTCCCTCTCGACCAGACGAGCGATACACAATTTGTCGTTCCCAACAAAGAATATCGCGATATAATTTTCATTGCTCCAGTTTTTTGTCTATCCTGCAGGAACATTTCTCAGAACAAAAAGAATGACTAGCTTCTCAAATGTTCATCGCGTTGTCCGAATCGTCTCCTGATTCCAAGACGCTTGTATAAAAAAAGACCCAACAATACCGAAAGACAAAATCTCGGTGAAACCAAGTCCAAGAAAAGTAAATAACGCCTGAAATCCGTTAATCCCATTCAATCGACCCTCCCTTTCGTTCCGCCGTTAACGGCACCTAGATTTCCGTTTGTTCCAAGAACCTCCTTTTATAATAGTAACGTTTCCGTTCGGAGCAAGTAAAATTGCTTATTTCTCTGGCAGACTCGCCGGCTCGGAATCGACGCAGCCGCTCTCCCGTTCCGTCGGGTCGGTCCGCGTTCCTCGTTCCCTGCGCGCGGTCGACGCGGCTGGTGGGGTCCGGGCTTTCCGCGCATGCGCGGGCGCGGGGTGTCCGGGGGGCTGGGGGCTGTTCGATCGCTCAATATTCATCCCCCGGTCCCCCGGCCAGACTGGAGCGCCAACCGTCGAGCAGACTCGAGCTCCGGACTTTGGGAACGCAAGGTGTCCGAAGGCTGTCCTCGCGCCTCGCCCGCTTCGAGTCCGCCGCCGCCGCCGCCGTCGCCGCCGCGCTCGATCGCGCGACAGTCCCTTCCGGGAGCAGCGTCAGGCCAGAGGGAACCACCGGGAGTCGGGCGGCGTCCGGCATCGAGCAGTACCGAGCCGAGCCACCATGGACAAGAAGGCCGAGCAGTATTACTCCCCCCCGCCGGAGCTCGGCAAGTGGGAGGGCTTCAGGGTGTTCCTGTGGAACTCGGAGACGGGTCAGGTCCTGGGCCGCACGGGCGCTAGCTGGGGTGAGTCCGCCATTTCCCGCCGCGACGCCGCGACGCCGAGAAGCCCGGTCGTGAGGGGCGCCGCGGTGCGGTATTCCTCGGGCTTCCGCTCCCTCCGATTAGCCCCTATCGATTCTCGCCCTCCCGGCCTCAGGGCTTCTCTCTCTCTCTCTCCCTTTCTCTCCAAGGCGATCGCCGTCCTCGCCCTTTCTCCTCCCCGTGCAGTTATCTCTCTCTCCCTCTCTCTTTCCATTCCTCCCATGTAACTCTTTCTCGATTCCCTCCTCCCTTCTATCTTGGTTCGTCTCCGTTCTCTCCCTTTCCTCTCTTTCTCTGCCTCTTCGTTTTTTTCTTTAGGTACGTCTCCAGCTCTCTCGGTCTCCCTCTTTCGCCCGTTTCCGCCTTGCGTCTCGGCGGGTGCGCATGTCGCGGGTACCCGCTCGCTCGTAACTCGCCCCGAGAGAGAGAGAGAGGGAGAGAAAGAGCGCAGCACTTATGCAACACCGCGGGACTCCCTGCGCATGATTTGGCCCAGAGGCGCTCGACGCAGGCTTGCCCCCGAGTGCTCCGGGTAACGACCACGGATTCCGCTCCCCTGCGCGGCCAAATCGCTCCGGTTCCTCCGCGATCCGCGAAGGACCCGAGCTCCTTCGCCCAAGCAGGGAGGAACGAGACGAGACGGCTGACCGTAGGCTCGGCTCTCCACTTGGGGGCGAAGCGCGCGCTCTCTCTCTCTCTCTCTCCCTCTCCCTCTCTCTCCGCGTACTACGCCCGCGAGGGGCAGAAAATCGATCCGCGGAATTTCTAGGATTTCTGGTGGTTCACGCACGTCTCCGGGGCGGCCGAGAACCCCCTCTGGAAGACTTAAGGGCTGATTTTTTTACCCTCTCTTGTATTCAACCGACGTTTTTCCCCACGGAGAGCGTCCTCTTCCTCTCTTTCTCTCTCTTTTAGGGGATGCTTCCGGACGTACGGACGGAAATTAGGCGAGGGCGGCGAGGGCCTTCCTAACCGCACCCCTTCGGGGTTAGGGGGAGCGAATGGGCGAGGGGAGTTTCCGATGAGGGGTGCACTGTCTCCCGAAAAGAAAGGACTCCATCGTCCTGGAACTTTCCGCTCCTTTTTTGGAATTTTCAAAATGTACGGGGTTGGAAGTTCGTGCCCCCCCCCCTTTTTTTTTCTTTGGACTTTAGGGAGTTTATTGGGAGGGATGTTTCAGAATAATACAGTTTTTGGCTCCGTGCTTGAAATTTGTAGTGGAAGGGACGTTTTTGACGTTCAAATGGCTCCGATTTATGGACTGGGAATGTGTTTGTGGGGATCGGGTTTGGATGGCATATTTTGTATGGTTAAGGGGTTTTTTTTAGGGGCGCTTTTCCTCTTGTAGGGGATCGAATGGCTAGGGGACTTAAGATTCTACGAGGTTATCCTCCCGCTAATAGGGGGGCGACCTCGCCTTTATTTTCTGTCGCGTGCGGACGGGAAAACTTCATTGAAGTTCTATTCTCGGCTTTTAAATTTGGAACGAGTCGGCATTGAGGGAAACTAGGACTCGTCCGACGCATCTTTGCATCGTCTGCGGGAGTTTCTTTGTTATCTGGGTTTTGGATCGGAAAAATTTCCCCCTTTAGGAGGTTTCTGAAAAGTCGTTTCGTCGCACGCCGTTGCGGAATTTCGATTTTCTTCGCGTTTAACGAAGACGCGAAGGAAAGGTAGGGCACTGTCAAAATCGATAGACCTACGCTCGTCTTTTCCGTGGCTACCTTATTTCTCGCCAATATCAAAGAAATTGTGCCCCAGACTTATTTTCACATTTTGCTTACATAAATTTAGCAGTACTACTATAAAGAAAATAAAATAGTGTTTCCATGTATCACAGGAAAACTTCCAAAATTTGTAACAAATTCGCCTCGAGCCTCCTTGTGGGTACGCTCTTGAGATTCCCTAAATTTTTTGTTTAAAATTGCTCGTCCCATTTTTTTTCACTGCAAACCGTATCGTTATGTACTCGAACCTCCATTTTCCTCCGGTTTAACAAATTTGAGCAGGAAAGGTGGGGCAGGCCCAAAATCGATAGACCTACTCTCTTCCGCTTGGAGGTAGACTGCTTTTAACATATTTCCCTGTAACTCATTTACTACCAAGGAAATTGCGCTCCGAAACAGAATTTCGCTTTCCGGAATTCTGAAAGTATTACCGCGAAGAGAAGCGAAAGAAAATGGCAAGTTCGTCTTGACCACCCTCTCCTTAGGTATGCGCTTGAAGTTGCTCCATTTTTTTTTTTTAAGTCTTTCAAAAATTTCCATCGGTTCAGATTCACATCCCTATCTATCTATCTAACGATTCTTCGCCTTTGTGCATTTTTTCGAGTTTAACAAATTTGAGGACAGAAGGTAGGGCAGACCTAAAATCGATAGACCTGCACTCGTTCCTCGAGGAGGAGCGCGATTCGTTCTCGACGACTCGCGGCCGCCCAAGGGAGAAGAAGAGACGAACGAAGATGGCTAATAGGAAATTGAAATCAACGCCTAATAAAAAGGCTCTCTGCACAACGCTAGCATGTACGTCAATCTTGACGTAAGCCGCGATATTGATCGAGCCAGAGTCGGCCGTGGAAGTCGAGGAAGTCGGCCGACTGTCCGAAGAGAAACGATCGAATTTGTTTCTCCGGTCTTGATAATATAATAGGCCCCAATGAATATTTACCGCACGAAATTGTACTTTCCCCTCGTTAGGAAGCTTTTGGGGAACTTCCTCAAACTCCTGAGGACCGAAAGATAGTCCTTATTAATTATTGAATCGTCGTAGAAACCATACTCATTGATGGATATGGTGCTCGATGAGAATTCTCAGTTGGTGAATCATTAAAAAATATTCGGATTAGATCAATTGTCGTCATGGTCTTCCTTCATTTTGATAAGCGATATATGTACTTATCGGATATGCCTTGCCTTGAATTTTAGGTGTTGCAGTGTTCTTGCCGAATAAGCTCTGCAAAAATGTGGAGGTTCGACGGAATTCCTCGGGTTTTCTCGAAAAGGATTTTTAGACACTCGTTATAATTAACTTTTTCCCTGGCGTTTTAATCACGACACCCTGGAAACTGTGGAAAATTGCCCGGAAAATCGGTGAAAGCTTCCGCTCGGTTGGACGTGATAAATTAAAATTATTACTCATTTCGTTGAGGCGTCCTGAAAAGTTGGTTGCCCCTCGTCGGCTCCGAGAGGCGGAAATTCGAATTCAGAAAGGGTAAAAAAAACATGGAAACTCGACATCGATCCATTAGGTGGCGGGTCTCGGTTTTTTTCGATTTTTTTTTGGCTTTTCGTCCACGGTTTGCCCAATGTTTTTCGTTTTATTCGGCTATCGACCACGTCCACGGCAAATATGGCCGCCCTCACGAAGCCCTTGCAGGGAAGAGGTAATTGATACCCTCGAGGTATCAGTAAATCATACTTTCCTCATCCGAGAGATAACGGATTTAGAGAATTCCGAGTTCGGAAGTAAATTAGAATTTTATAAAATTCGATTTGGAATTTTGTCACTGTTTCGACTTAGAATAATGTCTTTGTTGACCCTATCCACCCTATCCATGGGAAAACGACCTCCCCTAAACGATAAAACGAATAAAAAAGGGTTAGCTGTAAACGCGGGGATTGTTCCTCACCTAATTAAAGCATAACGATAATTGACGTATCAATTGAGAGAAAAAATGTGTCTGTTCACGATAAAACATTAAATTTAACCAATTTTTTATATTTACAAAATGGCGCCGTTTTGCAATCTAGTGAGGTTCTCGGTTTACCGAATTTCAAGCCATTGCGGTTACGTTAAAAGGGACACACCCCTCCCTTATTTTTCTCTGTTACCCCGAAGTGGAGTAAACAGCAAAACGAAGGCTTCGTGTCCCGAACATGGCGAAAACGATCAAATGGTAAAGCCACCAGTCTTCCGGAAAATAAAATCAAATGATCCCGAAAGCTTGGGTGGAAAAAGACTCGGCAGAATTCCACGACTGCGCAATTCCACTTGCGTTATTCAAGTATAGTTTGACATTTCCCGGCGCCGAAAAATTTTCTATTTTCGGAATTCCTGGAAGCTCCGCGTTTGATTCGACTTTGCATTCCGAATAAAAAAGGCAACGCGACTTTTTACGCGGCTTATCGCATCTCCTAACGTGATTTCAATTTTCGTGCTTTCCGGCTCTGCGTCGACTTTAATCGCAAATTCTTACAAAAGGAAATCCTCTGGCTTCGTTCAAGTTTGTCCCGTGAAAAAAGAATCGTCATTCCGAGTCGCGATAAATTTAATTCGACGATTCGAGGAAGCTAGGAATAGCGAAATCGATGTTAACACCCCTCGTTGACATTTTATCCGCGGATCCAGCTTTAGTTCGATTAGTCAGATCGTGGCATTTAGTCATTTGACGCCGCAGCAATAATTGACGTCGGCAAGAAACGAGCCAGGCAGAAGGAGATAGAGTCGCGCGGTTAATTCCAACCATTGTCGGTCTAAAGTGCCAATAATTGAAGCTCCTACTTCGTAAAAGTCAATCGCGAGGCAAAGTTCGATCGTAGGCATCGGTCGTGTTATTCCGGGATGAAAGGACCAGATTAAAATGTCACCGATATGTCTAGCTCGTCCGGTGATATTTCGAAAACGTAAACGACGCTTCGATTTCACTATATTCGTCGTAAACGAACTCGGGGGCACGATTTTGCAAGTTAAGAATCGACAGAATCTCATTCACTTTGTCCATCGTAACCGAGCTTGGAAGTAGAATTTTACCGGCGCGGAATTGACAGAGTCGAAATTTACGGCTAATTTTGCGGTTGATCGTTTCTACGATGCCAAATCGTATTATTTTATTATCGAGCGGCGTTATCGACACGGAATGACGATAGATTATCCACGGGTTGTTAATTAATCTGGGAATTGGAATATAGCCTCCTGGTATCGATCCTGTCGAATTTGGGCCAACTGCTAATTCGACGGCTAATTGTCACGGACGCAGAGAGCGC